GAAGGAAACTTACGTTTGTGCCCAGTGGAAATCTGCAAGCTCCTGCACATCTGTAAGCCTCATAGAACTGGGGAATGACAACATGTTTCCACCTCAGAGTCTTACGAAGCTCAACCCGCATAGGATGCCGGGAGCAAGGTAATTGGTTTTGGATGGAGCGGGGAGGTCTTGGCTTTGGTGACATGAGACTCTTTTTACCCTGACTGTCAAATCATAATGCATATGTGAGTTAAGGGGGGTAGCTTGTGTTAAGCTAGCTTGTATATCATTGGACACTTTGAAATTGCATAAAAGACATTCCAGAGCAACAATAGAAAATACCAAGCCTACAATAGATTATGGGTTTTAGACTGCATCTGAGAGTAATCATGCACAGTATTACCTGTGTATCTCAGAGTTCCAGCTATACCCATCCCCTCTCCCCCTTTCTAAACGGTCATTCTATGGGAAATATGGGAATAAAATAGAAGTCACAACGATAAATTTAGCAAATGTTAACAACCGTTTCTGAGAAAATGAAGTGTCCTCTTCTTCTGTCTTGGACTGCGTTCGCACCAGTAACAGTGGTCTACCATACTCTCCTGCACTAGTATCATTAAATATCACTCCGAAGGAAGCTTCATCCATAGCTTGGTCTCCCTGTAAACTGATGTAGACTCCATGATTCAGATGAGGGGAGCTAATCCATCGCTTCACCAAGGAGTGGGCAGGGAACGAAATAGACTTCAAACCTCCCCCCTGAATCTTGACTGAATACACAGGTTTGCAGTCAAACTGATCGAACAGAACAAGGTGACTACTCCAGAAGAGTGGTGGGATAGGACCAATGCGTAGTTCAACTGTCACTAGAATCTCGGCTGATTGAACTATTTTGTTGGTATGAATTTGAGAGGAACTCAGATTGAAGAAAATTCCTTTGTTTCCAGGGAGGCCTGCGTACAAAAATTAAAAGAAGTTTTAAGGAGACATTGGAAACTGAATAAAAAATTCGTTTGACGCTGAAGAAGATTCTCCTAAATAATTTGAAACATCTTCATCTGAAGTTAATTAGTTGGTCACGTTAGTGATACACTTTTTTAAACTTTCTTAGATAACAATTTGATAGCGCATATCACGGACAAAACTGAAAAAAACTAATATTTTTGGACTGAGGACTCACTGATTTCCAATGAGGGTTAAATTTATCTTTTACGCGTTACAATTAAAATTTCCATCAAACCTTGTCTTTCACGTCTATATTTGTGGCATCTTTATCAATGTTTTCGTTTCGACTTTCTCACCCGCCATTTTGAATACTTATGCGAAATGCCGCTGTACGTTTGTTCCCAGACTCCATTCCCGTGCATTACACTGACCTCTCACTTTTACAAAAAACATCACAGTGAGGTCGGTCACGAAACTGTGTTTTTCCAACATTAAATAAACCTTGCGCCGGAGTCAGAGAGTAAGGGCAAAATATTTCCGGCGTATTCCTTAAATCCTTTTAACACCTGCCTTCTGTTCAGCTGCTTGGACGGAACTTAAGATTCCAGTTGAAACGTTCCATTTGGAAGGTGTTGCGTGTATTTCCAAAAATAAATGGGTTAATAGCTTTTTGTACCCTTTCGGGTCTATTCCGGAAGTCTGGGTAATGATGTTTCGTGGCAGTAGCCTAAGCAATGAAACAGAATGACACGCAACGAACACGAACCTTACACGATGGCATGTGATATTATCGTAAAAATTTTCCAAACCGGAAATTGTGAAGAAAGTTGAGCCCAGCTAGACGAAAACAGGAACTGGATAGAGATCAGTGAATCTTTTTTTGGCGGCGATAAAAGCAAAGATATAGGCTGTATCACTGACTGACTGAGGATCGGACAATAGGTTTGATTAATAGGCACTTTCGTAAACAATAAGGTTAATTAAACTGATTGCTTCGAAAATATGACTAGAACAAAGTACTCAAAAAAGGCGTGTTACTCTACACCGTAGTTCCGTTTTTTTTTTCTTCTTCCTTTTTTTTAGATACGGGAGGGTCAGAGTTAAATTCCCCTCATGCTGACCTTTTGCGAGCTAATTCTTTCTTCAAAAATAGACGAGGTACTCTGTGCTCCGGTGTTTAATTTTTGTTTCTATAAATGGTGACAACTATTAGTTCTTCCTTCCTATCGTCATCCATTGCATTATCAATGGGAATCGGCGCAAAAATTACTCCATAGTTCACGGCGCGTCGGAATCATAATTTTTTATCAATTTCAGTTCCTTTGCGCGACGAATTACGCAACGAATCAAGGACTACTCGACGTCCATTTTAAATGCTGAACGATGCGCGAAAATTAGTTCGTGACTGAAAACACTGAGGTGATCTGCTGCTTTTTTAGTAGGATCTGATTTCGTGGGATTAGTATTTCTTATTTACTCGTGGGATAATGTTTATGTCTCTGAAATAAGGTAACTAACGAGGGGCAACAATTGTTTAGTTTTAGGCGAGTATCGAGACCAGATACTCCAAGTGCGATGCAAGCATAGGAACGTGCTTTACTCGAGAGCTGAAAACTGCTACGCCAAACTTAAGTCCTAATAAACTATAAAAGTGTTAAAGTGTTAAAGTGTTAAAGCGAAAAGAACGGAAAGAGGAGGGTACTCTAGGCGAGCTTAGGCGAGCTCTTTCTTTGCGGATCTGGGACTCTCACCCAACGCTAAAGTATTGAACAAAATCTTTGCAACAGTCTTCACGAGACACCAGTGTGCAAGGTGACGACTTACACTCACTAACAGTGTTACGAAGAAGACATATGACACTGAAAAACTTCAAGAACGAGTTTAGCTGTTATGTAATTATTATTCTTCAAGGTATTGTCCGCGCTTCCGTAGTGCAAGTTTCATCGAACGACGTAGAGAAGAAATGTGTGTCGTAAACTTCTCTGAGTACAGTTAATATAGAATTCCTTTTCCTTCTAACCAACGCGAATTCCGATGGCTTATAAATCGAATTCGTGATATGGGAGAAAACAGAAGAGAGAAACAGGGAAGTGGAGGCGGCTTCAAACGTCGTTCAGTTTATTTCTCGAACCTAAATTTTAAAGCAAAGTTGGATTTGGATGGTCAAACTGGAAGACTGCTAAAATTTTATCATCTTACCCAAGGTTTTTTTCGGATTCTAAACGCAAGAGAAGCTTTACTAAACATGCTAATTACGTTGAACGTATGTTAAACTGACTATTTGAAATTAGATTACAAACACTTACCTTTCCCGACGTAACAATAGAATGTATCAGGCCTCTCGGAATTTCTTCCAACATGCTGATTTTGTTTGGCATACTTGCGGTACAACCTCATCAAAGCTGCTGGGACATCCATTGAAGTCAAAATCTTTTTGCTTTGGGAATGGCTACGAGGAGCATTCTGGAATATTTCACTAAATCCAATGCCCGTTGAAACGTTGTTTCCTAGAGAAAATAGAGGAGCCGTTGTGAAGATAAACACCGCCATGAAAAGACAGCAAGCAAACATGATGCCCGGAGGAGAGAAAACAGTGAGATGTTGCCTTGAACGGAAACTACTTCAAACGAATACGAAATGTTCAGTATAGTTCACCGAACACGAGCTGTTTCGTCAGTTTACAGGTCACCCGATTTACATGCCAATCTACATGTCAACATTATTACAACTGCCATTTTTCAGGCACTCATATCAGAATGAAACCTCCCTTTGACGTGACTTTTGGGTGTAAACACCCTACATATCTGATGTTACTTGATGACGGGGCGAGAGTCCCCGGATTTGAAATAGTCATTAACTTCTTGTATAAAACTTATCAAACGAGAAAACAAATCTCTTAACATTCAGGTAAAACAGAACATTAATTTTGGCTACTCAGCCGAAAATCACTTATTTCAGCCAATCAGCTGATCAAAACAATGAACTTTTGATTTGACAAAAGTTTGTTTTGGTATTTAAAATGCAAGTGTTATTGTAAAATGTCATGTTGCTTCGATAGTAAGCACATAATTTCACATACATCACTTATCAACTTTATGGTCTTTCCGAAGCAAATTAAAAAAAAAGACCCCAACGACGCTCATAAAGAAAAACTAACTTGAAAAAAAATTAGTGGAGAAACACTTCCTAATGTCAGAATCCCAAGAGAAACATAAGCGAATGGTGAAGCGCATGAAATACATCTTAACCGAGTTTGAGGTCCGTACTTGAGTTGCGGACCGAGTTTTTCCCCTCGTAATTATGGCCCAAGCGAGAAGCGCGGGCCATAAATCCGAAAAAACGAGGTTTCGTACCTTACTGTACGGATCTTGAAAATGAGGTGAATAAGATATTTATTATGTCTCTGCGTTCAAATAGGTGAGGGAAGGGGGGGGGGGTTCAATTCAATCAAACTTAAAAATTAAGCGGGCCGTAATGTGAAATAAGGCACGTTAAATCGACCAATCATGGCGCACGTACTAAACGAGAGATGAAATAATATATTATAACATAGCGTGCGTGCTTGCCCCATATAAGTCTTATTGAGCCGCTACGAACAAAACCTTTATTTACGCACGCCTGTACGTAAATAAGATAACGCGAGCATTTTTTTTTTTACCTGGCTTCAGAGTTTCCGTCCTGTTTAGCTGCAGTGCAGTTTTCCTTCTTTTCGAAATGAGGAAAAACCGGCGAAGAACTGCCCAATTTTTCTATCGGCATCGACCTTTTAGCTCCTGATTCAACAAGCAACAAAAATGAAGCCGAAAAAAACTCGTAAGTTGCACGATTCGCAATTAAATTTGACTTTTTTGTCTTTGATTTTTAAAACACTTTTTAGTGACACTTGAGTTCATTTGGCTTTGATCTTCTCCATTTTCCCCGTAAATTTTAAGCTTAAATTTTGAGATCAAATGTTGTCACTTAAACCAAAGTATAAAATGTGGCGTGTTTTTGACCAGCCAATAGGGACGTTTGTTTACCTTTTTTTCTTTTTTTTTGGGTGGGGGGGGGGGGGGGTGAGAATTTTGCACTCTATCACAATAAAAGGCTTCTTCGCGCAGATCCTTGTTGTCGCTCTGTTATAAAAGAATTCGCTCATGCTTTTAGCTGTGCGTATTTCGAGTTATGGATGCACTTGGGAAGTTAGGAGGGCACTCAAAAAGCTAGAATTTACGCATTTTTCGTGCCCTCCAAACTTCCTGCGTGCATCCCTAACTCGATATACCCACGCTAAGCATGAGCAAATTCTTAATTACACCGCAGCATATAACCTGGAACTGGGCCATAAGCTGCTGATTATGACTATTGTGTAAGGTTACAATTAAGTCGAGAATTATCACGGTTTTAAAGTCTTTTATTTACATTCGCTAACGCTACTTCAAATAAATAATACATTTAAATATATATATATCTATATCTATATATATTACGTCATATTTCAAATAAATTCTTTATAATAATTAAAAATTCATCAAATCTTTCTTATCGTACATATTAATAGAAAACGTAATAAATTAATTGTTAAACTTGATTTATATTTAAGCGAAAATGAATCTGTCCATTTTAAAAAGAATTTTTCGACGTTCACAGTAGTTTGTGTCTTGAACTCGGACAAAATTTCTTGATTACAAACTTTAACTAGTGAACGCATGTTAATTGAGTGAGTTATCCGTTGTAAAATCAAATGTATGAAAACTTAGTTTCTCTTTTTTTTCTAAAGAACTGTAAATGTTGCTAGACATTTTCAATTTCTTCCTTACATCTTATTTCCCATGTAAAATCTGCAAGCAACGCAGATCGTGCCTCTCTCTGATTGCATTAAGTACACATAGTTAAAATCTCCACGATGGGTCACCACTCTTTGCAGACAATGAAATGTAAAAAAATAACGAAACACTCTACGCAGAAAAAATTCTGGTATGTAATCCCCATTCCCCTCCAATTCGTCATGAATATCCGGGACTTTGCATCGCACTCAAGACATCTGGGATCCATTGAGACTTCGGTAGGTCACTGGATGAGTGTTTGTTTTCTCTGCACACATTCCACCATGGCATCCTTTATAAGCTGTTCGTTGATTGCCGTGTTAAACTCAACTAAGCCACTGAGCCGATCAAAGATGTCGTGCGAATACTTTAAGTTAAAGGTACTGAACCGTTTGTTGGGATCGTTGAATATTGGAAAATCACCAGCTTTCTGTTCCTCCTTAGTAGTTCGAGGGACTCCTTTGAAAGGAGATTATAATAAAATGATATTGAGGGTTTTTTTCTTCAAATTAAAAATTATCATTTCGTTGTAATTACACTAATAAAGTTAAATAAGTAGAGATGTACTGAGGGCCTTTTTTTTTCTAAGAAATTCCGGAGCCTTCTGTATCTCAGGAAGATTTACCCCTACTCATCAAATTCTAGAGCGCATTTTTATTGAGAGTAGTAAGACCAAAACCAAAGTTATCACAATGACCAATCAGAAGGTGGAGAAAATCATTAAAGGAAGCCGATGAAGGCGCAAAGTAAAATCAAGCAAACTGCCTTCAGCACGGGGAAAAAAGTGACCTAGTAACGGCTAATTTGAGTTTCTCACCTGGTCTCACAAAGTCTCTGTAAGTCTTGTTTACAAGGACAAAGTGAAGTATAATTGGACACTCGGGGTTTGTAGGATCTTTGAACACGTAACATTCCTTCCATCCGTCTCTGTCAAACTGTTCGTCTGCGTCAATTGGCGGGAAAAGGAGCCCGTTTCGTTTAGCCCAGTCTTCCGCTAATTTGATATTCTGAGGAAATGAAGGAAATGCTTAAATTTAGTAGAAATTCAAGAGATCAACAAAAGCCATTACGCATAAGATATTCGTCTTTTGGCCAAGTAAGAAGCAGGACACATTTTTAACTAAGCTAAGAGGTTTGCAACTACGATTCAAAACAGATTTTCTAATGACAGGCAAGTTCGAACAGTATGCACTGAGAATGCAGTTCTTAATCGGTAATATGACGATCTCAGATGAGATGGCCAATATCTATGACTGGACACACGCACCTTCAGTACAAAGAGAGACTTTTTTTTACCTTAAATGGCCTTTCCTCGTCAGACTCTCTGGCGCTAAAATCAAATGAAAGAATAAGATCAACGGACCTCTGTTTCCTCAGAAGGGGTGGGTAGGGTGAATTAAACATCAGTCCTGCATCGATGAGTTCCATTCGTTTTCTCTTCAAGTTATCTTTTCCAAAGAGACACTGTGTTGCTGCTCCGTCTGTGTACTCTGGAAAAACAAACGCATTTGTGTTGGTCTTTTCCTAGAAACTTAACAAAACTAAGGACTAAAATGAAGTTTTTTTCACCAGGTCAAAGCGGTCATAGAACATTACAAGTTCAACATTGGAAATGCGCACTGAAACCAAGCTTCCAAGAAATAGACAACAATAGCTTTTCTACAGACAACAGTTGCGCATATGAGAAATCAAAATGTGTCTCATTTCGTTTGAAGCACAACTGAAGTACGGGTAGTATGCATTTCATTGCATGAAAAGTGCGGTTGATATGAGCGTTTCTGCGTTTCTCAGCGTTCTACTTTTCTTTTCATTTTAATTGATCAACCTAAATTAATTGATTAACCATAATAAAAATAAAGCTTTTTACAGTACAGATAAATACCTTTAGCTCCATTAAGCCCCAGGCCTCGAAGAAAGTTATGGACCAGCCCTGCTCTTTTTGACCGAGTTTGGAGACCTGGTAACTTCTCAAGTACATAATCTATCACTTTTCTACGGAACTCTTTCTTCTCCTTTTTCTGGTTTTTTGTCGCTTTGCCTTCCAACTTGTGGAGTTCTTCATCTGCTTCAACGTCTTTTTGTAGCTTGGCAATCAGAGAACTTCCAACATCAATTTTGTTTCTTTTCCCGCCAACGTCACCGACGCCTTTATCGACATCATCATCACTATCGTCATCATCATCATCGTTTTTGTTGTTCTTTTCAGAAAGAAACTGTCGCTCTGTCAAAAACAAACAAAGTGTTACTCTCCGTACGGATATCACTCCCTGTAGCTAACCTTTTCTTACTCTAAAAAAGACTTAAAAAATGCTACTTGATCTTATACATGCCTGGGTTCAGCTATTCAAAGGGTGGATAACGCTATCCAATGGATAAATCGCTATCAAGAGGATAAGTATTCACAAAACACATTGTGCAATCCACCGCAATGGTAAAGCGTAAAACCGGATAAGAGGCGGTTAAGTGGTATTCTTTTGAGGGCCATGAAGTCAGTCATCCATAATTTACCTAATAGAAGTTTCTCGTTATCTTGTTCCGTATTTATCTGCTTTTCTTGGTTCAGAACTCTCTGCAGCAGGATTGCGTAAAAACTTCCCCAGATTCCTAAACACAATAAACAACTTTAAATAAAATCACTGCATGTTGAAATCAATAAATACACTTAGAGCTTCATTTCCTTGTTTCACTCCATCTTCTGACCTATTTCTCTCCGAACTTACGCCTCGCGCATTGTGTTTACATTTACATTCCGTGGACAACACAGTAACATGCTGTCTATGTGAGGTCTTTGTAGGGTGTGGCCTTTTGTGATTGGCATGATTGTCAATCAATGACCGGTTCACGAAATGCTGAGTTAACTTTTAACCCAAAAACTGTCAGAGAATGTGTTCCCCCACCCGCCATACCTTGCAAATAATAAAGTGGAGATTCAGGGAACTTCTCGATGAGTTTCCCACAAAAGAATTTACTTCCAAAAAGTTCTGTCTTCATAAAGGTGCCATACTTGTCCATTCCAATCTCGTAAGGGGTAAACTCCACCCATTCTAAGCAAAAAGAAACAAAAACTTATAAACAAAAAATCTAGAGTACATCCGAGGTTGATAAATGTCTTATTTCATGGTAAAATATCACACCTGCATATGACTGTGCTGATACATCTCTTTTCGAGTTAAGAGCAGTGTATATTGGCATGGGGACTGCTCCATTTGCAACCTTCCCTTGTTGATCACTTAGTTTTACTGAGTTCTTTTTCTGTGGAACAATTAAACAAATATATTTACTTGAATATCACAGATAAAGACGCATCTCAAAATAGAAAGGAAGTGAAGGTTACCATATCATCAATGGAAATAACAAGTGGAAGTGCCATTTAAGACAATTTAACTTCGACAAACGCTTTCCAAAAAGTTAATCATAGCTCTTAATGTTAAAGTTAATCGTAGCTCTTAACGTGATAAAATTTGTTTCTTTTTTCGGGTTCCCGTTTGCTTTTCAAATCCATCGAGTAGATCATCTACCCTTCAAGAAGAACTGCTCAAACACAACACACAATCAATTAAGTACCCGTTGCTCAATTTGAACTTACAGGTCCTAAAAGGCTTTCTCCGACACAATGGCCATAAAAGTCTGTCAGACTAACAGGCTGTCCTTTCTTCCATTTTTCGGTGATATCTCTTACATATTGCATCACCCTCCGGGGAGTGAGTAACCACATGGGTCCCCACTGTAGTTGTTCTCTGACATTCTTCTGGGTCTCCATGGAGTCAATTTTCTCCCCCGCTGTTTGAGAGTATAACAACGATAAACCCCTGAAAATTCGGGGAAAAAAATTTTAATTAGACCTTTCAAATATTTCTTATGATTTGAATGGAAAAACTCGCTTACTTACCAAGCTGAACCGGATAAACCGGTTAAATAAGTGATGGAATCTAAAAGATCCATTTCATCAAGGGCGCGACAAGCCGCGCTGAAGCCTGTCGTGGCTCGGAAACCACCCCCTGAGCCAAGGACGGCTATTGTAGGAACCTGGTAAGGAATTGAGATGATCAGAACAAGGAAACCCTCTACAGTTTCCTAATTTTTGCCAAAATATGGTGACATTTCTAGTGAATTAGCAAAGGTAATGAAGAACGATTTCTACTTATAGACTGCAATACTTTCCTATAACGCCACTTTTAATTTGGATGTGTACAGCTTCTTCCGGTTGGATGGGGAAATATCATCAGGCAAAATGATAATTATATCTCCTGTTGAAGTCATATTATTCTCCCATTTTCAAGCACACCCGGTAATATGGCTACTAATTTTCTTTATACATAAAAATGATTGTTAATAACTCAGTTTTTCTCCTACCTCATCCATGTTTTGTGGCCCTTGTTCTCCCAACAATCTTTTCATGGCCTCAAATACGATAGCTTTTCTCTTTTCTCTGAATTCTTTCTCTTCATCGCAAAGTTCTGAACTGTAACGAAGATCAGCATACTCTCCAGATCTGAAACGAAATTATTAGGAAAGGGTCTTTATAAGAAAAAGGTAAGTGTGTGACTGATCAAATGAGACGCGGCAGATCTACAAAATAAATTCTGACTTGTAACTATAGATTTTCAATACTTACACTGTGGATGCCTCCAGGATAATGTCGACTTCAGAATACTACAAAGACGAAAATATGCGGAAATATTATTTGATGAAGAAAACGTTCAAAGCTCTTGACGTGTCTTCAAATGTCGATTAAGAAGGTAACTTTTACATTAGAACAGAGTCTGCTACAAATTCTCCATGGTGAAATAGATTCAGTTTAAACAAATTCTTACCTCTCCAAATTTTAGAGTTCTTCGCTCCGGTTTTCCTAGCTGTAAATTATTAAGCGGCAAGCAGACCGCACTACCTATTTGATCATCAGCATTGTAATCTTCATCCCATAAGGTAAGCTCTGAAATGAAGAAAAAAAAATAGAATGCTACAGAGCAGTTTAGTTTAAGATCGAGTTGGAATCAGAAACCTGTCGGTGAAGGAGTAATTGGGCCAAGAAAAATGATGACACTTTTGCAACCGAATACAAGAAGAGCCATTGACAATAATTTTCTTTTGATTGTCTAGTTAAATACTTATATTTATCTATTTATCTATCTATTTATTCTATTCACAAACCTAGAACATTGTTTTCTTCAGGATCAATATGAAAGACAAATGGTTCGTCTTTCCACTCGGGGTTCTTGTTGTTTGAAACGCATTTTGTTCTTTTGACAATTTCAGCTGACGAAGGGATTCTCATCATCAAATACGGATCTGGTGTATCGACTGTAAGGCAAAGCAAAAAAAGAGCGATAAGTAAATAAAACGAAAAAAATTTAGAAGGTATAACCAGCGAGGTAACATAAATACACTTTGGTTTGCACAGGCTCATAAGCCCAGTGCCGATTGCCGTTTGCATAAACTTGATAAAAATATCTCAAAAAAGAGAACTTACAAAGAAGACCAATAACTATTTTGTTAACACTCCTCTTTTTGTTTTTAGTTTAGTTTTTTGTCTGTCTTTCGTGATATTTTTGCTGTAGAGCTGTGTTTTAATGAGTAAAGTTATACTCACTCCAGTCGTACCATCCTTGAGTTACGTTTCTGGCTCTTAAAACATCGATTTTCACTGCTATACATGATCTTGGAGAGGCCTAATGAAATGAATAAAAATTTAGTGAGTCTGTTGCTTTGAAAAATAACCTGTCTTCATTTCTCCAATTCTAAGTAGGTTAAGAGTTCAAACGATCTGCACTCTTTTTCTTGGTGGGCACATTCTTCAGTAATTACAATGCACACAAGACCCTATTTTAAAGTGGGCAAAAATCAATGCAGTTTGTTTTCAAAGGTGAATTTACGCAGTAGCCTTGCATAACAATACCAGTCACGGAATCTGCTCTAAAAATACTATCACAAAAAAAATACAAAAAACAAAACAAGTCAAGAACAAAACCATAAGTAACCTTTGAAAAAAGCAATTGTAATTGTAATCCACTGACATCATTTCCCATGACATTTCCCATGACATTTCCCATGACACGTTGTACATAATCAAATCAATTTACCTGCAAACTTTGAACTAACGCTGCAGTTTCTTGCACTTTATTACCCTGTATTTCATTCTTGAGAATCATTTTTTTACGCTGAAAGTCAAAAAATGTTCCAATAAGCACTTTATAGTTTGAGTCTACAAAAATTTCTACGTTTCAATCGCAGAAAACAATACAGAAAAGAAAATCTCGCGTGGATCACGTAAACTAGTTCGTTTTTCGCGTGGAAAATCCGCCCACGCGTAACGCTCACACTGTTAGGTGGAGCAAAGCGGATATGACTCATCAATCGCCAGTTTGAAAACTTCCACGTCCCTGACTTTAACTGTTTACATCAGCAGCCTAACAACCACGAAATTATGTCTTAAAGATACTGCTCAAAGATAACAGTCTTCAAACTTATCAAATCTACGTACCCAATTAACACCTTCCTGGAGGCTTCTTTCAAAACCATTTTTTACTTTACTGACTTCGCCTTTCGTTACTACCTTTGTATAAAATTCCCATTGCAATCGTTACGAAGACTTGATCAATAGTTTTACTATTGTTTCAATATTCCGACATAACTTTACGCTAAAAGTTTGGGCTCATAAATAGATATCAAAATTTCATCCCCGGACAAAGACGACTCAATTTGTTTAAAATTAAACTTTACACTAAATAGCAAACAAGTTAGCATATTTCGTTACCTTACCTCACTTTTTTACTTTAATCCAAGCGTACCTTACTGTTTTTCTAATCTATGGATGCATCGATTGTGAACTTGAAGAGCTGAAGGTTCCTTTATATACGCTCTGAGCGCGAAGAACTTTAATAATATCTCTTTGACGTCATTCAGCAGAAGGCACGTAATTTTAAACAATGCCCTCAAACTCAGTGTGCGTGATTAATTACCCCTAAATGGCCTGGCTTCAGTCACACAAAACCACCTATCTTGAGTTTTGTCAGCTAGAGCGGAAATTCTGTGACGAAATTTAAGTCAAATAGTTATGAAATGTATTAACTCGTAGCTTGTTGCGGTGGCAACACGTTAATTGAAAATATTTCCTTAACTTTGAAGGCTTAAAATTTTCTCTTCAAAGCTCAGTTGTAACCTTAGTTGACCCCTCACTTAAATTCAAATTGTTCGATCACGCGCAAATTTTTCTCGATACAGCCAATATTGTCGTGCTCAGAGTCGACATTCTTGAGATAAGAAAGTATATTGAGCGGTTTGGTTTCTGTATCTTTGTTTCCGAAAACAATTCGCAGCATTTCAAAATATAAAACAGCACAAATATTAAGTCTCTTTTGAAATCAGAGCGATACCAGTGCAGTTGTCTGTTCTAAACTTATAATTGTAGATAGAACTTCCAGTATAAGCATTTGAAACCTTTTGCTTAATTCCTTGTAAATTGAACAGCATTACGCTAAAACAATTACTTGTGTTGAATACTAAGTCCTATTACAAGTTCCTCTGGTATTGGCCTCACGAACAGGAAAGAAAACATCTCTTACTAAACGTTAATGAATCACGCAAGCGGAGGGCACTGAGGCCACCGAAGCATTCCAGTGGTCGTCCATACTGAAAGATTGCAATAAACGATACCTTTGTCCTTAGATCCCATAAAGGAAACGGGGGAGGGACAGGAAATGTTAGAAGCTTGAGTTTATTTTTCAGGCTTGAATTATCCGTGTCGGTTTCAGACAATTCACTATAAATTTAGCTTTACAAAAAAGTCATTCGGCGAGAAGATTTTCATCAGCTTTAAGTGGCAAGCGAGGAGAAAAACAATCCATCAGTACTGTTTCTGCTCCTTGAAGTAAATGCATAAAACTCGAATAATACCGAATACAGCGAAGGAATAAACCGATACGATGAAAATGCACACAAACTGGAAAACTTCATCGATAATGGCCCTGTGACAAAAACACCTCTGTCGAAAATATGCAAAGAATACGAAAGAGCCCCGTATTGAATGCATGCACTTTAATACCAGTAACTACGAGAATTATCGGCATAAAATAAACGTAACTTTAATAAATCGATGACGGTGCAATTTCGATGAGCATTTAATTAATCTGTATGTTTACAGACAGAGATCAATAACGTGTCATTTGCTTAATTGAAGTAAAATGCCGGCAAAGATGTACGTACCACTGTACCGAAAAATACAAAATATCTTTTAAATAATCTAACGTAGTACGCATAAAAACGATCAGCCAACCAGTGATAAAATAATTTATTTTTTTTACAAAAGTTTTGATTGCCATCCGTTCTTTCTGGATTGAAAAGATTTTAAAAAATGCTAGTAAAAGCGACGGGTGGACAAGAATGGATACCATATTTCATCTGGTCCCTTCAACCCCAAGACAACTCGCAGTAGTATGCTTTGGTTGTTTTACTTTTTGTGAAGAAACACCCAAAGAATTGCTCGGTGTAGAAAGATTGAAACACATACTAATTTGGAAGACATAACAAAGCAGACTAAGAAAGAATCGAGACAGTCTTAGAAAAATAATCGACCCAAAACGCTATAACTCTCTTTCCTTCTTATAAAATTTTACCGTTCATAAAGATTTTTTGTCTGAGATCGGAAATCGAAGAAAACAGGATGTACTTCCAGACGGTCTTTCACGGGTAATCATGATTTCCGTTCTTTGATAAATGGCACGGAATAACATTAGGAAAGGGTTCATCCAGAGCCGATCACATTTTAGTTAATAGAAAGCAAAACTGCGAGTTCGATACGTGCAGTTCATAACTTTGACAAGTAATAAAGTCTGCTACTTGACCGCGGGGGCCCTGGCAATGGGTAACGAAGGAGCTGAGGAAAAATTGGACTTAAAATTAACAGAGAAAGGAAATGCCAGTAACTAAAACACTGTGACACAGAGTCTTCGACACACAAAAAACGAGGTATCAGTTACCACCAGTATAGTCAGTGTTCATAAAGTATGATTAAGTACTAAGACTTGATCAGTCCTCCTCAAAAAGTAGTGGTATTTAGAAAGTTCAGTAACAAGTATTGCTTTACTGCTGGTTTTTAACTACCTATACGTCATTGTATCAGGGTTAATAACCCATAAATTAAATCATATTTCAGTGGATGCATCATTTACTAAAATAGCTTTTGTCGCTTTTGATAAAGAACGGAACCTATTAGAGATCCTACTCAGCCTAATTTCACAGCAGGCATTCACACATGAAATAGCCTGTTTCGCTGGTTTCTCACTTTGTCAAACCCTCTGCCTTTAACTATCGCAATTCTAGGAAACGACAGTGACTTAAGATTAAACAGTCGATAACATTGTCTACTTTCCCGTAGTGGAGTGATTCAAAGTCTCATTAATTAAAGAAACCCACATAACAATGGGCAGCACAGAAAAATGCAAAAACATAGCTGACAAGACAAACGAAATTAGCCAAAAAATAGAAAAAAGGGGGAAAGGTAGAGAAGGGAACGAACTGTGAAATGAAGCATAAAATTTGTCGGTTTGGGTGCTACAAACAAACCGCATCTTAGGTTATTCAAAGCCCGTTTTAAAACTAAGTACGTTTCATCGTCATCGAAAAAGAACGAGGAAGTAATAATGACTCATTGCAAGTCACGGGATGCGGAATACGTATCTGCTGACTTTGAAGAAAAAAGGACAAGGGGTTTTTGTCTTTATTACTTCTGCTAGTTTATAGCACGTCTCATCAATACTTCACATCCCCCCCCCCCCCCCCCTACTGTTCGTGGAAGAGCGTCCGAGCGTTTTCCAGCCGAGGAATTTTTTTTTTTTTATCCTACGCTATAGAAAATTTAGTTAACAATTTTCAATAGTTCTTCCTTCTTTGATACACTCGTAACAGTTGCGAGTGTTACCAAACCATTCCGCGCGAGTCTTCTCGTTCACGCGTGGACGTGAAGCTTCGCGCTTCCCGTACACGCGGAATCATCTGGATTGGTTATCAAGCATATCATAAGGAGAGCAACAATAATATATGGAAATTTCTTGATTTTTCTAGAATTCCTAGTCATGCAAAACCTTGTCACGCCGTAAAGTTTTTTACGACAATCTGGTGCATTACGCAATTATGAATTAAAGCTTCCAGAATCTATGGCTTTGAAGCTTCAAGAATGTTGTAGACTTGTTTTAAAATTGTACAAAAGGACTCAAATACCAGGCAGTAGAATCATTATTGCTGTTATGACTTGCTGTCTGCAGATAACAATTTTCTTGAGAATTAAGTCTTTGAGAACTCTAAAGAGCTAATTTGGTGCATGTCCCATGGAATTAATTCTGAGTGACTGACATAAAACAGACATTTCAGTAGTGACACCAAGCGTATGCTGTAAGTTTGAAACAATAGTGGAATCACGCCAGACTACAGTAGATTACACTGTCCATGCGTCGTTCCCTTGTATCCACAATCTTGCGGCCTATCGTTCAGTGAGTTGGATTTTGAGGGGTATATATGAGGAAGAGTAAAGTTTCTGTTGATTAACTTACACGTCGCGCACCGCCGTATAAATTTATCACAACGTTTTTGCATGTTTTGTCTTTGTTTTCATCAGTCGTCCCTTTAAGTGCTGTCCAACGACACAAAATTGAAGATTAAATGATTCACTGTTCCTCTCTTACTGCACCACTTTCACGGTAGAATCAAGAAATGCTGAACGTTAAATTCACGTCATACAACCTTTACTTGTAAATTTGAAAAGTAATAAACTTGTTTTAAATTTCTTGTGACACAACTTACACATCTTAATTGCGGTCTCGGCGGAAGCAGAGCGAACAACTTTTAGGATATATTGATATTCTGAAATAAAACGTTTATGAGTTTCAATCACTCGTGAAGACTAGGAGCTGGAAGTGTAATCAACTATGGGAAAGTTTCAACATTCCATCGACTCCTTCTCCTTTCTTTCCCAGTTTTTATTGGTTTGCCGCGCCTGAACCTTTGAATCCATCTCTTCGGTTTTCTTTCAATTAAAGAGGGTGTTACCACTTATCTGCGCTATATCCGGTTTACATTCTTACCCGAATTAATACTTATCATTTTTTGCATCCAATTCTTTAAAACTGTTCTTGAAATCAACTTTAAATCGTTGTCTTATTACCACGCTCACTAGAAGTGATAATTTCAGCTGCTTGGTGATAAAACGAGTCAGAAATTCAGAAACAATACTGTGCGTGTGATTTATTTCAAAGTCGTTACCCTTAGAGAGATACCGATATCGTGTGAGACGTGTTGTATTGAACAAAATTCTTTCACTGATAAGGCAAAATGTTCCTTTACAAAGTCCAGTAGCAACAAGGAGAGAGGTTCTGTTCAGCTTTCACGCAAGCGCAGTACTGCATGCCTTTTATTGGCTTTCTGGTCAGTGCCTTAGCGATTTCCAAGTTGCTTTGTTCTACACGCGTTAATTTTCGGCACTGAATTGGTTCACTTCGGTACGTGTTCTGAATACCCAGTCGAGGATGACTTCTGATTTACTGTGTCCTCAACCTCAGCGCTATAGAGAGAGTTAGAAAATGACCTTTCATTTAAATTTTTCCAAAACTAAATAACTGCTTTGAGATAGAACAAATTTTACAACGTTACGAAAAGCTCTCTTCTATCATGGCTGTAACCGATCAACCAATGACGCGTTTTCATCTAATTTAGAGAAACTCCGAACAACGTCAACAGCGATTAGCTAAACACAGTTTGCGGCTCTCTGAAAGCTTCCCAGTTTACAGGCTATGCAATATTAAAAAAAAAAGGAAGTTGCATGGCTTCATGATGTTTACCTGTACTTCGCAACAGCTGCATATTTTCGGTCCACTCTATAGCTACTTAGAAAACTACTTTTGCTAACAGTTCAAGTGAATAAAAGCACAAACCTACCTTCCAGCGACATTTTGAACCCATTCCACAACACTTTGTATAAGATTGACAGCTAGGTTGATCGCTATGACAACGTACTCCTGAATGACAGCTAACACATCTGGTAACTTCTCCACAATCTTTTCGCCAAGTTTTGCAAACCAAGTCGCGACAGAGGAAAAGAAATCTGGAGCGAGTTCGTAAATCTTGTGCGCTAAGTTAGTTGCAAGTTCCTGCACCTTGGCGAGTAGGACTGGGACGTGTTCTGATAAGAAATCCCAGATTTTTATCAGGTATTTGTGAACCACAGGCCACCAAGTGTCCCAGAAGTGCTTTAGGTGATCGCGAACTATACCCAGATAAACTGGACCTTCCGTTTCAATCTGCACAAAAAACAAGGAAAGAAAAAGGACAAAAACACAAAAATTTTAGTTCATAATGCAGAATGACAACAAGCGCTACCATTTTTAGACAAATGCTTAAAATAAAAATTATTCATACTTTGGCGTTGTACAAAATCCTAGAATCTCATTGGCTAACGTGTGTGATAAAGGGGAAAAACGCACAATATTCATTCAATACTTATTTCCCTCCCCTTCCTCTGGATTTTATAAACTTGAAAGAACAGTTATTATTTTGACTTTACTTTACATTTAAATGAAAGACTGGTGGTGAAAAAAGATAACTTGGTTATACTTGCGCCAGTCTAAAACTAAATAATTCAGTTCAATTATTTGCTGGTTTACATTTTTCTTCCGTAGCTCGAGACAGTAACAAGGATTATGTTGGCTGGCACCCACCGAACACCTCATTTGTCTCACCTTTTCTAAAAGCTGTGGTATTTTAACGTTTAGATAATCTCTAGCTGGTTTGGTTGTTTCTGCTATAAATGTTCCGATAATGGTCAGTTTTTCCCAAACAAATGCAGCAGCTGGATCTGCGTGTTCTCTAAACTTGCTGTAGTATGTAGGGTAGTTCGTTTGAACCCAACTAAAAGAAAATCAGACACAGTAAATAGAAAGTTTGAACATTACTCTATTCCAACTTCAGTGCGCAAATTACAACCTTTATAAACAGAATGGCAAGTCAGAACAAAGAAAAATATTGCAAGGAGCCGACGAGAACTTAGTTTGGCATCTGATTGGTCTAGAGAATGGTGCGAGTTTTTCTGGACCAATCACAGAGCAAAAGCAATGCAATCCCGGATTAAATTCGAACCTGATTTAAAACTTGCTCTCACTTTACAAGTGAGTAACAGACGGACCAAAAGATTATCAGTAATAGCAGGTACAACACACTAAATCGAAAGCTGTACCTGTTCGCCACATCAATTCCCTTCTTTGCATGTCCGTATCCTGAAACAGCAGCCTGCTCTAAACCATAATCCCTTGCGATCCGGGCCGTTCTACTCGCTTCGTACATGAAAAGATAAAAGAGATCAATAACTTTCAAATTCATAATTGAGTTAACATATACAGCCTCTTTTGAAAAGGATATATACTGCCCATGGAAGGATCGATTATAGGCAAATGGTAAGTACTAAACATGGTCAATACCGGTCAAATCATCAGACAAACGACTGTCAGTAGTCATTCCTGTTTGGGCATTTGTATCAGCGGATGCCGCATAAATTCGCAGTTATACAAATGGCTGTATTTTTGTATGCAAAACTTCTTTTGCTGAGCTGAAACAACACCTAGCTAGACCAAAGGGTGCCTTTTAAGATACTGTTATAAATTTGCTGTGGTGGTCTTTATTTGAAGCTCTTATCTTGAGGAAGAATATCGCCAGGGAAAGCAAAATAAGGGAAATCACAGTAAGCATTAGTTACCTTGGTAACCTTTGTGTTTGTAAACGTCAATGGAAATCACTGCGACTAATAACAACAAAACAAGTTTGAAGAGTTTTCCGCACGAAAAGAAGGACTTTTTCTTGGTCTTCTTCTTCTCCTTTATGGCCTAAATAGACAAAGGACAAGTAGTAAGAGACTAATGCCTCGCCTCCATGCGGTGCACCTTTTCACGAACGAACGCGCGACCATCACTTAACCAAAATTCTCTGGCTTTGTAGGATACCGTGTTTTCGCGGTGTGACGCATCTCACGCGCGAACCGCTATAAGGGTTGACAGCCCAGAGAAAGCTTTTTACCAGGGCCTTAAGTGCATGCTGACGTTTGAAAATATATAAGTTGCTGCTGCTGCTAAACCAAATGACGATTGCTCATCAGGACTTCGAAATCTGAGTTCACAAACATTGGGCTGACAGTAAATACGTAAATCTAAATTTTGCCTAAAGTCAGTGCAACTCCTCTTTCAAAGAGAAGACCTTGAGAGGACTCACAGGAAAAAGCAGTACATGTTTAAAATTTTGGCGAAAACTAACATGACAGACATCAAAGTTCGCCTTGAACAGGTGAACCACATGAATAAGCCTCCTTTACGCTTATTAAATGCAAGCACGTTCGAAACTGGTGTTCGACACAATGCTGATTTCAACCATTTCCTAGAAAAAAATACTTATGCAACATTTATTCGATGAAACTTGAGTGACTAATTGAAATAAAGCCTATTATTTCACTACAAGCTACATTATTGTTTCATGCAAGGAGAGTTGTGAATTTATCTGCTTCTAAAATAATTAACGATTGTCACATAAGCCTTTTTTTTTTAATTAAATTTGCGGAGGACAAAACTATGTGATGTAGGGATTTCCTCTTACTTCGCCTTTTTTTTTTCATTCACTGCTTCAATAAAAGTTAGATTTCCCTAAAAACTAAGTTTTATGTACGTTAGCAGGTGGGAAAACCTGCACAGGTTGTTACCGGGTGAGGCAGAGTAATTTTAATCGATAAACATCTGTCGGCAAATTCTCATCCTAGATAAGCTGAGTGATGGTATAAATCCGTCATTTCTGGATTGAAAGCGTAAATATCATAAAAGTAGGATAGAAAATAGGAAGAGAAAAGAAGTGAAATGATAATGATCAGTTCGTCATCACTAGGTCCTAATGGACAAACATAACCTAAGGGTTGCAAGGTGGGAAACTGTCAACATGGGATTCATATATGGCCTAGCCCACCAGCGAATTCTTTGTAACTCAGTTTGATGAGTATCAGACCGTGAAATTGGAAGCTCTTAAACTCAAATCCTCATTCATATTTCTTTTTTCCTTAGCTCGTGACAAGATGTTTGACATCTATCTTCTCTACGATTGAGTTAAAAAATCTACCATCAGTGACTTAACACTGGTCATAAAACATTAACAATTTAACCAAACAATAATTACTAACTAAATATAAGCCAAAGTATTCTCGTTGTTAAAATCTGAAATGGAAACCTCCTCCTCCAGTAATTAACGACTGAAAGGCGTTAGAACCAAAGACGCATAATAAAATTCAAGAACAACTCACCGCTTTGTCTATTTCAGTCATTATTGCGAACAAAACTTGAACAGTTCAGTCCCGTAATAACCAATCACTCCTAGTTGTACTATAAAAACCTGTCAACGGCCCAGTTACAGAAATTTGGCGGAAGAACAAGAAGATTCAGGGAAAACTCAGAGCAGCAAAACTAATCGACCTGCTAACTGCATGAGAATCATACACAATACACTATCACGTGAACATCACACTACATGAGCGCAACGACCAATCAGAGAACACTATGGGCTAGTGGACTGTGATGCAGCAAAACTAACCCATTAACCCAATCACTCTGACGAAGGGCTGACGCTCGAAACGTCAGCCTTTAAACTCTTTACGGTGGCCTATTTACGTTTTCAACTCAGTTGAGAACATTAAATTACCCTGTTATACTCTCTCACCGACGCAGCACCACAGTTTCTTTGGAAACTAACCCCCTTTAACCCACCAGCTTGCTGCATGAGAATCATACCCAAATTACCACGTGAACATCACGTTAAATGAATACGTCAACCAATCACAGAACACTACCTGACCATTGTGATTAACATGACTACTAAGAAAAGCGTTGACATAAACAACGTTCCTCAACTGATCCTAGAAAACGAACTGACACATAAGAAAGACAGGGCGCTTCTGTTATGACGAAGTTTAGGGTGGATTTCGGTCGAATTACGGAGTCGAATATAAACAAATCTCTTTGTCTTTAAGGCTATCAAAATTTTTAAATTTAACGTAGGTAAAATTGGGGTTCTAAATAAACCACACAAACGACCCAAACTGGACGTTTTCCTACGCTCTGAGGTGCGAATTGCTACAAAGAACAGTTTGAAAACTCCCTCAACAAGTTCACCTTGTGGGAGATCTGGTGCCTTTAGTTATGAGAAGCACACTGAGCTTATCCAGGCGATTCAAAAGACATACGATATAAGTTATTTTTTCGTCCACACGACGATGGATACCTGTCTAAACCCTGGCTAGAAAATTCATCTGTTGATTAATTTGCTAATTCATTCATTTTTTTAAGAAAATGAGGTATTCTCCTACCTCACAAGCTTTCACACAGCTGTCCAGACCAGGCTGTTAACCAATAAAATACAGACAGTCTATATGTTAGTTATCAATAATTCAGCGAATTCAAAACAACCGGTAACAAAGACAAGATAAGATCCTGGCTATACGCCCCACCCCCTTCCCACCGACGGAGACTGGAGGAAAAATCCCTATAAAAAGGTATTTTATTGACTGATTCCAGCTCACAGGCATATTCACAGAACTATTAGAAAAAAAGGAGAGCGGAGCAGAGTAATCATTTCTTGCAGCCTAATCAAGTGCTGTCGGAGAAAATTCGTCTGATGAAGCCGTTCGGACGGCCACCCAGAAAATTCATTGAAAAATACAAATCGATTCACTTTTTTCGTTTAAAATAAATCAATGTAAGGAAGAATGCCGTATAAATCCCTAACGAAGCCAAGAAGAAGTTAGAGAATTCTCTAAAAAAATACTGACTTTCAAATTTAGGCGAGTTTTAAAAAAATAAGTAGTAAAACCTTAGCCCAGTGGTTAGCAGGCCGGACTCCGGGTCAAACAGTGGGGACTCGAGGCCTGGTCGAGTGATTGTGTTGTTGCCTTATACTTAAATCTCACAGTGCCTCTCCCACCCAGGCGTATAAATGGTTCCAACAAACTGTATTTACGTTAGACCAGTATCCCCTTGAGGAGGGTATTATTAGGCACACTGAGCTCAGAAGACTGAATTTATTACATAAGAACTCACCTTGGTTTTGTTATTTTCCAGAAGTGGTCGGTTCTTTGCTTGGAATACGTCCACAGTGGCGAACAGCTTGCTTTGAAGACTCTGTACAATGATAAACAAAAAATATGATTTGTAAGTTAAACTTTTACTATTTGCTAGGATAAACCAAACACGAAGCGGAAGAGGGACACCTCCGAGCTGATTTTCTCAGCGGATGAATAGGTGGTCAAGTTTGAACAACAGATTAGCAAAAAAAGTTTCGTATCAACCAGTCATTGACTAAATCTGTGAGATTTGAGGTTGAACGAATTTAGAAGCAACCGTAAATCGTCGCGAATCGCGGGTCACACTTAGGCTTGACTACAAGGTTGGACCAGTAAGTGATGCATTTGCTGTGATCAGCTAGACTGAACACATGTCACTGATTTCCTAGTTTTTGGCCTCAGTTGTACAAAATATGTTTAAATCGCTACGTTTTGTGCCAAGAAGTTAACTTTGTGCAAGGAAAAGCTTTTGGATCCGTCTAAGAATAGGACAATCGATATTCACCAATATCTAGTCTAATTTTATCTCCCCCACACTTGCACACTTTTTTTTTAGTGTAGTGCGGAAATCAACTTACCGTACTTTGGGAATTCCAAGTATTTATCAAATGATTTAGAAGCAGACTGAAATGCAACAAAAACAGATCAAGTTGAAGCACATATTTTAGAGAACAGTTTAAGGAGCTAAAAAAATCGGTTTGAACGATACAATCATTTCGACTCTACATAGTACAGTTTCGACCTAAAAAAAAGAGTGCAAGTCATCTCTATAGAAAAATTACTGTTATGACTGTGCACCCAACCCACTTATCACTGGTTACTAGTTACATTTACAGATCGGTCAGAACAAGTAGAGAAGCGAACATTGATTTAATACTATCTTGTAAAATACGGCACGACTGAAAACCAAGACTAAAAACCCACCCTAAAATTCTTAATTTATTGTGGAATTTATCATACCCTGATTGCTGTAAGGTCGCTAGATAGCTGCTTTCCCATTTTGTAAAGCAATCCTGATCTTTTTCTAAGCACATCACGAGACAGCTCAGAACCTGCATCACAGAATGAAATAATAGTGAACGTTTTAAATTACTACATATCCATCCGGGGAGACAACAAATCAGCGATGTCTTTACCAGCAATATGATAGGTCTATTCAATGGAATTTCAAAACTCTGGACCACATGAAATCTATTTGCTTTAAGAAAACAAAAACTGGTGATACAACGACGAGAAACACACCCCCAGGACCAAACATAATTTGCACCTACCTCTATTTGGTATTCTAATGGAAGCTCACTGTCCAGACGGCTTAGCAAAGTGCCAAAGTACAATCTGCTGACTGGTCTTGTTTCTGAACCTAGAGAAAGCCTCTGAGATAAAATAAAAAATATGGTAAATTTAAAAAAAGGCCATTTTACTTTCAATGACTAGTTCTGCCTTCTGCATTTTGCCCAAAACATATAAATTGTCATTCACTTTTCAAATACATTATTGATTGCATTTTCTCAGCTAAAGTTTTCAAAATTTGGTGTTATAAATTACATAAATAGTTTCATATTGAGTGCGTTTTCACTTTAAGTCACCACTGTGTAGAGGGTTCTGATAGATAGCAGATAAAAAAGTTTATGGGCAACTTATACAATACTTTATTTATTACAAGGCATGTATCTCAAGATCCTCATTGCCATGTCCACAAACAGTAACATACCTTTATTTTGGGGTAGAGAGACAACAGCTTTCGCTGCAAGCTACAGAAAACAAACAAAAGAAAACTCTGCGTCTTAACCTTCTCTGACCAAGTTCAATGAATCATTTGATATAATAATCAAACACTCCTGGGTTCAACCTCAAGTTTCTGAATATTCATGTTAAAATGACTCCTTTATGAAACCTCCAAAGACAAGAAAAACCAATTATCCTACCTAAGGATTAAACAATGGCTGGACAAGTCACAATAATTTAGTGTCATATTAACCAGTGTGCTATCATAAATAATTTTCTTAATTCTCCATGGCTGTTTGTTTGACAGTCTACTAATCAAACTTTATTGTTAAAAAGAAGTCAAATGTCAATCACTACTGGAAAAATAAAGGGTTTGGTTGACAAATGTCAAGGCAACAACTCTCTAAATACATTTAATAATACTTTATCAAATCCTGGTAAAAAAGTGTATGTAGTGCCTAAGCATATATGTTTGCCACAAGTTATGACTTAGCAAAAAGGCAATGTACCTTGTGTTACCAGCCAGAGGAGAGGCAGGAGAAAATGCCACCTCCATTACTGTGAAAAATTCCTTTGGCTCAACAAGGGCCCCTTGGTTACCAACAGGTTTGCATGTACTGAAAAACAACCACACAACACTGATTATATAAACTTATATTTCATTCTGCAAACAAATACGGGCTGATTGTGCCTTATCAGCTAATATTATCTCCAAGCATTTCCCAACCCAGCCATAGCATTGTGACAGAAAGAACAAACAAGAATAACAGGAAACCCACACCCTACTGTTTGCAAAGAGTGAGAGGGTTCTTCAATGTCCCCTGTGCACCATGTGGCATTGAAGCAGGGGAGGGAGACAAGGCCCACCAGCTATAAGCTTCTTCGGAAAAGAGATATTTTGGCAGAAATCACCTTTTAGAGACTGGTTTCAAGAACAACAGGCACAAAACTTGCTGCATTGTGTTACCTGGCCTTTACAGTCCTTATCTCATAAAACTATTACCCATTTACAAATGATATTGCCAAAGCAGCACATTCTTCCCAATCATTTCAAGACCATTTGTGTTCATCAAGCCTGGGGGCTTGCACCCTGACCCTCTGCCAAAGCAGTCTATCCCTTTCCTAAGTGAACCAAGCAAACACCCCCCACTTTTACCTTAACTGCAAAATAAGGTACTAATCAATGGTACCAAATATCATTACCTGAGGAGATTTTCCAAGTAAGAAACAGAATATTTTGTCAGATGTTTCACATTTAACTGAGGTAACATGACTTCCATCCACACTGCAACAAACACAAAAAAAAACCTGAATCATTACTCAGAGTATAAAAAATTGCCAGTGTTTAATGCCTGTTACTTATTTTAGACAGCTTAATCAGCATTGGCAGGTACCTGGTGGCCCTTCATCCTTCAAATATCATACTTTGTGTGAAAAAAAAAAACTCCAGAATATGAAAACATTATTGTCATTGGATTGCTGGATAAAGAGTTTCAGGAAAAACTTCCACGAACAACTTCCTATATGTAATTTTCTTGTCTTTTAAAAATCAAATTCACAGATTCATTGTATGATGTGTGTACTGTAACTCTACAGCAAATGTCACCTAGGAACACCCATCCCTTCTGGTTGTGAATTTATGTACAAAGCTATCACAATGATTTACATGAAAAATGAGTTAAGTTTATTGGCATCAAATAAAAACATATATCAAGGATCAAACCAGATTTCCGAAGACTTCATGTTCTTACACAAGAAGTGAAATCTTCTGAATGCCTTATGATTTCAGGCGAAGAGTTATGCATGCCACTGATTGTTGAACTGATGAAGCCTGATACATGTACATTGAAAAATAGCTGTAATTTCAGTGTTTACTGATACCCTCACAGTGGTTATCAAACACCAAAATTACAGCCATGAAGAAAACTACAATCACATTCCCAAGATCACACAACACATGATCCACTACTTGCCCACCCAAGCTAATAATAAAATCTAAGAATCATTTAATATATGCAAAAGAGCATAGAATTTGAAAACCCTCATTTCTTTCTTTGTTATTTTGTGGTAAGCTTCTCCCTTACATAAACCTTCACTCTGTCACAGGCTGATGGGTTACAAACCTGTTAAACCCTGAGCTAAGTCCTTTTCTGGCAACTGTCCAACACACCACATCAATGTTAATGCCTCGCGTGTACGAGTCCTCCGTTGCATGAGCATCTCTTGCACCTGTGCACAACAAAAATTCCAAACATTTATTCATCTGGAGGCAGGAACATGTAAAGTACAGGTCAACAGAAACACATGGGAGACCATTACAAAGGCTCCAGACCTGTTAAAAGGGAATTTAGTACACATGTACCTCTTACCTCTTTTAATTCTTCCAAAGTGATCTGTGGCTGATGGTGTACAATAAACTGCAGCATAATTTGGTCACCATAGGCAGAATAACCTACCATGAAGATCATAAAGTAACAATTCAAAGTCATCTTGCATAGAAAAATCAAAGATACAAATTTTCCCTCAGCTTGTAGATTAGAGAAGGCACTTTTTTTTTACAACTTTCATTGGAAAAAACCTTCCTAAATTGCAAAGCACTGTAAAAATATGAAACCAATGTTGCTGATCTGTTTTTGAAAAATCATAATCATGGGAAAGATATGCATGAAAAGCAGTTAGAATACGTCCAAAATGATTTTTTAAGGTTAGCAGGAATAGTAAGAAAATTTTACTGAAAGGGTGTTCATGTTGTGCAAGTTACAATACCTTTACTGAGGTCTTGCACCATGTTTTCAACCGACCGCTGATACACAAGTTTCAAGGTTGGCTTCGTACATTTCTTCATGAGGTTGAGGAAAAATTTCTTGAGTGCAAACGGCATTACGCACATTGGATAGTCTGTTATGTAAATAATCACAGAGTCACAATGAAACAATGTCAGGTGCTCAACCTGATCCAGTGTAAATTATTAAGAGAGGGTTTATTTTCATTTCAGGGGGATACACAAATAGCTTCTTGATTCCGGTGTCAAGGAGACCTACAATGTCTTGTATCATGTTCAATTTCAGGCCTTTCATTTGACCCCTGATCCATCCAGGTGATCACTGCATGATATCATATGATTGCATTTTCATGAGTTCTTTAATAGCAGAGCTCGCAGAGCTTGCAGAGCATAGCCCCATAATTATACAAAATAGTAGCAACCCATCAAGCTGAAAAAATTTGGATGTATGACCGTATGACCGTACAGGGTGCTACTTTTAACATGCGTGGTCAACTGTACTGCGGGCACACCAATGCCACAGCTTTGTTCAGTAGTCCAGTGGTCAGTGCACAGGGCCCGGTTGTTCAAAACCGCGATTAAACTAATCGCCGATTAGGCCTAATCGGCGATTAAATTTCTTAATCGTGGGTTAGTTAATCGTTGGTTAAAAAACGGTTGTTCAAAGGGAGATTACTCGGTCGATTTACTAATCCGCGATTAAGCATAAAATGAATTATATTAATTAATTATAATTTATTTTGTGCCAGTTTACGTCATAAAATTGCCGGAAATTTATTTTTGTCAATATGGCTTCTCCAGCGAAAAAGGGGGGAAAGCAAACTTTTCACCCGCTGAAATTTCCGTTTTAACAGAAAAATTTGAAGAAAATATGGATATTCTTCAAAGTAAATTTACCAACAGTATAACAAATGCAAAAAAAAACAAGATTTGGGAAGAAATCTCGGAGGCGGTAAACGCCGTCGGTGTGACAGCAAGATCAACGCAGGAAGTACGAGACAAGTGGAAAAACCTCCAGAGTCACGCAAAAAGAGAATTCAGTTCCTTTAAAAGTGAACAGAAGAAGACAGATGGTGGCCCTGCTCCCCCGAACCCATCAGAAGCCAGTTTAAAAATAATAAACATGTTCAGTAACACACCGTCATTTACTGGGTTACAGGGGTTTGAAACAGGTAAGTTTATAAATGGAAACATTATTGTAATACCTCTCAATGTCCATACCTTGCATAAAATGTATACTTCGCACAAAGCAAAGTGAAAATTAACGGACTTCAGAATTTTGTTTCTTTCTTATTTTCTTTTACATGTACTCCGATGTAAACAAAAAAACAAATGGCGCCCGAAAAGTCTGCCTTGCTCTTAATTCTTCGTCTGTATATCCATCTATCGTGAAACCGATGCTCCTAAACTCTCTTTGCTTCCTTTTTCTTCGCCCATCAACACCAACACAACCATACAACAAGTCAGCCATGTTGTGATTTTTATTTTTTAATCTACCGATTAAGGATTTAATCCACCTAGCGAGCAGGGTTAGATTTAACCCTTGGTTTGATCGGAGGTTAGGAATAATCGGGCTTTGAACAACAGAAACTAATCGGCGACTTAAATTTAATCGGCGATTAGCCTATTTAATCGTGGATTAGCGCTAATCGCAGTTTTGAACAACCGGGCCCTGGGCTCTGAGTCGGATGACCCAGGTTCTAGTCCTGGCTGGGGCAAGGCGTTGTGCCCTTGAGACATGCAGGAAAAAAAAATGCAAGCTCCGCTTTTAGGCTCAGCTAAATCTATATATTACTGTTTCCTACACATTGAAAATTGTGCTGCAGCCTTTTTGTTTCAAATGAAAGTTTTCAAATACTCCTTCAATTCAACATTTGACATGTTTCACAGCTCAGAGTATAAACTTGTGTAAATCTGATTACTTAAACCACAATGTCTTGGTAGTGAAAGGTTTTCCATGATATTGTGAACATTTAGATAATTCTGAAAAAATTGTTTTAATTGAGTTAGGTAAATTGCTGAGCTCCCCCAGCAATTAGGGCTTGCTGACACTTGACAAATCTCCCTTCCAGGGCATGAGCATTATTTTCCATGCCCTTCCAGATATTGAAAACCAGTTTGTACAAGAGACAACACTCTTCCAAGATGTACCATCCTTGAACAGTATGTGACTTGTGGACCATGATTGGTCACACAATCAACAACTAAATTTTGTTCAACTAGCCACAATTTCTAGTGCTCATTAAAACAGAGTATAAGACTTTTTGAAACAGTTATCACTGTGGTCTTAACTTTGTACAAACCTGCTGGTTTGCCTTCAAATGTTGGGTCTTTCTGTGGAACACCTTTCAGCTTAAGCTGAAGATGCGCACCAATGTCAGTCAACCAAATCTGCATAAGGAAAACAGAAACAGGTAAGGATTGAAAACACTGCAACAGTACAGGGAAAAAAAATTAAGTTACAAGTCTGCATTAGTATTTGGAAGGAATCTGTTTCTGAAGATGAAAAGTTAATTTCTATGTAATCAGTTTACAAATGTCAGCTCAGACAGTTTCTATAACCTGTGCATAAAGTCCATCACATGCCAGCCTAATTTTTTCAGGTCCTGTCTCAACAATAGGAAAAGGCCTTATTCAAATTCAGTTCTGTAACATGGTTTCTCTTCCTTACATCTGTATAATATAAATCTGAAAGCAATATTATGGGATTTATTGTTTGTACAATATATTTTTGTGTCCCTCAACTCCTAGAGGTGATTGAACTTATTTGTTTGTCTTGTGGACAAGTTAACAGGTAATGAGCTATTTTTTGATTGTAAAAAAATATCTTAGCCAATTTACCAAAAGGGACATGTCTAGTAGCTAAATTTTAAAGGCAATACAGTGGAACCTCGATTTAACAAAGTGCCGTGGGATTGGGGAAATTAGTTCATTATAATGAGGGTTCATTACACAAAAACCTTGATTTAAGGAATTTACAAAAAGACAATTATACAATTTGCTATAGTGAGGGATGGATAATAGTTGCTGTTTTCTTTTTCTTTTGTTTTTTTTTTCTTTGTGGTGTGATGTCTTACTACCGAGCAATATGGGATAGGAACAATTACTATAAGTAACATTTGTGCTTTAATGTCTATATGAAGCTACAGTACACTGTACAGGTCTGTATAAAGCTACAGCACCTTGTTTTTAAAGCACAGAAGACAAATTTTAGTGGAAGTCACTGGCAAATGGAGAAACAATGTCATTGAACCAGAAATTCCTGCCTTTTATGCCATTTACCACAAAAAGCCTTCAAAAATAAAGAAGTTAATACACCTAAGAAGAGAGAAAGAGGATAAAGCAGATCTGTGGATATGTTGATAGTGTCAGTGTCAGCATTCATAATAAGCTTTTGAACACGAAGTTGTTCTATTGTTACAGGATTGAAGGATTTTGATTCTTATTGGTCTGTTTTGCATTTTTCTTTTGTCAGGTGTTGACATTTGTTTGTTATATTGGGGTATGTTATACATTTGGGCTTCTGGATTTGTTTGTTATAACCACGATTTTGTTATACCAAGGACTTCATTACATGGATGTTTGTTAGAGCGAGGTTCCACTGTAGTCAGATCTTGGGAGAAAATGGTTGGTCTACTCTCTACTCTCTATACTTACTGATGGATTGTTTGGAAATGATGATTCCAAGTTTGTTAGGATTGCTGTGAGCTCATCAACATCCACCTCAAATAGGTGAAATAAATAAAAACAATGAATAACCAGATAGTAATAGTGTTTGTACCATTGTCAGCCTAAACAATAAGATCATCATTCAAATAGTCTTTACAAATACCAGTATATAATATATAGAGAAATTAGAACCTGGAGATATCTGACTTAAACAGGAGAGCATTCAGTTCTAACCCACCATGCATATGATATAAAGTATTTAATCTGTTTAAGGCTTTTTTTCTACAAGTTTCATCCTTTTAATATAATAGAGGTCTGCTGTCTAAACCTCTTCGACAAATCTGTGTTTTGTGCAATAAATATATCTTATTAGACATTTTGGTGTGTAGTGTTGCTGAGTGTTTTGAGAGTTGTGCAATATTTTTACTTACCCTACAGGCTTGTCAAAATACAAACAACAACTAAAAATACTCAGCAATAGTACACACCAAATTGTGTTATTCGTGATCCAATTGTTTTATTTTGTATGCATTTCTTATAAGGGAAAAAAGAAGAGGATAAAGAAGTGTAGTATACACAGCCGACTGGTTAAACAGGCTTTTTTCCAGTACAAAATAACCACCTCTACAATATTGCTGGCCATTGTACTCTACTTGGTGCAGTTGGGTGATAATTACATTAACACATGTCATGTTGTATATTGTGCTAGATTTGATCCCAACTGCCTGACCCTGAATTAAATGCTATCGTAACTAAACCTTTGGAATTTTGTTGGAAGACTAAGGGGAACTAGATACTTGTTGTGTTTACAGAATTTCTATGTAACTCACGAGTACCTTTAACAAAGCCTCTTGGAGTAATTCTTCGTCAGTCTTCTGAGGTTTAGTTGATACTGCTTTCTTCTTCCCACCGATAAAACCACCACTAAGTTTCTTTATTTCTGGGGCTTGTTCTGGTACTCTTTCTGCTAGAACTGCTGGCAGCTCTTCATAGACATCAGATGTGTGTTTCACATGTCCATTAACAATATGTGAAGCGTGTGCTTTAGGGCCTTTGAGTGCTTGGTAAATTGTTTTGGATTCTGCCAGGGGATCTGGAAAATTGTAGACAAATAAAATTCGAAAGATTAATTTTTTTATCCAGAAGTACTAATCAAATTACTCTGGCTAGCCGGTTATCATATAGCTATAAGTCATCAAAATTAGTCGACTAGTTGACATTGATTGGTATTGATTGATATCGATTATCATCGATCGTTGATTTCATCTATTGGAAGACACTGTCGGAGGGAACCTTTATAAGGCTAAAGAAACCAAAAACCATCTTTTTTCTTTATTAAAAAACGATACAAATAAGCCATTGGTTACTTGGCCAAATGCATCTCTCACACTATTGCTTACACAAAGTTCTTGAAAATTAGCTTTTCGCTTTGTGACTGTCCTCAGATTTAATCTTCGTGAAGTTTTCAACAAGCACAACTTGCATTTGCATACGTGGCGAATTGGCACGCGAAGTTGTTTTCGTTCCGTGAGGCTTTAAGAAAGTCGTCAATTTCTACTCACTGACTATTTCTGCTTTAGGCATATCTGACGCCTTGACTCTGTTCTTCTTGCCTTCATTTGGAGTCCTTTTCTTTCCCCCTTTCCCAACTACCTCCCACTTCTCGTTGGACGCCATCTTGAATTTAAAGTATACTGCAGGGGAATCATGGGAAGACATTGCAACGTGATCCTCGAACAGATGTTAAATTTCCCGCCACTTATTTCCCAATGAGATGGACTAGAGTTACAAAATCCGCAAGCTAATTTCAACACGAAGCAAAAAAGGTGCATCGGTGCATTATAAGGAACTTATGAGCAGGTAATCTTCAGTCAGTTTATGTAACCCGTAGCGAAGTCTGATGCAGGTGCATCAATTGTGTTTTAAGTTACGCAAGGGGGGAAGAAAAAATCCAAATAAATTAAATTTTAGTGCTTCAGGGCTGGTATTCATTTCTTGCTTTCAATTTAAAACAAAAACCGACCACGCGCAATTTAAAATGCAGCTTATTGTGGAATTTACATCAGGTTAATCAGTCAAAGACACAAGATATTATGGTGCCCTCAAGCAAAACTTGAAGAATATATCAAATCCGTATTACCTTTACCATTGTAATAAAATCAATGCTACTGACGTTATCGAAACCCGTTGAACCATATTTGTGACATACTCCAAAAAAAGTCGTTTATCTATGAAATTATATCACAACTCCTACATCTCAATCCTTATTTCTGTAAGAACTGGATGAAGAAAGTTATCGCGAATTGACAGAAATAAGAAGACTGAATCTTAAATCTTCCAACTTTTTTGTAACTTCCACCCGATATAGTTCATTTTTATCTCCAGAATAATATGAAGAGAAATTCGGGGATTGATCACTCGATCAGCCGTTAAACATATGTGCAGTAAGTGAGTTACTGAGTTATCACACCAAGGAGAGTCCCCTGCAGCGTTCATGAACCAGATTGTACGACAAATGAGGACTTCCTTCAGTGCATCCATAAATTTTTAGGACTGTACACATCATCTCCAGAACAAGAAATGAATAAATTAAACATAAACATATCATTTCATAATCATCTCGTTCTGACAGACTTCAGTTCTGAACATCATTGAATCCAAGTGCAGTTCTTCACCTGTAACAGGGCATTGCTATTTCACCTGCAGGAAAATTATAGTGGAGTTGTTTATTGGCAAGTGGAAAATGGAACAATTTTCTGAACATCTGTAAGAAATACTTGTTATAGTAGGGCAGAGATATTGGTAAACAAGCGCAAAAGATTTGATTTCGTTTATTGTCAAATACTGAACATTTTAGTATCACAACACTAACAAAGTTCTTCCGCGATACCAAATAGGGACTTCCATATTCACTGGGTGGTTATTCCTCAAATGAAAATTTAATTAATAATTCAATATGGGATTGAAAATTTGAAAGAAATTGATAACAAAACAACAGCTGGTATTCTACTATTTTGCAAATTTGGGAAAATTCTATCAATTCTAATCAATAGGCGATTTTGTCCCAATCCGTGGCAGCCGGGCCACGAAATGGCTCCTGGTCGTCGTCTTACATTTATCACGGCTATGATTGCATGCTATGAATGCACGCACTGTAGGGTCACAGAGAGTTTGAAAATAAAAGCTCTGTGAATTACCAACAACATAAAGATGTTTTCAAAGCGGATCACTTTCCGTCATATTAAAGGAGCCTTTTTATAATGATTCACTTCGTGTTTTTGCGCCGGTTCGCAATGCTATCGTCAAACCAAAGAAAGCCGTAAAATTCAAACATTTAAGATATAAAGATCACGGAGTGACCACTCTGAATGAATTAAAACGAAGATGTATCAGGATTGGGGAGACTAACACAATCCGTAAACAGAACATTTCAACGTTATAAGATTCACAAACCATGGTGTGTAATTCCCCATGGTAAAAGTGCTAAGTTTATCGACGCATTCGTCAATTTACATCTACAGAAAGCAATTTTTCCCTAAACATCCTAGTATTTCTTTCATTGTTTCAAAACAACGTCCATTTTCATAGCATGATTGAATATTTTACAGCTTAAGTGGAAGAAACGGTCGGAAGTGGAGTTGAAATGTCCCTTTTTAAGTTTGACACTTTTTTTATTATTAAACGTTTATTATATATAAAAATTTCACGAAATAATAGAGATAATAGATATTTCGTGAGACAAAATAGAGTCGGCTTAGATCTTTCATTTCACTGCTGTCAAAAAGAAAAAAAAATGAAAAATAAAAAACCAAAATATTTGCATATGGGGCAAAATAAGAAGTTTTTCTTGACGAAAGGTCATCTTTTGGTTGTGGGCGTGTTTACTAAAAGCTTCTACAAAAATTGATATTGTCAGAGAAAATAATTTAAATATGGCAAAAAGGCCTTCATAAAATTGAACAAAAGTGTCCTTTTTTAAAAAGAAAAGATAGTTTTTTTTGCGCCTCTATGGACGCGGCTACAGAAACGTGGTTAGGTTAGTCTCCGAGAGATTCAACTCAAAGGCAGGAGGAAATAGTTTCGATGATGGTTTTGCTTAACTGAGTCAATCCAAATTTTTTGTTACAGAAAACAAACGATAAATCGCTGTTATATTCAAAAAGTTTTAAAGAATTTTAAGGTTTAAGGTGAGATTTACGAGAATCGGAGTCCGTAAATTAAAATCTCGTATTAATCAGGTCGACCAAGAGCTACCGCCACGTTATTATTTCATTTAAGCTTTTACTTTTCGCAGCAGTCCTTTCTCGTCTGGAAATGTAGTCAAAACGTCTTAATTGATCGTTTAATTACTATCTATATTTAAGAATTGCTGTGCCCGTTTGCGCTGTGAGTTTTCACTTTCTTCCTGCGTGGCAAAGTGTTATCTTGTTTAATAGTCCTCCTTGACTTTTGGAGCCGATGGACTTGCGAACTGAAACAATGTTTTTTTAATATCAGCAATGCAAAATTCTAACGAACATAACCTGTAAAACTTTTAAAGAAAAATTGGAAACTTTCTCTTTCTAATTATTTAAGACACAGATTTAATATGTTCTTTTCCATACTAAGAAATCAACGTGGAAATGGTTTAGCATGGTGCGAGCGGATTTTATTCATTTGACAAAGAAGTGGTTTCGTTTTCATCAAAGTTTTATCTAATTGCTTGACATAGAATGTATCTTTGGGTAGAATAAAATAAATATTTAAGCGCTGAACCTCAAGCAATAGGCCACTGAAATAGAATAGCAAAGTGTCGGATTACGCTGTAGTAAACTGATTATGCAAAGCAACTTTTTTTCCTAATAGACCCCAAAAAAGATCGACTAACACAATATGCTAATATAATTCGCTTCTGCACAGGTTACGTCTTTTGTCACGATCGTTACAAAATTATAGGTTTGTTCTCGAACAAGCCCAACGTGCTTTTACTTTTCCTCATCGAAACTAAACAAAAAAATCCAACAAAATACAGAGGGATTGAAGAAAAGTCCCGCCATTGAATATATTTTTTTTCGCGTGACCAATTCCGTCGAGTCTTTTGTTTTGACTATAATATTGACGTGTCCGAAATGCGTCAATTTATTCCAAGCTTTTTGTGCGCAATTGAAGCTACTCATAAAATACCCATTTCGTATCTGAACTGATTGAAAAAACTGCTTGAGTTACAGAGCTAAATTCGGCTAAAAATACTCCAAGAGAAAGGAACACCCAACACTTCTTGCCGCCGTAGGCGAAAATCTTATAACTTATTGTTATTCAACACAAGCTTTTAGCGTGCGAATAGTATTAGACTTGGTATTTAAAATATTTAAGCTATACGAGCAAATGATTCTCATGTAGTTTTTAAATTACCTTTTTCTTACACATTACATTTGTAATATTTACCTATCGATTGAGTCAAAATGGTTTTCGCAAACAAGGCTTACTCTATTATTTACATTTCTCCCTATAAATTTCACTTGAAAATGTGAAATTCAAATACAGAGCATTATGATGAAAATGGGATGTTTTGAGTTGTAAACCGGCCTAAATTGCATATTCTCTGCCTCGCAAATGGTTTCAGAGAAATGATGTTCGGTATTTAACATTCATATTTCCGGCCTTCATCCGGTTTTCGCGGCTATCGACTGAATTCGCTTTATTCAGGCTTCTGAACAAAATATTCTCTTCTCCTCTTAGATCATGATAATCTTTAAAACGTATTCACCCGAAACAAATATATTCCGTGATTTTAATGATTGCGTGTTCTTCGTGGTTCCAAAGTGTCGTGACAGCGTCCTGCGAGTTTAGACTAATTGCCCACTTTCGCTCAGGACAATTCCGTAGACAGTACACTTAGCCTGAAAATACACGACTTACTTCAATAGGTGTTCTAAAACCCAACAGGGCCTCATCGAAAAATTCAAAGTACTATCTCATTAGCTGTCATTTAACTCATCCCGTCAACAAAGACAGCACAACATCCTTCACTCAATTATCTCAAATTATGCGTTGATCCTGTCAATATTGTTCGATTTCGGGACATCTGCTACCATGCGACAGGATTGGGCGTTCAACAGCAAAGCCCTTTAAATGCAACAAATTTCGTCCAATAGGAAGTGAGACGGTCACAGGCAATTTGCTTCCATGGGCCACCAAACGAACCCATCCCTCACAATATTCATTCAGCGAATATTCTGGCTGGCTCAGCTTCGGGCGTATTCTTTTCAAAGATGTCGTTCGAAAGGTCCTCATTCCGGCGAAATTTCCAGGGATGGGTTGAATTAAACTACGGTGAAAACAGTCGTACAAAGACAATCACGCGAAAAAAGTTTAACAAAATCTGCAGATATCTGCTGGGAGAGCCCCAGATCGAAACTGATGCAAAATTTCGCTTCTGGGTAAAGTCGAAAGGATTTCGAATCGCACAAGCCGAGGATAGTCCAGATTATGGCGTTTTGTACGTTCCAGTGAAAGTTCCTCATACTCGAGTAAGTCCGATAATCGCACAAAGGTTTCACACTCAAAATATTTGACTTAGCACGGTTTTGTTTGCTTTCATCTCTGACTGCGTTCTGTGGGATGTCTTGTGCATTTAGAGCGTAGAGATGTTGTACCCATACGAAGACAAGATCGGACAATCAGCTCGCTCTCAAGTCGTCGAATATCGGAGAGTTGCAGTAGCAGATGACTTTTTCGATATCATAAGCAGCGTTCACATCAATGAGAGAGGAATTCATGTTGGGCAGAAAAAGACCTACAAAGCGGTAAGTAGCATTAGGAATACCTTAGCTTTGTCGTGCAGTGAGTGAAATGTATTGTGCTTTACGAACTGTGGAATTAAATAGCAGGAGAGTGGATCGTACACATATACGTATTGTACCTCAATCATGGAACTAAATCTATTTCATATGTGAATAAGGCCTAATGAATGCCGAAATATACCTCAGAGAAAACAACTTGTCCAAAAAAATAACAGGTTTAGGAGAGGATAAATGTATTCTTGCACGAGATATTTCAATGACCCATACAGGTTGCGAATCGCGAACACGGACCGGCAACACGGATGAAATAGCGAAATACTCGGGATCTGTTCGCTCAATTTTATGCTTTGAAGATCTGCTCTATTGTAGTTGGAAAGCCATTTTTTTCTTTTCTTTCACAGGGATATAAAAGAGCGCCTAAAGGTTCGGTGAATTTCTCATCAAATGTTTGCTATATTTTTGTTAATCGAGCGGATGCAGTTAGTTGCCCCTAGAGCATGACTGAGAAGTCCCACTCATGAATCAGCGTCGAAATGTCCCAAAAACTCTAGGAAACCCACAGGAGATCTCTTTAATCACGATGCTGTCGGCACATTAGATTATCTACTGAGTTTGCGGCGAAATTTGCCACTATTCAGTGCGAATTTTCGCACCTTTTCTTAATGTACAAAGAGCTAAAGCGGTCTCGCGTGACTTCGTGAATTGTTCGTTTTGGTCCGTTTTCCATATTCAAATTAGTAAATTATTTTCATGCTAGAGCGAACAGAAGGCGAGTGTATTGATTGTAAAACAATTATCTTAGGCTTTATTTATCTTATTTCTATGTTGAGGTTTTTAAGAATCGTTAATAAGGACAGGGTTTGCCCGCCAGAGCGAATCCAAATTTGGGATGCATATGTGTTGCTCTATAGATTAGCGCAAACGTCATGCGAAGCACGATAAGACTAGAAAATACATGAAAAATTGATGTGTTTAAATGGGACGCAGCCGAAAAATGAAGATTTTGTCAAAACAAGTTCACTTGGTCGGTGGAATATCTTGTGGAGTTTATCATGTCAGTGGGGGCTCACTCTCAATTTTATTGCGACCCAGGAAATTTCATTTTTGATATGTCCGCTCGGTATTTCTGCTAATGCTTTCAATATTCATTCCACAGTACATCCGCATTAATATTCGCCTTGCATTAAAAAGCAAGACTCACTTTCTTTCCTGGTTATTGAATTTTTGCGTTAATCTTTTATTTCACGTTTCGAAGCTTCTCAGCACTCTTTGGGCGTAATTGCACCTAAAAGCCGTAGCTTTCAACCCAAAGTGAAACTTCAACCCATTTTCGCCTTGGGTGAAAAAGCATGTTGACCCGATTTTGAGTACATTTTGATTGCGACTTCTAGAAAGTTTGAAATGATGATTCAAAAAGTATTGTCTTCTGATAACGAACCTGTCCAACGTGCACTCTGCCAAAGTGCCATGTTGATAGTCAACTGACTCCGAATAAAATAATTTGCAAAATTATGCGGACAGCTGGTTTGCATCGCACGAGTTATTGAAAAATAAACTCACAGACGAACGTATTCGCATTCTCAAAAAACCAGACTGATGCACATAGTATATTTGTATGCGGTAGCTACGGCTATAAGGAATTTCTTCTATACTTCTCGTTACACCTGCCTTAAAAATACACCAAACCTAAATCTGTAGATTTTCTTTAAGTAATTGGAAACGAATCCTTTCTGCTGCCGCGCGCGCAATATGAATTTACGTTTCGTCTATCACGTTTTGTTTTTGAAATTTACCATTTATGTGTACGTGTTATTACTTCTGTATCGCATATCTACAAAAAGTTTCACTCGTGAAACAATCGCCACTCTTGTTAATTCTCTTCAAGTTATGAATATTAAAATCAAAACTTTAGGACAGAAGACATATCGGCTGACAGAGTTAGTGGCCATAATTCGCGGTTGCTTCGAGAAAGAATGCTGACGGCAATCTTAAAGTTTTCTTCATTAAACTAATATATTGAACCAATCCTGTATTTCTTTCCATCAACTGGAAATATTATGACTTTGTTTTGCAGGCGAATTACACATCCAGATCTTTAATAAAAGTGTCAACAGAGGCGCTCAAAATGCCAAAAATTGTTAAATTACTTGGACTTAAAACTTTACTTTGTATAAAAAAATAATCAATGCTAACTCTCTCGATGTTGATCTCAAAAATCGCCGCACTTTTTATCTGTGCGTTTCCCAGATTTTATTTCCTTGTCACCTTTCTGAATTTCCGCGTTCTACATTTACGATGTGAATACCTGTTTTATTTTTTTAAGATCGCACCTGTAGAAACTCTGAATACATCTCTGAAACATTTTTGTTGCGAAAGTACAAAAATCAGAAATGAGACAAATATTACCACGTCAATTTCTAAGGACTTTCAAAATGTTGTGACAAATTGATATAAAACCAGTAAGTTAATACCAACAAACTATCCAAGAGATGCAAAATTTTCTCGGGTTTAACAGAAATTCTAGTATTCAAAATTTTCATTTTCGACCAAACTGACAAGGAAAAGTATTAATAATAGAAAATAAAAAGCCTGAGGGAGCCACATTTGGCAAATATTATCATTTATTTTTTTTGTTGACAATTCCATAGTGAACACTTGTCGCCCCAGGGCACAGGGAGGGAAATTACTTTTATATTGCTCTTTTCTTCTCAGAAAGTGCTTTTAAATCCTTAGTTCCTAACGATTCGTTTCCAATCCAAGCTGACAGGCTTCTCAATTCATTTTCAAAAGATGTCCGAATGTCTGAAATAATTCCGGCCTTGTTCTTCGAAAAGAGTTCACAATGATTTTTTCTTTTTGTTTTATACTTCAAATTCATCAAAACGCATTAGGAAAAATTCAAAACTGTTTATTATTTTCCTTACAATCCTTTTATAGACATCCTTTCGGGATGAGAATTCTCTCTTCTTAGCGTATAGTCAGGATGTACTGTATGAAAAAAAATGAATGATGCAAAAGATATCAAAAAGAAAGTAACAGAGATTATTTTAATTACGTTCGGTCCCAAGACAGAAGATATGACACACCGAACATCATGTTCATGTCTAAATCCGACCTTTTAATACAAAACTTAGCTTCCGTTCGCAAATCGTTTACTTATAATACATTGGATGAATACGACCCAAGAAATCTTAAATTGTAACTTGCGTTCTGACAGGTTGTAAAGGCGGCCTGAAACTGTGTGATATCGATCATTTTTACTGGAAGGAACATTTCCTACCACGTCTTGAAATAAAATACTCATGATTACAATCAAACGCAGAAACAGATGTCTTAAAAGAGAAAACTCAAAAGCTAAACGATTATTAAACTAATTTAAATTCGTCTAACCTTGGGTTTTCTTTTCATTATTTTCGGGCGGGACTCTGTGAATATGTCACTCACTTTTACTTTACTTTTTTTAGGAAAAAGTTGACGTAAATGTCTGGCAAAATTAATTTGAACTTTAAAGATTTTGCAAAAATTGCGAATAAACTACAGTCTTAAAAGCCATATGGGTCTTCAGCCATGTGTAATCACTTAGTCTCTCTCAATCATTTCTGGCTTTTTAGTCATACACGGCGAGTTACTCAGAAGAGCAGAATTTCATTAAGATTCAGTACAAATTTCCGAAGCAAGGACCGCATACGATTTTTTTGATCATTAAAATATATGAGACCACAGTTTATGATTCGTCATAAAAAGCCAACACGGCAAATTTAATGACATATGGGGAGACAAGAAAGACCGCTTTTTATAAATTAACTACTGCCATAATTTGTTTCATACTCTGTTTCTAAAGCATAATCATCCTAAATGCCCTAGATATTATTACAAAGGGTTCAGACATCTCGCTAAGCTTCTCGTGAAAAAGGCCCATGATGTGAACTTTGTCTCGGCTTTGACATAATTCTTCAAGAAGAATATGTTTATCTTGTTAATGAGGCTGTTTTCTTAATTCGATGCGTAAAGATTTGCGCCGCAAATTTGTATATGTTCTTGTCTGATACTATAACTACTGATATCTGATTGTCTCTACCGTTGGTTGTGATCACCAGGTATATCAAAATAAGGACTCTCCCGTCACGACCTTTACAGCTGGATATGTCAAATGGAGGAATGGGATTTCCTTCGTGAAGTCACGAGTTTTTCTTAACTTTAATAATTGTTCTGAATTAAATTGAAGGAAACAAATAAGATTTTATAGAAAGATGCTTCAAAAATGATCTACATCTTGAGGTTAGGAAATGCTTCAGACATCTTCATTTCTGAGTCTTCCGATAGACGCAATATGAATTTTGCGACTGTTTTGCTTAATGATCGGAAAATATTCGTTGATTTGGAAACAGCTAAGCACAACTCGTTCACGTTTTGAAATAAACTACTTGCGAAGCCAAAAAAAAACGATGCAATCACATGAATTTTTCAATTCCTCTGCCAAGCAGAGCTTTTATTGTTCGAGAAGGAAAAGAGTGAATGAAAACTTTGACCAATTTTCCATCGAAATTTGCTTATCCATTCGCAACTTCAATTGTTGACTAAATTTAATTAAAAATTTAAGAAGGATTGGATCCTTTCACAAATAAAATACTTTAGAGTATAATACGTAGTTTACGATTTTGACGGAGACAGAGACGAGAGTGGATTACTTGGACAAACTGCTCAAAGCTACGTGAAAATTTTAAGGAAATCGCTAATATAGAAAATAACCAAATCTCTTCAGTTCAAAAAATGCCTTTTGTACAAAGTAAGTGATCAATTTACTAAAATTTGTCAGTAAGAGTTGGAAAGCAACATGTCAAGATGAACTAAAAGTGTCTTAGTACTTTTAAGACTGCTCTTCTGCAATTCGAATTATAAAGCTCGGCAGTGATTCTAAAAAAAAATAGTTTCATCGCCATTTAAAGACCAAACCAATTACTTACTTATTTGATGCTGAAAGTTGAGATTCTCATTCGATATTACACTAGGCAGTTTTCCCAGTAAGTGGGAAACTTTCGTTGTGCAAAGACCTCATACTACTATGCTAAGGAATTTCTGATCAGTTGCCGAACTTCCATCATTTATCTTTTTCAATCAAGATACCATCCATTTGACCGAACAGCTTTCGTTATTGTTTTGTGACTCCGAATTGTCAGGACGTCAGCTTTCGGGGAATTCTCAGCCATCGCAGTGAAATGTATTTGGGTCGCCTCTTTTTTTCTTTTGTAGCTAAAAGTCTGACTTAACGCCAAAGTGCTGAGTATACAAAAAAATTTTCGTTTGAATCCATGCTTGAAACAGAATAAGAAACTCTTTGGCTGCAAAAGAGGAATCATATGCATTGAGACAACACGACGTTGTCATGTTCCTTATTCTGGCTAGCTTAGAGCCAAAAAGTAAAACAAAACTTGTCTTATCCCAAGTCTTTGTTTTACCCTTAAGCTAATTTACTCGACTGTGGGCAGTCATCCTCCGACTCAGTTACGATTTCTCATAATAGAACCGGCAAGCCTAAAGCCGGACTCCAGTTGTTGAATTTTATACAAATTTTGCAAGTCAGCAAGAGAGGAGGAAGTGAGATAAAGTTTTTAAACAAGCCCAGTTTTCGCGTTGTGGTCTTGATGTAGGTTGTCGCGCATGCGTCAAACAGAGTTAGCTATGGACGAACGTGCGGCCTCCTCGAAAGAAACAAATTTTTTACTCCTTGGGTCTGCCATTCTTTCTTTGGTACGGAGTAGTACCAAAGAAAAACCCTACCCTTTCTCCGATCGACTCACTCTTATACTCATTGTTTCTAGTAAGTATCAATCAAACAACGAATTGCAATTTTCACGGACCGTATGGGATGTTGATAATATTGTTGCAAGATCTTCCAAGGCCAGACACCGAGGTCACAGCCAATTGCGTCTTTCAAGTGTTAGAGCCAATATAAATTGAAAAATCATTCCTTCCTGTTTTAGGTTGCAAACACTTATGCATTCCTCCCACGTGAGGCAGTGTCGTACTATCTGATGAGCTGCAGCACCTGCAAACAGAGAATACAACGGTTTAACTCAATTCTCTTGAAACACGGAAGACCGCTGTCTCCTGTGTCTGACTTGGTAAGTGTGGAAGAGTTTATAAGAAACCGCGCTTTTAGTAACTTGCTTTTTTTTACTTTAAGTTCTCATTGGCTCTTCGGGGTATCTTCCTTTGTTCTGATTGGCTGTTGTAATAATGTTGCTTTTGGTTTACGGTACTCAATGGCAAAGTGCACTGAAAGTAGGTAAACCGTCTCAGCAAATTTTGAAAGGCTTACCAGTTGTCGTGTGGTGGCTTTTTTTTCCTTGGTATAAATCGGGGGATTGTGCGTCGTGCGCGCGTCAGTTTACTGAGGAGAATAGAGTTTTCTGCCAGAATGAATTTGGTAGGGGATGACGCATTATTGAATTAATCGATCAAATGAGGAGTGTTCGTTTTTTCCAAAGAGAGGAAAGGTGCTGATTTAAGAAACAAATTTCGTTTTATAGTTTTGCGATGTTCAGTATTGCCTTGGTTGAGAGAGTCTACAGAGAATTATGTTTAAAGAAAATTGCCAGGAAATTTAATTGAATCCAACTTGCATAAGTAGCCAGTGAGAACTCAAAGCACTCACACGCAAAAGGTTTTCCAGGTCAGGAAAACGCGAGTGATGAAGTTGCGATAGTTTTGGTTCTGCATCTGATTGTTCAAGAAGATTGTCTGAGGTTTTTTTTACAATAAAAAATCGGATAATCTACAATATTCATTGAAAAATGAAACTTTGCGATAGAAAATCGAACATGACAACATTTTTTCTCTTTACAGGGCCGGGAGTCCCCCGCATCTGATCTGGTGAGTTTTGACATTTTTTCAGACCACTGAGTTTAATTATATATTGTTTGTCTTTATGTGAGTAGGTCAAGACCCTGAGAGATCAGAGTTTGATTTACCGATAAGAGATCCAAATTAGATCCTTTCTAGAAATACTGATCAAAACATTTCATGGTTAAACTGGAGAGAAATTTTAAGGTTCAAATTATCATTATAATTACAAACTTGCTGTCGGATAAACCCGGTTTTTTAAATTAAAAAAATTAATGCTCTTTCAAGTCGCATGCTAACGAAGTACTAGCACAAGGCTGCGTGCGCCTTGCGGACCTAGTTTTGTGGCACTCGCAGATAGCGCTACAAAAGGCTCCTTATGAAGTTACTTAAACTTCAGATTCCGAGGGAATGTTGTTGAAAGTGCTTTATTACCTGCAGAGAAGTAAAAGCATTTAATCCTTTACCACCGTCTAAAAGAGAGCAAAATTTCCGAGTAACCTCGAAACTTTAGAACTTATCTGCCGCTAAGACTCTTTCTAATCGCTAGTAACAGATTTCCTTACCTTATAAATTAATTTTATATACATTGAATGTAACTTGTCCCTTTATCTCCAAACAAATTTCACTGGGAGAATCTTGTCAAGAAAGGCTTTCTTATGTCTGGAATTTTTCCATAGTGATACCTCTCCCTTTCTGGGATGTGTTTCTTGTTAGAATTTAACCTGGCATGACCCCATCATTCATTACTACTGTTCCAGCATGCGCTGTAGATCAACGTTTGATTACGGTGCGACTTAATTTAACTGATTTATCATCACCTCTATGGTAAGAATCTGATAAAACTATTCAGTGTTGGCTTCTTAAGGTCCCATCGAGTACGACTTTTGGGTTGGATCGAAAATTAAGAATGTAAGACGTACACTATAGAATCTGATGACAGTCCCGCACTCTACAGAAATCGCTTATCGTAGCAGCATTATTGGTCCATTGTGCTCCGACGGAAGGCCTGGGAAAGACTGTCAGAGTTTTAATTGAGTTTCACATATTGTGCCTCAGAAAGTTGCTCGCGAGGTGTCCAATTTGTATATTGCATTGCGAGCACACCACAGTGATATTGATCTTTCTAAATTTGTCAGATATTAGCATTGTTAATTGCGTGTTCCTTAGAGACCAAGTGGTAAAAGTTAAGAATCTTTGTTGCTCTATTGACTCGCTAAAAGGCCACAGTGGAGTATTTTGTAAAGAACTCACCATGCAGTGGCGTATTAATAGGCACCGTGTAGAAAATGAAGTTTTCCTTTTGAACATTTCTTTTGACTACAGATCCATTAGCGGCCTTAAGTAAATCTTCATTGCTTCATGACGATCTTTCAGTGTATGTTTACTAAATACTTGGGGTGTAAAAAAAGCTTAAAAAACAATGGGGCTTTGAGAGTCTCAGTTCACAATACTGACCTAATTAATTATGATCAAATTCAATAACAGACACGTGAAGTCTTCGAGGCATGACTGAAAGACTTGCATATTTTGAACAAACATTTGAGGAATTCACCAGAGACTATTTATATTTTAATACGAAATACTGATAAAAAGTGCAAATGTGGAAACGGTATTGAAAAAAAAGAAATCAGTTGCTTTTGAAGAAGAGCAATTAAAAGGGAAAATTTGCGGAAAAATTCATTTCCTCTCGAGGTAAAACTTGAGGTCAACTCCTTCGGCATCATAATTCCCGATTTTTCTGTTCAAATTGCTCGAAGTTACCAGATCCTCTAACCTTTTGATATGGAAATATTGATAATTCTTATTCCTTCCTCTTCAGAAAATGTCAATTAGACAAAATTTTCGGAAATTATAATTTTTTGGAGAGGGAAAAGTCCTCTTTCCTCGAAGAAAGCGATCACAGCGGTATTTTTGGTCAACGGAAATTTGACTGAGCACGCGTAAGAACGCTATCAGGCTGGTTGTCCCACGTGATCCGCTTGCGCTATCAGCTGCTGAGCCTGACAACAAAGGCCAAAAATTTGAGTCAAAATTCTGGCCCATTATTTCCCGGTGCCTCCTGGATTAGCTTCGGCGAATTTGGCGTTGCACCACTCGATTTTGAACGGGTTCGGTCAAAACCCGTCGGAGGCGATACCAAGGGAAGGAAAATTTTTTAAAGGATTACCGAGCTTTTAGTAGTGTGAGTTGCTAGAAGCGCTTGGGTGCGGCGAAAGTTAAAGGCTTGTTTGTACCCCTCGTCTCTCTGTGGCGTTGTCTAGTCCATTGAAGATGTCCGCCAAAGCCCTTGCAGCCATCGCGAAGGTTAAGTCAGACCACATTCTAAAGGTAACTTTGCAATTTTACCAGTGTAACGGTTGTCTTAGATTTCTATTGTTTCGTCTAGATGTCTCCTAGAGCGATCTTTTGCCCGAAGTAAAGCGAAAGGAAATCGACCATCGCCGCGCCGGCTTTGTTGTTCGAAGGTATTGGGGGTAAACGCAAATGAGCGTCCCTTCGACTTCCTTGAACGGCAATAGGTTCGAAAGCTCTTAGTTCCAAACCTTTCTTGTTTTCTTTAAGGGACAGAAAATGAAAACGAACTTTGAATCGATTCTTGCCATAGAGAATCGCTTCATCCAGGAAGGATCAGTAGTTAGATTGCGTTTGCGATTTTCGGCAGATGACACCCCTTGTCCTTTGAATCGGCAAAGAGAAAACAATGAGTGGTCCACGTTCTAATTTGCCGGCCAGATGGCCGCCGCTTTTATGAAGTTTCCCTGGGAGTTGTGTTTACTTCGGAATTAAGGTTTCTCGCTGGAAATTTACGTCGTTGAGAATTTTTTACGCGTGATCGGTAGAAGGAAGCGTTATATTTGGCCTGTTTTCTCCCTCGAAGGACATGAAATATTCATGCACGAAATATTGCAAAAGTGAGGTAATTAGCCAAGTCATGTCTTATCGCAGTACTGCAGACAGTTCTGCTATCCTATTTGGGAAGATCTCTCCAATTTTTGTCGAGTTTTAACTTCGGTTCGTGATGCGTTCAGTTTTCGGCTGATCACGTAAGCGAAGGCTACATGCGAGAGGAAGTTGTTGTCACAGAATATTTTCAGCATGTTAATTGTTTGGAGAAAGAGCTCATAGCGGCTCCCAGACACCTCAAGTAAACAGAAGATTCTACATCGGTCGAGGCAGATGGTTGTCTTTTGTTTGGATGATAGCGGGACGATTAAGTGTGTATATTTTGGTCGCAGAAGCCTTCCATAGCACCCTTTAGACTGCATTCACAAAAAATTTGGGTGTGAGAGGGTGCATTGGAGGGTCTCGATCGGGCAAACCTCTTTCCTGCTTTTAATTATGTGAAATATCATGTCCTTTTACCATCTGTTCTTCTTTTTCAATTCAAATAAAAGATAGTTTTGTGTTGGATCATCCACATAGGACACAGTAATAGAGGACAATATTGTTGCAAGAAATCCACTTCTGGGTTAGCTTCCAAAGTCCTTCCAGCACGAAAAAATTCATAGAATTCCATCCGCTGTAAAGCTCTCCCATGGAGTGTTCTTCTTTTTATTAAAGTGCATTTTGTTTACCCACTGTTATCTTGAATATTTCCAATTCTGTTTCAACACTATTTCTTTAGAAAGTAATGCCAAACAAAATAGTATGACTTAGCAGATGAAAATAAAGTTTGTAATATTTCTATGCATTGCAATAACAATTTTTAATGGGACTATACATTATATCTATTCCGACTATTTTGAGATGTGAACATACAAAAATTTATTTTATAACTGGATTTTTTTTTTAATTGAGGCTGTCATAAAAATCACATATTCTGCTAATGTCTTCTGGCATCAAATTTTTCATTGAAATATAGTGGAATTGTGACCATGTCAAGATGAACAAGTCTCAATGCAGAAATAACAGAATGGCCTTGATTTGATGTGAGAGGTTATGTCATTTTGTTAAAATTGCAGCAAAGTTCATTGTTCTCTAATGCACTTTGTGTTATTTAAATGGCAAATGATAGATCATTTGAAGCTATATATAGTGTAAATAAAACAAATATAAATATCTGGAAGACCATAAAACTTTCACCTTGCCTTTCTTCCTCTGCTCAATTTAGACGATCACTTACCTTTTTCACTCAGACTGGGAGCCAAAATTCAATTCAGATCATTTGAAGCTACAATAGTGTAAAAAAAAACAAATGTAAATATTTTGAAGACCATAAACTTTCACCTTGCCTTTCCACCTTTGCTCGATTTACACAATAACTTACCTTTTTTCCTCAAAATAAAGCTTCATACAAAAGTGAGACTGTAACTTTATAATATTAATATTAGTCTCTCTCTCTCTCTTAAAATCTGTTTTTGTTATGTGCAAATGTTGAACTAGTTGTATCTTAAAAAAATAAATTTGAGATTGAATGAAAATTGAACCTGCCAAAATATGCAGTGCCTCTGTAATCACAATTCACACCTTGAACCCTACCTCATAAGTTATTGGAATAATCTTATTTAGGAATCAGATGTAGAAGCATCGTTCTCCAGCCATGATTCAGATGAGGAGGGTGGTGGTTATGGTGTGAAGAGGTTTAAAAGGGATATTGCAGAAGAAGTTTTTGAAGAGAATGGCAACAGAAATGGGGCAAGTTCACCAGGTACAGAACATGAAATGATGGACACAGCAGTGAATGGAGGTCATGGCAATGATGTACCCAGAGATGGTGAGTACATTTAGATTAATAATTTATTTTTTTACCTAAGTCATGATTTTATTGCTTCAACTCTTATGATTGTATCTTTCCTTGTTAATTGATAGATAGAATTAAAAGTGATATCAAGGAGATAAAACTCTTTTATCATAACTTGTTTGCCTGGTATGTTATTGATATTGTCAGAGGAAGTTTGATGTTAACCATTTAACTCCCAGATCCAATTTGTAATTCTCCTAACTGTCAGTCATACAATTCTTATAATGTTAGTTCAGAGAATTTAGTATGGGATCAACTTATTCTCCCCAAATTGATATTTTTCTTTATTCTCATCACTTATCTGGTTGATATTGTATTGATATTTTGAGGAAAAATTCTGTCTTGATCACTCATGGGAGTTTAGGGGTTAATCACATGTAATGAACGAGCCATGCTCAGTGCATGAGACAGTCCTTTGGAGAGGTGGGGCAGTGTGGGGGTGGGGGGAATATAGATCCTATATCCCACTCTGTTTTCATTACACTCTATACAAACTTGACTGTTATGAGAGTTAACTCTCATATATCTCATGGACCTTTACTACACGAACTCCCAAATAACCTCATCTACATTTGTAAGTTCTTTCACATTACGTAAAACGGGAACAAAACCTGTTCAATAGATTTAAACTTGCTTTTTATTTGTCTCTATGGGCTATTTCCTGCACATGGACATAAAGATCCATAGAAATCCTATAAATTTTGTTCTTCAGATATTTCCAATGTTTCTTTATTAACATCCCTTAACATTCAAAAACATTTCTTAAAATTTCTACAATCACATCTCTCCCCATCCTGAAACACAAGGTAACTTAGTCAAACGGAAGTGATTGCATTGTAAATCTTTGCATCAACAGCTTCCCTTTGTCAAAGTGATGAAAGCTTGGCTGCAAAAGGTTTACTACCAGGTTACCAAACTTATTCCACAGACCAAAAACAAGAAGTTGTAAATTATGCTAAAGAAACCACAGTTCGTGAAGCCTCTCGCAAGTATAATGTACCACGGTCAACTGTCCAAGTTTGGTGTAAACATGGACCACCAACCAAAAAAGAAAAGCGATCCCCAGGAGGGGGTGGACGTCGCTTGAGCTATTCCAATGAAACTGATGAGAAACTTTTACAGTGGGTTTTACGCCAGCAGGACAAAGGGACACCTGTTACTAGGGATGCAATACAAGCTCAGGCCAGACTTCTTGTTCGGGATGAGTGTCCTGAATTTAAAGCTTCTAGTGGTTGGGTTGAGAAGTTTCTCTCAAGGCATAATTTGACCATTGCCACTAAAATGTCGTCACAGAATCCAAGTGGTAAGTGTGGTAACATCATTATAGGGTGCTTTACAATTGAGTGCTGTAATATCAAAACCAAAGTTATCACAATGGCCACTTAGAAGAGAGAAAAATACCTCCAAGAGCCAATGAGAACTCAAACTTAACACAGCTTAACTGCTGAAAGTGCAGGAAAATGCAGGAAATTGAGTTGTGATTGACTTTAGCTTTGCATCTGATTGGTTGAGTGGTTCAATCTCAACACTGAGTTGAAAGTTGCTTTATCTTGCATAAAATGGTTTGTGCATAGAGGTTATTGGCCAATTGCAATTTGCAGTGGTCTTAAACTAAGATACTTTAAGTCTTGGGAAGGACTGCTGTTGATGGAAATGACTGAATGACATTTCTTTAACTTGGGTAGAAGTCATCTTTTCAATTGAGCAAGAAGCTGTTGTCATTCGAATGTTTGGATTTTCATTTAAGGGAACCATTTGTTTAGTTTTACTTTAAAGTTATATTCTTTAAGAGTTGGGTAATGGTTGTCACTGGTTATTTCTGAAAACTTATTTATTTGTTTTCCTTGAAAGTGCTTTTGTTGTTAGGTTTCTGAATTTGTTTTTGCCATCATTTTCAGAAGCCATCCCAATTTCATATGTAGTCCCAATTGCATCCATTCCAATAAGCAGCTCAGGAGTATTGAACCATGGAGCAAACAGTCCACGAGCCACAGATGGACGCAGTGTAACAAGTGAAGACACTCGCAGTGATAGTGGAAAGAGTGAGGAGAACGATGAGCTATATGATGCCACATCACCAGCTCTACCAGAGAATAATACAGCCACTGCTGTAAACCAAATTATAAGGGTGAGTCTTGAGAGAATGTGATTTTTGTAGCAAGGTACATCTTTACTCTGAAAGGACTGTTCTTTGTGTGAGCTGACCTTAGCATTAACATCAAGAGATGTATGTTCAAAAATGTTTGCAAAGTTGTTTTTTAAAGAAAATTTCCTGACAAAAGGATTTCAAAACAAAAACCGTAACTTTAACTCCGGGAATTGTGTTGAGGAGGGTTAACCAGCCCACACTCGCTTTTGATTAACCATAGGCTGGGAAACTTCTGTTTAGGCAGACTGCTAGTGGATTTTTAAGTGTGCACTCTCTCACCTAATGAAGAAGGCCAGCAGTGTTGCAGCCTCTGAACAGTAAAATCCAATCTAAGATTAATCTTGGGCAATGGTTTTGTTTCCTGTGTTGAAAAGTTTGTTTTTTGAAGGGGATAGCTGTTTTGGCTTTAGTTTTATAACCATATTTAGCACTAAACACTTCTTGTCCCTTGCATTCTTAGAAAACCATAATGCACTAGAGTCCCTTCTCTACATTTTCTTCGAGAAAAGGGGACAGATGTGCATTTACATAGGCTAGGATCCCAAGATAAATGCCAACCAATTTGTACTTCAATTTCAACCATTTGTTAACTCTTGATATCAATTCTGTTGTTGTAAAGGAGCCACCAAACCTTAGTGAAATGTTGAAGCCAATTCAAAGTGCAAGTTCTCCTGCATCAATGGGGCTAAAGGATGAAGATGATGATGATGGAGAAGGGGAGGATGGAGAGGGGGATGGAGAGAAGGCTGACCCTGCTAATGTGAACCCAGAAAGACTTAAAGCTTTCAATGTAAGGGAACACTCTTCAACTAAAATGTAGCTCAATTGTAACCGGACTTGGTTAAGCATAACTTATAGAATCTATTTCATAGAAAAGGTTGTGGTTATTCATCATGGTGAATAACAGTAAAAGCTAAGTTTTTCGTTTGTCTCATGATGTAGTCACGTGTGATGTAGATTGCGACGTTTCAACTGCATACTGCTAGTCTTCTTCAGGCGATGAGGTCAACTGGTCAGGCATGATCTTATAAAGCATGATGCTCTGCTGTGTGTAGTTGTTTTTCAACAGTTCTGATTGGTGCATTTAGATCCTTGCTCTTCACTCAGTGATTTGCTCCCTTGGCGGTCCACTGTCGCACGGCTCTCCTGTTGTTGTGTTTTTTTATCATGGTCAACCACACTTCTGGAATTTCTATTCCACTATCCCTGTTGATGTTGTTAGGGTGAAGTCTTGTATGAATTGCCTCTTTGACCCTGCGCATGTAGTAATAAGGGTCACAATCAATAAACTTAACTTTGTTCTAGAGAGGCTTGTGTCCAGTGTTGTGGGCATGCTTCTTAATTCTGTCTTGCATAGGTCTTCCAGTCTCTCCAATGTACACCTTGCCACATTCACAGGGAATCCTGTAAACTATGCCATCTTGTTTTTTAACAAATCACAGCAGAGCATCATGCTTCATAAGATCACACATGACCAGTTGACCTCATCGCCTGAAGAAGACTAGCAGTATGCAGTTGAAACGTTGCGATCTACATCACACATGACTACATCATGAGACAAACAAAAAACTTAGCTTTTATTGCTATAGAATCTAATTTGGAGAAGACTATTTAAAATTTGCACTCTCACAAAGGGCCAACCCTTGTCAGCTTTGGAAACTCTTTTTGGTGGCCAATTTTACTTTAATTAGTATTGTAGTTGATATAACTAAATTGTCCTGCAATACCCCCTCCCCTCCCCCCCGCCTCTCTTTTCTGAGATTTTCGGCAAATTCTTAAGTTAAAATTCTTCCTGACTTTTGATCTTGAAATTGTACTATCTAATTAAGTTATATCAACATTAAAAATAAAAAAGTAGCCTTCAATTGGTGAATAGGTAATGGCACATTATGCATACGAAAATGAAGATTATGCTGACAATTCAATTTTGACAACAAATAACAACTGTTTAATACCCAGAATAGATTCTTAGGATATATTTGCTAGAAATAGTGGGTGGAAAATATTAACTCTACAAATTAGCTTTATGAGGTCTGAGTAATTTTAAAGTGGGAAACTTATCAAGCAGGTTGTGTCAAAGTTGTAACAGGTGCTTAGTTACTGGATGAAATATTTGTAAGGATGATGAAATTTGATGTTTAACCCTAGACTACAGCCATTTTGTGTATGTATTACTTTGCAATAACTTTGTGTTTTCATCGCACCAAGGTTTTTATCAGCTAAGATAACTGGATTTGTATACTACCTTGGAGTATACCAACTTCTTTCCCAAGTTTGACGTTAACAACCTTTTCTTTTTTCATTGTTTACATCATAGATGTTTGTGAGGCTGTTTGTGGATGAAAACCTTGACAGACTTGTTCCAATCTCCAAGCAACCCAAGGAGAAAATTTTAGCCATCATTCAGTCCTGCAACAGACAATTTCCAGAGTTCAGAGACAGAGCAAGAAAGCGAATAAGAACCTACTTGAAGTCATGCAGACGTCTAAAGAAGTTAAAGGAACCACTCAAACGAGCTGCAGACCAGATGGTATGTAAAAGTGAAACCAGATCTGGAGCTTCATCTGTGCATCTTGAAAAGTCGAATCTAGATTTTTCAAATTTTATTTCTAATCCCTATCTTCAACCATACTTGTTCCTTCTTGGTTGATCTTGCGTTCTTGGTTTCATTCTTTCCTGCTGAAGGTATATTTTGTAGCTTTCCTGGTTTCCATTTTTTTCTTTGGAAATATCAGCCAGTCATTGTCTTTGACAAGAATTTTTTCACTTAGATGATCACACAACACAGTCAATGGTATATGCTGGAATAGTAATTTGAATGATAGAAAAAATGCTTTAAAAGAATTTTTATAATTGAAAATAAATAGTGAAAACAATTTTACCAGCAAAATTTTCCTAGAGGCCTTTGCTCATTACATTACTTTTTTGTTCTCACAGAGTTCAAACCCCAATATGTCAGCAGCTCAGATGGCTGAGGTGAATGTAAGTTTGCTGAATAACTTTAGTCAAAGTTTTTTAGGGCACAGAGAGAGGCATTAACCATTAGGCATGAATATAAAACAAAGAAAAAAATCTGATTCCTCATTCGGGTACCCCAGTTCTGATTGTGTAGTCTGATCAGGGTTGCTAGTGAATGGAATAATTATTCAAACTTCACTGGAAAAATTATTTCAATAATATATTTTCTATGACAAATATTGTTCACATGCATTTTTTTTGCTAGTCATTATACTTTTTTTGACATATACCATATACCACTGACTGTGCAGTGTGATCACCCAGGTAGAAAAAAGTTATAGGCAATGACAGTGGCCACTTTATATTTTCAAGAAATAAACAGAAGCTGTTAACATCATTGTCATCATCACCATGTTGTCACCAACAACAATACTGTTTGGGACTACATTCACCTGGAAGATCACATGAAATGATTGTCGTTCCTGAGTTCAAATTCTCTGACTCTATATACCATTATGTAATTCGTGTGCAACATATTGCTGAAGTTACTTATTTAGGACAGGGTAGGAAGGGTATTTCATTTGTATTTACAAAGAGAGGTGGTCAATTTTGAGCTATGTAAATTAAATAAGATGGTAAACATTTGTCACAAGTGTTGACTGTAGGAAAAATCGGAGTTTTCTTTGATGATTTGAACCTAAGTTAAGTCTAGGTGATGTTGTGCTTTAACTTGTACATTGATCTCTTTGTTCATAGAATATCCTGGCGTCAGCTTGTGCTAATGAGCAAGAGAATGCAAGACTTGTTACTGCTGATGGTGATGCAACTGGTAATACAGGAAGTGTTCCTTCATCTTCCCCTGCATCATCCCACATTGCACAGAATAGCACTTCTAACTCAAGAACTAATGACAGGCCTGCAGGTATGGAGATCAAATCCAAGAGGTTACTAGACTTCTATGATATTGTCACGCACAAACAGCATTTTTCCATGCCACTTCAAATTAATACCACCCTATACATAGAAGTTTTTGTCATACTGCTGAATTGAGGACATTTGCAAAGTTTAATTTTTTGCTCTAAGTTTGCCCGTCTTGTAACAAAGTATGATGCTTGGGGTAATTCCTGGCCTCTTGACAAAAGCAAAGTATTCAAGTTCATTGGCCTTGAGATAGACTATTAAACAAGCTTAAACAATCAGTAAAATTCATTTGATGAGGAGAAAGGTAGCAGTATTGAATTAAAAAATATATGTACCATAAATTAGTTTAAGAAAATTTGAGTGGAAATCAGTAGAAGACCTTTCACTTAATATTTAACAAAGCCATATTAGTTAAACCACCAAGGATATTATTGGTTTGTAAAGTCACTTGATTAAAATTGTGAAATACCTGCAGGTACCAAGGTACGTAGGTTTTTTTCTCAATAAACCCAACTGGGGAGATGTAACTTTTTAAATTTTTTTTAATTAATAATATTGTGTCTTTGCAGAAAATGGTGGGCCAACCCTCCCCAAGCCCAAAGTACTGACACAGTGTCAGATTAGTGCCACAGAAGTTCAAGCCATCCGCCAACTGATAGCTGGATACAGGGAGTCAGCAGCCTTCCTCTACCGCTCTGCAGATGAGTTGGAGGCTTTGCTGCCTCCTTTGTAAATTAACACCAGTGTTTGGTGAAAATTTAATGATATGCAAATGAGATAAAAGGTATTTAATAACTGTATGTAGACTGAACTTTAAATTATGGTCAGAGAGAGTAAATTGAAAGTAATGGCAAGTTATATTTATTTCTTTCCTTTTGTTTATTCAATAATATGGCTTATTTAGATTACGTTTCATATATATTTGAAAGCCAAAAATTGGGAATGACTTGTTTGTTTGTTAATTGAAGTTCATTCACTTTGTACAAGATCCTCATATTTTTTTGTACTTTAATTTGTTTTTTGAGGATCAAAGATGGACTTGGATTTTTTTTGTTGTTAACGTTTTGTAGAAGTTTATAAAACAAGTCACTAATAATGTTATTGATAAATTAAATTATTCATTTGTTATTTATTTTGACTTCCCATTTCTCATAAAATAAGGACCTGCTTCTGTTCAGCAATGTTAAGCAATTTTCAAATATTTTAACCTGTCACAGATAGGAGTGATCAGTACTTCAATTCTCCTTGAAATTTTGATACATAGTTTTATAGACCAATGATAAGAATTCAGGAAAATTATTAACAAGGGGATAATATTTGAATTGATTTGCGAGTCTAGCCAGCCTAAGGTGGAAGCTGGGAGATTAAGCTTCCAGAACCTTAGTCAATTTTTTTTCTGGGTTTTTGGCTTTATCTTCAAGTTATGCATAGACAAGTCTTTGTTTGGGTGATCCTTCAAAAGCCATGCGATAGGATGGTGCTATTACTCGGTTAAATTTCATCTTCTTTGCCTAAATATGTAGACATGTCCATAAGTAGTTACATGTCTACTCTGTGGTGCATAGTCATGTAGTGTATGGCAAGTGTAGATGATGTAGTCCCTAGTTGAATAATCGGACATTAAGAGTTCTTGAAATATTTATAGGCAGGATTAAAACACCATACAAAGTATTGAACATTCAGGATTAGATATTTAGTTTTTAATACACTGGTATTAATTGTTCTGAAGCATAATTTGCACTTGATCTTCATGCAAACTGCATACAGGTGATATTTAACCCTTTAACCCCTAAGAGTGAGTAGCATCTAATTTCTCCATATAATATCACCCCCTAATCAAACATTAGGGTCATGAGAATAAATGAAATGATCACCAACTAAAGACGCTCTACATTGCTAACCAAATTCTCCTTGTCAGCACCTTAAGAAATGGTTAGAGAACAGTATGGAGAATATACATACTGATGTTAAGGTTTAAAGGGTAAAGGAATTCCTTATGCCATGTTGAGAAATGTATGACATGTTAGAAAATTTTTATCGTATACTTTCTAGATATGTTTGAATTGTCAAGGTTGAGAATATTTTTGTAGTGTGCATCTGATATCTTTTTTAACAGTGTCAGAAAATGAATTCTCTTAAGTGTCACAATGAAGGTCATTAGTTTTCTGTCAGGGAGAATTTGGTCACTGATCACATTTCTTGGCATTACAGTCATAACTTCTGTTGTCAAAGTTCAAAATAAATCGTCCATTGTGTCTTCTGGAATGCTTGTGTGAATTGAAGGGATTACTCATAATACACTTAGTGAAAAATATTCACTTACCACTCTTCATAAGAAAATCCGAACAATTTACATCACTCAAAAGGTGACACGTTACCTTCGTTTTTTTTTTGAGTTCATTACTGGGAAAGGATAATACAGTGTTGATGCCTCTTAATTTAACAACTAGTTTTGTGTAGCCAGCTCGGATTCCTAAGTAACTGTTGTTCTTACTTTACTGAGACTTTACTATTCTCTAGACCAAGAAAGAGTATTTCTAATTAAATTAGGGTAATTAATGCCTTAATATTGTTCAATGACCAATTTAAAGAGGTTTTCAGGATATGTGTATTTCAATGTGTGATAGTTGTATAAAATTATTGCTATTATTAACATTAAGTTATTCTTTGTTAAATTATCTTGAAATCTTGTTATGTAGAATTTCAGAGGTCATTAAATTTTTGACAGTTGGTGCTTGTTGTTCTCGGAATGTTTGCTGATTACAGAATAACATTCCTTTGTTATCTTTTTTTGTGTTTTTGTTCTTTGAATCTAGGCCTGCACTTGAGGGTTGTGATTAAGAGCCTAACTTTTTGATTCCCAACATCTGATTTATTTTGTTTTGGCAGCCATAAGTTTGTGTGTCAATTGGTTGAAAGAATCTGTTTCTACGTTAACAGAATACCCCATAGTTGATTAGTTTAGTCATATCATAACTGACGTGTTGTACAATGTGTGCTAATATATGTGAATCACCTCTGAGAAATGAATGGTTGAAACCCCTTAAATACGTTTCTAAAAAAGGGTAGCATAGGGGGTTTCTGATCCCTTTCACGCACAAATTCTAGGCAAAAGCAGGCTCAGCTAGCCCTCAAAAAGAGATTTCAAGTAGTCACAGGATCAAAAAACGCGCAGCTTTTTTGAGCTAACATGATGAAGCGCTGCCTTCAAAAGGCACCCGACCAAGAAAGCGGATCCTTTTCTGAACCGATTTTTGGATTTTGGAGATCTATGTTTTTCACTGTAATTGGCATCTCGAAGTTACCGTTACTGCAAAGTTTACCGGGGCGCTCTTCCAAGTAATAGGGAAAATACGGCGCACTTGTATTAAGTGTTGACGTCATAGCGAATTTGGACCTGCTAGATGGGAGGGGAGGGAGAAGGATTTTTTATGTCTTTTGGATAGTTTCAAAGGTTTGTGTGGTCTTATGGTGCATCTGAACTTTAAACCGGCATTTTTCAAGCACACAAATAGATTGAAGTATTAACTCTTCTCACATTATATATACTTTATTTATTTTAGAGGCGTTGTCATAATTTCCAATTATTGGAAGCAGTTGACAAGAAAATGATTGTCAGCAAGAAGGGAGAAATGCGAAGAAGATCTTGAGAGTTACTGAAAGGGTGTCTGTCAGTCACTGTTTGAATTACTTATCCTTCTTGGGAGGCCAAAAAATCCCAGATTCCTTCTCCCACCGTCTGTGGTTTTAAACACGTACGACCGTGACTCAAGCGAACGCGTCAGCTACAGAAATAGCGCAATTTCCAGAGTAAATCCCTGACTAGGAACTCAAGATACTCATGTACATGCGTGTGTATTAAGGATCGTCCCTGAGATCGTTCTATCTGCACACCCCATGTACCTATACCCCACCCCCTTTGACCAGCTCCCAAGGCGAATACCTTTTGACGCCATCCAAAATACTTTCATTGTTACAAAAAAGTACCGTTCCCTTTTGAGTCGAGTCTTCGTCGACAAAGTGGGTGGTTGTTTGAACTGTGAATGACTTGCATAAAGATTTGGCATTACGATGGATTACGTCACGTCTACATCTGCGCCTTTAGGTCCCAATGAAATATTAACCCAGTGAATGTCTATGAAACTACGTATTAAATGCGGACTTATTATTCAGCCAGTGGTTGTGTTTGAAATAAAAGGGGCGCTATTAGTCAACCGTATTTCGCAAGCGAGGAACTTTTAGGTATTTCGTTGTTGTCCGGCTAATAACACCGAACTGAAGACCTTTGATTCTGTTTTCATCTCGTATAGGAGTGATAAATGCATCTCCTCTAGCGTCGCACCAGTTAATTCCCACCCCCCTGTTGTTTGTTTGGCTTGGGAAAAAGCTCGTAACTTTTACCTCCCTCGTCGCCAGTATTGTGAAATAAGAGCGCCAACCATTCTACCTTGCCAACTACAAAGTTACTGGAAACAAAACCTTCGAGCCTTTTGGCTGGGAAATATTTCAGAAATGATGAAACGATTAATCTTCACAAAATTAGCACATTTTACACACCTTTTGACGAGTTGATAATGGAACATTGTGAATGTGTCCAACGCGTAATCAGAAGCAAGGATGTGTTTTCAATTTCAGTCATGGTCATTGAGTACCAGATCCCTTCACTTTCCTATCACTTCGAAAAACTGAAGAAGTCACAATCTGATTGCATGAGCCTGAAATTAACAGCATCCATAGATGTTCACATTAATTTTGTTTAAAAGTTTCTTGTTTCACCCAAAATTTGCCTTTGAAATTCTGGAGAAGCAACAGAAAGCTACATTGAAGAGCACGTGAAGTTTGAAATTCGTCGGCGTTTTGCCGGGTAACAAAAAAAACAAAACAAAACAAAAACAGCTAGTCGGCATCTTCTGTATCCCACGGAGTTGCGGATTTGGCTGTTTGGAATTCGCACGTATCTGTTAAATTTTTGGAAAATAACTCTTCGCCATTTTTATCCCCTCGTGTTTGTTAGTGTGACTTAATTTTCCGATCGTTTACAGAGTGAGCATTTATCCGAGTGGAATGATTGCTTTTACAGCCCTCGACATGTTTATAAAACCTTAAAAGCTCGTTAGAAATGTGTGAAACACGTTAAGGTATGCCCCGCCTACTATGTGGAATAAATCAGTAACCATTCCCTCACGCAACCTACGATTGAAATAAAGAAGTAAGAAAAGGGAAAAAAAAGGGACATTGCGTGCGTTCAAGTAATGTTCATGATGCTATTTGGAACAGCACGCCAGATGCATCATTTTCCGTTTTGTGTTACTCTACGGATTTCCAGCTTGATAACCTTTCGATATAAAAGGAAATATAGATGATGTGGTTTCCTCTTCAATGTACTGTAATTGTTGCGGTTTTTTTACAGTCACTAAGCGTTTGGAAAAGAGTACAAAGCTGCCTTGCAGATCGCGGGGCTGTCTGTAGCCGAGATGGCAATCTGTCGACCCCCTGGAAAATCGGAGATAACTAAATTAGTTTGTATTGCTTGCCGCTGATAAATCAAGCGTCAACTCATGATTGCCACCCACCTATGAATGACATAGACTGTTCTCAGGAAGTGAGCTCATAGCCCAAAACTAACCAAAAGAGACCGAGCCGAGATTAACTCTCAACTTAATTCTTTTGTTTTAATTAATGACAGATTTAAAAATTTTTAATACCCAAGAAAACTCCCTTGTTCGAGTTCCAATGAAGCGCAACACAGAAAGCTAGTTGTATGAGCTCGTGTCTGATGAAATAGCGTTACTTTGTCACGCAATCTAGTATCCGGATTTTTCGATGTTTCATTTCATGTGATGATCTTGTCTCAATTACATTAATTTTTTCCTTTTTTCGGTTAAGAAAGTGATACTTTAATGATTTTATGCCCACAAGAGTTCGCAAACATCCGATCATAAACAAACAATTTATACGCCTCCTGAAGGAAAAACTTTCTGCTCAGTTCTCTTTTTTCTCAAAACAGGAATGATTGATAATACTCAGCCAACGAGGCCACCAAGAAACCACTGAGACAAATCGCATTTTGTTTGGCACGTGGGATGAGATCCGTAATCTTTGTTTAGGGATTCCGCTTTCCCCTGCGACCCCAAAATGGAAGATTATCCTATGCCGAACACCAACGTTACACTGCAGACAGACAATACTGGAGAAAATATTCTGCAGACGAGATAACTACCAGATATGCATACCATTAGACAGTAAAAATCAAGTGGTGTATAAACGATGGAATAACATGCCCGTAACAGGTCGAGACATCGATAACTGCACGCCGAATTAGCTAGCCACGCGTACCATTTGAACTCTAACAGACAAATGCGTCAGAACTGTGGTATTCTTGGAAAACCGGAAATATGTAAGGACCTTGGAATGCGAAGTATACTTCCTCAATTCGTTATATAGTTATTTTCCCACGCTCTCGGACAAAGAGGATAACATTGCTCATATGCGCTCGACCAAAAAATTTGACCTCCATTTGTATTGCTGTCACCTATTGCTAAATATCTTCACGTTAACCACAAAGGATCGCATGATAACACAAGGCTAAAAGTTTTGAATAGAAACTAAAATATTATGAAATAGAAATCAGGTAAACAAATAACAAAGCAGTTTACTTGTCTGCTTCACAAAATTTGTTCGACAAAATGCTAAAATCGTACTCACTGTTCCAAAAATATGCAAGATCAGAATAAAATCACCCTCTTGACAAATGTTGATGCGGCATTTACAGATACAGAATGCCTCAACTGTGGTAGCGGTGTTCTGTTACAGTATTATCATAAAATAAACCTAAGTATAGACGCGGTTCCTGTAAGAGAGGAAGTGTAATCGACTTTTCGAATAAAGAAATCTAATTACAAACTCAAGTCGGTATGACTTCAACCAAGCGCACAAAGGAATATTTATGAGAAAACGACAATTAGTCATTCACTACCTCAAAAATGAAGCTAACAACGTCCCTGAAACTTACGTAAGTTTACAAAGCAGGTTTTAAGTCAATCCTGAACATTTGATATTTAATAACTGTTGGCTGGCAAAGCAAAGTTTACCGAACTAGTTCCTTAAACGATCGACACCTCAACTCTCTCTACATCACAGTATAATAATACAACCAAAGAAATTTACGTAATAAAATCACACCTCAACCATTTAAACAAGACATCTAAGCCCTAATGGTGAGAAATGTTCATTGCAAAAGGGTTTTTTCTACTCATAAACACTATTGTAGATACCCTATGTAAACGCTACAACTAAATCATACGATACTTTCGACAGAGTTTTCTACTCTCCAAATTTCACCAAAGCCGAAAGCGGCTAACCAGTGTTTTACACAGTAAAAATGGGTATCGAGAATTTTGTTTGAAAAGCTAAACTTAGCTAACATTCTTTTTGTAACCCTGATCAAGCAAAACTTATGTCCCAAAGGACCTTGAAACGAAATCCAAGCTGATCATGACGTTAATTTATGGAAATCTATCGGATTTTTCCCGCGTTTACGCAATATATATGCAAATATATATCCATTCATTCAAAAATACTGCATCAAAAATAGTATTTTAAGACCGCAAAACTATGATCGCTTAGAAAACTGTTACTTTAGGGGAGGAATATTTCCTCTTTCCCTGATGATTTGACAATCAGACGAAATTCGGCATTGAGACAACGAAAATATTTGGCACCTTCTATGCGAAAGATTTGTTTCTACACGATAGAAAACCTACAGGTATAAAATTCGATCGGAAGCTAACTGAAATTTCTACACAGCGAGTAAACTTGCAAAAACATTTTCCTTTCATATTAATATATATCTATAACTTATATACAATCTTTTTCTACGTAATGATATTTGGTAAAAGACGAATGAAAATAGCGATGAGTAAACAAAAAGTTATTTTCGTTTCTGCCCAAGAGCATAGAACCTGTCCAAAAGATCCTCGTTTTTCCGTCGTTCTTTCGCAAGTTCTGCCTGCAATCGCATTTCGTCCTTTTTTAGTTTATCGACATAGTCTTTTGCTTTCCTCAAGATCGTAACTTTTGGAGCTCTTTCATTGTCTTTTATATCAGGAACCTCTTCCCTGAGAATGTGAAAGCTTGTCTTGAGATCATTCCTTCGCTTCCGCTCGAGAACATTGTGGGTTGCTCTCTTACTGAGATCACCTTCTTCGTCCGAGGTTGAACTGTTCTGCCGTTTAAAATCTTTTTTGTTCTCTTTGGAAGGGCTTGAAGCAGGGACTACCGCTTTAGGTTTCATCGCAACAGGTTTAATGCGTTTTGCCGGCGGTTCATCTGTGACTTGTGGAAGCCGCTTTCGCTTTGGTTTCTCGATGGTCACTACGTCTATTTCCTCTTCTGTTGCCAAACAGAAAAAAATTAAAAATTAGCTTCGATTAGCAGAAGGCTAAGACATTTGGATTTCGACTGTGTACGATCTGCTCTACTATACAACAAATCGTCAATTATGATTACCAATTACCAGAACAGGAAATTGAAAGCACATTGTGAATGAGACAACTAACCTGAATCGCTCGAATTGTGGGATCCACACAAGTTTTGATGTGATTCGTTTATAGGATAGGGAAATACCGTTGAAGGATCAACACAATCAGAGCTTACATATTCCACTGGCGGAGGAGTAGCACACGGAGTCTCGAAAGGAAGGTCGTCCGTATTCAAAGAAGCGGCGAGGACTTTAACATCTAACGCACTCTCATAGTTGGAGCCGTTCCACATGCAGTCCTGAATGAGTTTGGACTTCAGACTATTAAGAGAAATTTCAACGGTCGCCGAGGGTGCAGGTGAACAACTGTCCTCGTCTAAAATATCTGACACTATCTGCAGAGTGTCAGCAACCGAGCAGTACTCATCTTCGTATGAATGAAAACTGACTGGCGTATGTGGAGGTGATCGAGACGGAGAACGAGGTGGTGTCGGTAGTAGTTCAAACTTTTTCCAAATGTCATGAGATGGGACAGGAGAGCTGTAGCCTTCATTTCCATGCTCATCTTTTTCTGAATGAATCAGAAAGTACGACGCATCCGGGTCGTTTTCCAGTGCAAAAGATTTGCACAAGGACTCGACTTGTACAGCCATTCTACAACGAAAGGATCAAAACGGAAATGAGTTCACATTTGAATCACTACGACCACTTCAACAAATGATTAACGACCGAATGTATAAATAATATCTCGTTCAAAAGTGCGCTGACAGCGCAATGTAACCAAATCAAAGTCTCAGGTCGTTAAAAGTAGGAGCTTAAGTCAGCCGATTTCTACTTATTTTCTAATGAGGGAGCCATTTAAATCTACTTTAAAGATCGTCTAATGAATGAATGAACTTGGTACAGAAGACGCACGGCTCCAAATTACGAACACTCAATCGAAAGTTTGTTGGACCACTTTACCTCATGAAATTCTGGGAGACTGCAGTTGTGCAGTTCAAGTGCCTGGAGGATTCCTCTCAAGGTATTCCAACGGCCACTAGTCCGAATTTCTGCGGCTGTGAAAAAGGACGGGGCGTACGCGGAAAGCAAATTTCAATTCTCCTGCGTTCTTTGGAGAATATTTTATCAACAACCAGAACCAATCAGAAAGTGTGACTAATTAACGTTGCCATAACAACGTCATGAACTCCACGTGACTATTCTTCAAGAAGAGAGTTTTACATGCGTAAAATTTCTCTCCAGAATCACTCATTTAAACCGAAAGTATTTGTTCCGCCTTGTGCATTACCGAGCCTGATTTACTGGTATCAAGATAACAGGTTTGGTAAGTGCAGCCAATCTCAATATCAGAGGCCAAAAATATGTCTTGTTTATGTTTTTAACGGGCTTTCAAAAATTCCCCAGAGCCCGTGTACTTTAAACAAAAGCATAGCACTTTCAGAATAATGATACTGATGCTTGCAATTTTTTAAGAACTATTGTCGAGTTAAGTCAGAAAGATATTTCCTAATATTTGCTGATGCTTCCTGATAAAACCACTTTGGTTTCAATAAAAATATATGGGAGGATAGCCAGTTCGTGACGCAATCGCATGCAACCCTTAAGCCGTTTTAATTTAAGATTCTTGTGAAAAAACCAGTGTATGAATAAGAACCCAAAGCACACCTGTCGAGACGGCAAGGTTTTATTTAAGTTTTTGAGTTTGAGGATTAAAATATTGTTATCCAAAGAATAGGCTATTTTTTATCATCAACCAGCCGGAAACAACAGTGATTGCACTCAACGATAAGCACTCCTTGGTCAGCTAAAATTAACCAATTCCTTTGGTCTTGATGCATTTTATTCTTGGGGGTAGCGTTTACATGTTGATTTTATTTACTATTTGGTTTAAACAGAATGTTTGTCATTCCAAATTCACTAATTCGATCAATTTATTATGGGGTTCGAACTTAACGATGCATTGGAGCGATACATTAATTACAAGATTTAGCGAATAATCAACAATAGGTGCAAAAGGGATTTACTGCATAACCCTTCCCGCATTACATTACAAGGACCTGGGCAATTTAGCGATGCAATTATCAACTCTCTAACAATATTTACTTGTGAGATTTCGCTGCCTTAGTATTCGAGTATCACCGGAACTACCACCCAAGGACTTTTTTCCCGCGAAAGGAGTTTGATTGATTGACAAGGTCGTCAGTTCAACTTTGACAATAATAATTTACTCTTGGTGATTCATAGGAAGAAAGCAAGGGGTGACATAGGTCATTTAAGTGATATTCACAAGCCACTAAACATGCAAGTTAGGGAAATTGTGCTAGACGCAAGATGCATGAAGGCATCCAGAATTTGAGGGTTTGAAAATTTATCAAGTACTATTGCGCAATAACTATGGGTCAACCTTTTGATTGTTAGCGCGTAATGTGAGACCTGTTAGAGGTTTGTTATTCAAAAATGCTTATGTTTCCTAAAACTTGAGACTGCGTTTGACCACCCACGGACCTGTGGGGCGAGATGATAAGCTCTTGTTTTTATTTACACTTCAATCAATGCTGAGTAAAGGGCAAAAAACCGCGATTAATAGGAACTTTCCTGTTCATTCTATTAACAAACTGTTTAGTTCAAAAAATACTTGTTTGCACTCAACGGCTTAAAGTATTCAGTTAATTGGTCCCTTAGGTTCTTGCGAAATACGGAAAAAAATATTACCCAAGAGGATAAATCAGGTTCAATGTTTAGAGTGTCAGGATTAGATTTTCAAGTCGTAAGATTTGACATTGGCCGCTCAGTTGCAGATCAAATAGATCAAATGAAAGTACTTTGAAGACTACTATGTACTTGATGAATCGCCAGTTGTACCAAGTAAGTACAGCGTGCTAAATAGAAGACGGTTCTAAGACGGTTTGTTCAGTATTGTGACTATAGGTCTCGCTTACAAATGTGATATTGTTGTGGTCTAAATACACGTAAAAAGGCTATTGTTGATTCACGCTGCGTCAGTTTAGAAGAAAACCTCTCTCGAAAACACTTAAAACTCAAAAATTCTTGACAAATGAAAAAACTACCCTCCTTGGAAGCCTGTTGTGATAGACTGAGCCCTTATTTCGGACTACAATGAATTCGTGACAACTTAGTCGATGTTGTTTGAAATCACGTAGCTCTTTTTCATAGTATGTGACCTCATTTAGCTCTGGAATGTAAACTATTAAGTATTTTGCAATGAAACAAAATTAAACGCGATTTGATTAATCTATCACCGGTCAAAGTATTATTTTCGTGTACCTTCTTCATCAGAAACCAGCCACGCCGAGAGAGGAAGGAGCTACTACCCACAGGAAATGCAGTCAGAGCGCTGCAAGAACATTTGGTCAAGTGAAAGTTGGTTAACTTAATTTTTAAAAGCTTGTAACAATTTATAAATACTTAAATCGCACATTTGCTGACCGCAAACAAATAAAATCACAATGGAATATTCGCTAAGCTAAAATAATAAAAAGTTCGGTTGGTGAAAGCTTCCGACAGGATAAACAGCTTGACAATATTATCGCAAAAGATCAGAAATCGTTTTGTTAGTCCGCTGTAAAAAAATTCTTTCGTTTCCTTCAGCAGTCACGTTTACGAAAAAAACAAGTCTCAATTATGTTGCTCTTTAGTCTGTTCGCTCATTTTTCACTTCAGTGATCCGACTGAACGCATCACAAAGATAACATTTTAGTCCCCCCTTAGTTCCACTTGACACGATATGATCGATCAAAAGTCACTGTCTCTGATATTTCAACAGTTCTCTGCTCTTTCTCTGTGATTTCGGATGTTTCCAGTGCATATTTAGTTTGCGTGCATACAGGGGAAATCATTTAGGAGCTCGGCATCTTTCTTATCAAAACTTGACCTCTGCTGTCATGCCGAGCACTTGAAAGCAATGTACTCATATATTTATAAATACCCTCACTTGATACTACGCGAGAAGCATTTTCCCCCGACCAATCAACACTAATTGGGAACATAACTGGTGGTATCTTATGTTATGTCGATGATATTTTTCGGCGTTCCGGTGAATCTGAGTGTATTTTGGCTTTGCATGCGTGCCCAGTAGACTTCGAACCGATACCCCCCAGGGAAATATTGAGATGGGGACTGAATTGACGCAGGATCTTTTGTGAAACTGGACTTGTGTTGCATCCGCTCTCATTGACAGGTGGTTCCACGTGGGCAACTTTCCCGCCGTCTGCGAATGCTTGTCCTTGCATGACATTTCTAGAAAGCCGAATTCAACTAATCACTTGAACACAAGTACTTGGTTTGGACATATTGGCGTCAATCTTTAACAAGGACTCGAACTGTACAAAGCCACGTTACTGATCTTCGAAAATTAGTGACCACTTATGACGTCGATACTTGCCGCCCGTAACTCTGATTAGCAACAACAAAGTCTAATATCTAAAGTACTATAATCGACTGATCTCCCAATACGAAACATATTAATCTTCATAAGAAGAGTATGATCTATTAATGAGTTCTGAGGATTCTAACATTTCTTCGTTAATAAGCCGTGTAATAATCTTGTACAAGCTTGAAAACGGGACAAGATTCCTGAGTATGCAGTGGCAACTACTTCACGCCTTAAAAATAGACACTACTTGCCTGACGCCTGACGCATGCAGACATTTCCGTTAACACGCTATATTGATTTCGATACAAAATGAAAACAGCAATGTCGAAACGGAAATAACTAAACTTCATTGAGCCCGATACGTGTTCAAAGCATCCTCCAAAAGATCACCTTTGACAAGTTTGCCTGAATTCAATTTCCTTCCATTTGAGTACCTTTGGGCAAAAATATCATTGCCATGGTTGGAATCCGCATGCAAGGCGGAAGGAAGAGAAAATGAATGAAAAAAAGAAACAGACGTAACTTAAATCACTCCTCCAAACTTGAACTGATAGCAAAGCCAAAAGAAGTTAATGCGGTTTGGTTAGACTTTAAAAGGGCGTTCTGTGGTTTTTGATAACAATCATGAGATGATGTTAAAGTTTGTTGCTGTTTTTAATTTTTTTTTTCAGATCGCTTTGTTAACTGGATACTAATCGGAATAAAGCCTTTTTCACTTTCATACACTCAAATACTATTTAGCTTTTAACAAAGTGTTATTGATCTGTGACAATCAGTTAAGTCTGCAACTTTGAGTACCGTGTCCTTAAAACAAATTCGATTGTATTGTCAGTCACAATTTTGTCTAAATAAGCAAATATATGCGTTTAATTTGTTTCCAAAAATAAAGATAACAGTTAAGATCACGGTTCAGAATCTAGTCCTACACACGTTTACTCATATGTGGCTTTAAAATTAAGGTTTGTACTCTACAAAGAAAATAAATTAAATCAAGTTGAGATGAATTTTAAAGATCGTGGAACACGAAAGGAGAAATTTCCTCAGAGTAAGAAAGCCCTGACATGAAACTTCATTCGTTCAACTGAGAACATTTTGCTTTATGAAAATTTTCATTATCTGCGTCAGAAAAATGCATCATTGTCTTACAAGTAAGAAGGAGAAGTAACATACGATCCGAACTATAAGTTGAATTTAGTTATGGACGAAAATGAAATTTGAAATACCTTCAAAGCAAGATGTTTAAGACATAGTGGGATGGAAAATTAAAATGCAATCGTTAATGTAAAATGTGACGCTACACTTCAACTCGACAATCCGTCAAAAAAGACATCATATTTGGTAAGAGTCATCCAAAGAAGTTTGTTTGGTTTTCTTCGTTTAAGGATAAAGTTTACTTTGAGTCGTTACGTCAGCAAACGCCGAAAACGACACAATGGAACTTTGGGTCGTTTTTGGTGATTCCCCCCAAATTAAGCGTGGAATAGTTACGGTTATGAAAAAACAAAAGCTTTACCTCAATAAATCTGAAGTGGCACCAGTCAAGACCTCTCGTTAGGTATCCTCGTAAATCACTTACTCTGATACTTCAATCCGGTGTACTGTCCGACTGACTGATGTACGTACGCCTTATTATTAATGTCAATCAAAAGAAATCTTAGTCACGGTTCAGTTGTTGTTTACATGTAAATGCTTCCACCTTTGTTTATTTTGGTTCACCAAATGGAGGTTTTTGCTTTTAATCCGCTGGTTCCCTCAACCAATATCGAAGTCAAACTTTTTGTTAATCTTATCTAAACAAGATATAATAGTTTTCACTGTGATGTTTTGTGTGAACGACTAGACAATCTTTATATATACAACCTTTATCTTCAAGAAGTCACAGACATCGGAAAGAACGTATTAAAAGCGAGACAAGGCAGGACAGGAAAGTTTGGTGATGAAAGCAAACCGACATTTTACTCAACCAGAAGGTCAACACCAATAACATTTACATTCCTAAAAGATGTCGAGCAGCAGTTGTACAAGAAATGAAAATTAACTATAAGAAGTAAACGATAAACACTTCCCTATTAAAAGTGAAGCTATTTAAAGTCCATTTCTGGGCGTCTGCCCACTAATTCTCTTTAATTTCGTGAAACTGCATTGCGTGCAGCCTCATGCTAGATCTACATGCAATTTGTTTGACTTGCCTTTTTCGCAAAGGGGGAGTCTAAAGTCTGTTTGCGTAAGTAAGTTTTGTCTATTGAGGTCTTCGCGCGTGTACACGTTTCTTATTACAGTATGACGTCATACCAACCTCCGTTTTCCAGTTTTATTTCGTTTTCTAGTTTTCTGTTTGTCCTTCTGCTACCATTGGACAAAGCAACTTCCCTTTCGTTCCACTTTTCAGATTTTCTTACCAGTTTCGAGTGATGAATTTGAGCTCTTAGCAGGAAGATTGTTTATTTTTGGCATTAGATGGCGTTAATGGATTTGTGTTTCACCAAGCTTCAAAGAAACCGGCTAATTCCGCGGAACATCACGAAAGAACGTGCCTTAACAAGGACAAAGGAACTCATCTTGAAAGATCTTCCTACGCCTTCTACAGCCTACTGTGTCTTCAAGTCTTTTCCTTTCCTGTAATCGCATAAGCGGGAATAGCAAACGAGTTGCAACAATTCTGGAGAGGCCAAACATTAAGGTTTTCTTTCAGTTTAGATGCCCGCCACCTCTTCAAACTGTCTGCTGCCTTAGTAAACAGGAAGGCTTCCCAAAGTGTTAAGAATTCTCGTAAATTTGATTATATTTCGTTTTGAGTGGCTAGCGAGCCGAATTTCCGCTTTATGAATGGAAAATGAAAGTTTTGAACTGTTTTCTAATTTACAACATAGCAACTATCGGGATGTCTCTCAAAATGTGAAAAAACGGAAAAGGGTGTGATAAAAACAGCTGTCTGTATTAGAATCAGCAAGGGAGGCCAGGTGCCTCGCGTTTAAAACCGTGAAAAGCTTTTATTTTCTGTTCAAAATTCACTTAGGAGGGTGAGTAAACGTGAGGTAGACAGACATTAGTTTGGTTCTTGCGCCTCTTGAGTTTGCCGCACTTTTTCCTTTCCGTTTCGGTCACGTGTTGGCGAGAGATAGCCACAAAGACCTCACATGAACGGCGGACACACAGAACGCCTAATTAAATTCCCCAATTAAAAGTCTTTCTTCGGTAAAACGTTCGATGTGTTCACAGTAAGTTGCCGACTAGTCGTGGTTACTGAAATCTTGGAACGAGTGACTGTGATCTTGGTATCCGGCGTGAAATTTCACACTTGACCTCTCCATTCCCATTCATAGCCACTGTAACTTAGCGGAAACTTCCCTCATGAACAGCAACCCAACTGATATTACAACATAATAGAAAGCAAAAGTACTCCCGCTTACCAAAGAGCGCCAAATTCAGGCACTCTACCATCAACAACGTCACAGTACCTCTTGAGAAAAGAAGTCGAAAGTTGGAAGACCACTGATACAAAAAGTTGAACATATATTCTTTGAGGGAGTGACAAGAAGACGTTGAACATTGCACAATTTAGTTCACACTGTTTTTCTGAAGTAAGCAAGTCTGGAAAAAGATAGTTATACCTAAGTTACAATTTTCAGTAACCTTGTAAGATACAAAACTAAATTAATTAAGGATGCACACTAGTTTCACAGAAAAATTGAACAAAATATACTCGTATTTCATACAAAAATTCACAAATCTTCAAACACTTCAATAACTACTTATTCACATTCTAAATATTATTAATAATGGTATTCCTACAAGCTTGTAGTTTTAATAAATCTTGAATAAGAAGAAAACCACAGTGTTGTTCTGTACACAGGACTGTCACTTGACTCCAAATGGGTACAAAAAGTTCTAGCATTTTTAACTTTAAAGCTTATCGTCTACTCAATTTGTATCGGGCGGTTTTTTAATGACAAGAAGCAACAAACAAAAACAAAAGTTACCAGTTGTTGACAAACAAAACGCTGTAAACCAGAGCTAATCAGAAAAAAAAGGTTTCCAAACGTGTGTCAATGGCAATGAAGTACCAAGAACAAACTGTGCAATTCGCTTAGAAAAAAAAACGGCCGCAGCCAAAACATAACCACTATAGCGTTATTTTTACCTTTAAATTGCTTCTTAGGTTAATTTCACTTCCAGAGTCATTTGAAAACCGCTCTAACATAATTCCATATACTTTGAAATACTGCAATTAAGAACTAGTCATCTCTGTTTCAGTTGTCACGCAATACTCTTTCCAAAGGAGGAGTATTACAACTGATACTCCGAGCGAGGAAGACTAAGCTTTATTACCTCTACGCTGAAGAACATATCTTGACGTAAAGGAACAAATTAACTTTGTTTTAACGAATCTCAAACATAAGAATCAAGTTCGGTTGCTAATAACTTAGTGTTCCTCGAAATCACCTCTAAAAAAACTGTGACAGTGCTACTCTAATTAATAGTCAAAATAAAAGTTCATACGCCGCAAATAAGACACAACTCGCCACGATGATTTACAAAGTCAAATGATGGCCGAAACTCTTTCCATTCATCAATTGTCATTTATTTTTACACAAACGATACGAGTTATAAACAAAGGGCATGTGGGCGACAATTTTTAAATACCGCTAATTTCTTATACCATGGACATTTCAAGTCATCCCACACGACGCAAAAACTTAGGACGGAAAGTTAGTATAGAAACCACACCTTTTCCACTACGTAAAGTAGTGAACTTTCGATTGAATATCTGTTTCCTTAACTCCATTCGCTGATTTCAAACTAAGTTAGTTCTGAGAAGTTGGTGTTGCATCAGGGCAATTTCCCAGAGTTAATTTTCTTAGGTCACAATGCTTGTAGGTTCGATAACGCTGGTAGAAGTTGCAAATAGAACGAGGTGGACTGTAATATTAAAGTACTGGGGAGTCAAAAGGTTTCTTCTCAAACACTGCTCTGCTACATATTTTTCCAAAATTGCCGACCTATTACCCAAAAAAAAGGCACTGTGATGTATTGTGACACTTTACATGTAGCGTATCTCATTAGAATCTATAAGTACTCGAATGTCACAATACATCACAAGCACTGCAAAATCCAGTTGGTTCTACCTTACATAAAAAGCGACAAGGATTTCGAAAAGGCGTCCACATGTGAGAGTTTGGAGTCGTGCTAAAGAGAGGGAAAGGTCGCTCCATCTTCATCCCCTGCTCTCCATGTCGAATTAAGAGCAATTTTCGCTCGAGTGTCGAAAGTAATCCTAGATTGCCTTACTATAAACAGTGATTGGTCAAGAGAAATCCCCACACCCTCTCAAGGCGTGGGAACAAATCACTAATTGACCACTCACGTTTGTTTGTTTTAACTTGACTTCTCATTGGCCCTTTGATATTCTCCATCGTTTTGATTGGCCAGTGTAATAATTAGGTTTTTGGTTTTACGACACTCAACTGAAATTCGCTCTAATTTCACTAGTTATAGTTACTCTTTCCGATTTGTTTTAATTATCAAGCAATGTTTAGACACGTATTACAAAAAGGTCAGCGGTCGGAATTACTCTTACGTTACATCCCCTCATAAAGTAGAGCAGTGCCCATGAACCTTTAAAGTTCCCGGTCTATTCCATTCTACCTGGTTAGTTCATGGTATAAGTAGAATTTGAACTTCCATCGAATGTTCCTAACGGTTGAATGCACCTTGTGTTTCTTTGTGCTATAGACTTTTTTAAACGAGGAGACCTCTAATGGTCTTTGGCGTCGTTTCGTCGTTCAAGTGTTTTGTGCTATACCTGAAAGATGAGGAGAGGCATTCGGCATAGGTATTTCACAGAACTTGCTAGGGTTATAGACTATTTTATAACGTGGCAGCTGAAAATTACGGCCACAAAAACATAACTGCAAAGGAAATTCATATCAGCTTCTGAACAGCAGCCATTGTTTGATACTCTTACCGTGTCAATTAGGCACCATCATTTCCGCTGAGAAAATGTTATTTTAAATGGAAAAACTAATAAAACATAGGACATACATCTACATTTGACAATTTCAGAATTTATGCTGTTTGATAACTCGAAGGAGACGAATTTCGATCGCCATTCAGACAAGTTTCAATTGTTATATAGAGGCCAAAGTAGCAGTAATTTTCTGTTCGCACACAATTGATCTAGAGAAATTAAAAACGCGTAAGATAAAATAAAAAGTCAACTTAAAACGAAAAGGATAATAATTTTTTTCGTATTTTTTTCCGTTGTTAGGCAAGAAATGAAGAATTGTTAAATCCAGGAGAGACTTCGAGTATTTGGTCACTTGGATTTTACGAATCTAAAAAAATCACTGGCGTTCATTTCTTACCTCAAAGCGTTTAGTAAGCCATCTACGGTTCCTTGAGGTTGATCTTTTAACACTTTTATCGACGCTTTTATCTTAAGAAAGAAAGCAAAGTGAGTGATAAATTCACATCCATCCTGTACACAACAACAGGTGCCTTAATGGTCTTAATGACGTCAGGAGTAGCACTTGACGCAAATCAGTTCTCTGATGCTTCTTAGCTGTGCAAAAATCTCCCTCTGTCTCGTGAATTGGGAAAAGATGCATCAATGCAAGTGGATATTGGAAAAATTGGAGGACGTTTGTGCCCATAAAGTATAACTAACATGTAAAGAATGAGAGGGGATAATCAACATATGCAGTTTTGCGACAGGGTTACAAGTAATTTAGAAAGGTAACACTTGAGTATGAATGGATAAGGAGAGAGAGACTGAGGTAATGTAGAAATGCCAGAATACTTACATCTATATTTGATGTTTTTGCAAAAGCTCCTACAGGATGTACATGATCATATAGAATTATAAGACCAACCTAAAAGAGAAACACAACTTATGGTTAATTACACAGCACAGTGTTTGCAGTACACACATTTTTGAATGAGTCTTATCAATATCTATTTCAAAAGAGTGTCTTATAAATAATATTGTCCATTTTAACAAGGCTCACAAATCGTGCAGTTCTTGCTCTCATTCTGGGAATCTATTTACCTTTGTCCACTTTCAAGTCTTTACAGCTCACTGCTTTTGAAATTCACAATGCAGACTTGAGAAATTTAATTGAGGTGCTTCCAGATTTTTAATGACAATACTTCAGACTTGGTTGATGAAAATCTCTTCTAATTTGTGTTTGGCAGGAAAGATGTAAGAATCATCTTGGGATCAAGTTGTTAATTGCCCACAAAGGGAGAACTGTACAAGAAAGATGGTGGGTTCCTGTTTTTCCCCTGATAATGCAAGTCTGTCTACATTCAAACCATGTGGCTCACCCTGCCACAGCTTTTAACAGTTTCTGAACAATGAGACACCTAGATGAGATGGAGCTTGCCCACACCCAAACTTTCATGTGCAGGTTAACCCTTATATCCAGCTGCAGATCCTCAGATCCAGCTGCAATGGTTGCCAGTTTGAAATCTATGTCAGTATAGGCAAGGACTCATGATGACATACCATAACACGGAGACAAAAAAGATGTGTTTCCTCGTTTGCAACTTTAGAAGAAAAATTCCTACAAAACATAAATGTAACAGATAAATAAATTTGTAAAGAATAATTAAACTATTTTTAAAACTCAGCCTCCATGGCCTTAAACTATAAACTCTCAAATCTGACCCAATTTATCCTTCCTATATGCCATACATTTCCTGTTACTTGGTTTGGAGAATTTGATATTGTGACAAGAAATGTCATCCAGATGATAATCGTGCCTGTTCTTCTCGGCTTCCTGCTGGATAATACATTGATATGGGAGGAAGTTACAAGTTTGTCACTTTAGGACTCAAAGGGCTCATATTGATAAAGAAGATCAGTCCAACAGCACTACCCATAACTTAGGGGTTAACTTATTTTGCCTTATCCCTCCAATAAACAATGATTTTCCAAGATCCACAAATAACTCACAATATTGTTTACCAAACAATTTGGTGAATGCTTGAAAACAAGAAGACCACTTGAAATCTCTAACCCTTTAAGTCCCACTAGTGACCTACACACAGTTTCTCCTTACAATATCAGTACAGTATCAAGCAGACAAGTAAAGAGAATAAAGAAAAATATCAATTAGAGGATTATTGGTTGATCCCATTCCGAATTCTCCAAACTAACATCATATGAATTGCATGGTAGACAGTAAGGAGAATTACTGATGAGATCTTGGGAGTTAAAGGGTAAATCTCTTAGGGAGAAGACCACAATACTTACGGATTCTCTATCATAGTTCTGCATAAATTTGCTAATGTGCTAAGGCAGTCTGTTGTATTTTCTATAGGAAGGCTTTTGTTCTGGGAATAAGATAAGAAAAATGAGTCAAATCACTGACTACCTCACTTTCAGTACTACAAGCTCACATTTGCCCAGAACCCAACATATCTGGGGAAGCCCAAAGTACTGTTAAAAGTTGAGGGGGTTATAGTTTTCAAAAGGCTTCCTCTTAAGGGGTAAATATTTGAGGGAAAACATTTCTGAAAAAGACTGAGCCTGAGGTCGGAGGAGAATTTTTATTAAAAAAAGTTAATGTAATGATCTTAATAATGGTGTATTCCCTTCAAACTGTACAGCAAATGTATATTGTATACATTGAAAATGGAATATTGTAAAGGAGCTAAATGGAACCACTTCCAAACTGCATGGCTGCAATTCCAGGAAAATCTGCATAATCAATGACATGTTTCACCAGATCTCAAATCATGGCGTGAAATTAATTTTTTTTTCTGATAGCCACTTGGCTCCTAAATTCTTCAAAGTGGTAGTTAATTCAAAAAAAGTTGGTCGCCATTTTCAAAGACAAACAAAACCTTTTTTTACGCTGTCAGCGTTCTAGATTGACCCTCAAAAATTAAGTTAGGGAAAAGATCTTTAACGAGCTACAAAGTGGACACTAGGATGGTTGATATACAACGTTTAAGCTCAACTAAATCCAAGATGGCGTCCAGTTGTCGATAGGGATGCATGTGCTGCGTTTTGGAAACAAACTTTACGAGGAAGTTTGCCGCGGATTTATCTTTGCAAATCTTTTTAATTCACTATATCTCTTGGAAAGGTTATGATAAAACATTCTAGTCGCCAATTTGGCGACTAATTTTCAGGATTTGGTCGCCAAAGTGAAAAATTTAGTCGCATTGGCGCCTGTATTAGGCGCAATTTCACGCCCTGCAAATGCTCCAACATAAAATGGTTAAGAGATGTTTATACGGCAAATTTCTTATGTAGGCTTCTGAGGGCTTATAAACATAAGTGATTTGTTTTGGGGGGAGGTTTAAGGCTTTTATCGGAATTTGGCATCAAGTAGCAAAGGGCTAAGGGTGTGGTCAAATATGTGGGAGATGACAGAAGTTGTTGTTCAATCAGACTTCGAGAAAAGCGCCATGACTGTGGTAAGGAATACCTAAAAAGGGTTGCTTCTCACATGTACATTGCTGTCACATTCTACAGCAAAAATCAATAACAGCCACCACCTTGAGCTAAAGTTCTTGTGGGTCATTTTGTTGGATGCTAAGAATAGCTTCAGGAAGGTGATTCCATACAAAACATCTATCAAAGATTACTTTTAATGTTTTGTAAAAACATTCAATAGGAGCCCCTAGTTTACCTCTGTCACAAACTTTGATGTGGCATCACTAAGAATTTTCAGAAGTGGTGTGGGGTAAGCATAAAATAAAGACATTCTGTTTGCCATTTCATTGGTCACTTGAATTCCTTCACTATCATCATCCTGCAATCAAAATTTCAATATGCCACAAATTTTATAAGATCAAAAAGTTCACTTCTCCACCATTTCCACACACATTAGATATCCAAGTTCTGAGAAAAAAATGAAATTTCCTTGGCCAAATAAACACAAAATGTAACATACAGAAGCCACCTCTCAGTTCCCCAAACAGTTTCCCTTTCCACTTCTGATAAATTAATTAAAGAAAACCATGGAAAGTATCTGAATGACAGTCTTTCCAACTGCCTTCTTCAAGAGCAAAACCATCAAGATTAATGCAATGAAAAATGGTTGTTCCAGCTTCCAATTTTATTAATTTCCTTAATATTTACAGGTCAGGTAGAGTCCAGGTCAGTAGATTCACTCCAGAAGACCTTTCCAACTGCAGTTGGCTAAGGGATAGCATGAACTAATGCAATTTTTCTGTGATAATCAGTTACTTACAGTAACCTGACAACATCACAACTTCAACATAAAGGGCCTGAGGGGTTCAGTACCCTTGTTGGAAGCAAAGGCTTGGCTTACAAGAAACATTTTTAAAGGTCTTTCACAAGTTTCTGATCAGTGACCCTGTCAGTTTGATTCAGATTAAAGAATGACTTGAGCACAGACTTGACAAGGCTAATTATCAATTTTGCAGCAACCAACTTTGTGGTGCCCATGTGTAAAAACAGACCCTTTCTGGTATTTTCATGTGAAACTCACCGCATTTGCCATTTTCCTTCTACTCAGTGTTCTTCTGTAGTAACTAAAGTCATTTTGAATAGATGGATTTGTCATCTGCAATCATTGGAGAAATTAAGAGTATTTTAATTAATATAGAGCAAGTTCATTGCCACAATAAGAATATACATGCTTTTCCTCAGGCAAATAAAGAAATAAACAAACAAAAAATGCTTAACATAAAAGACACTAGTTTGCTGCTGATCTTCACTGTACTTAATAATTTGACCATGACCTTCCTCTAGAACACAGTTAATTTTAAGGGAGCAAAAACACATAGGCAGTACCTTTAAGTCATCAAATTTCAGTGTGAAGTGAAGAATTTCAGCAAACTGTTTTGCAAGGGCCTGTAATAACAAGAAAAATAAATAACATGCTGGCTGAAATGTTCAAAATCAATTGCATTCATTTCACAGAACTTTTAAATGGCCATATCTGGTTAAGAAGCATTATCAATATAGCAATAAGTTATTTCACAACATCATTATGAGTAGGACAATGATTCCATTGTATCATGTATCATATTTTTCTGATTATTGAAAGATCAAAAATGCACAAAACTAACAACAAGTTTTCCACCATCTATTCTTTTGTTGTGGTGTGTTGTTGGGTAAAACACTCTTCTCATACAGTGCCTCTTTCTGACCAAGAGTGTTTTATTAATTGATGAATGATGAACAGTATGGGAAAGGGTGTTATACCCTGCTTGACCAGATAACCCTGAGAAATTTACCCCAATCGAGAGAAAAAAATCTGTCATTGCTACCAAAAGAAAGGGCTGTTCAAGTTGTTGCACTCATCACATCTTAGAGAATTTGATTTGCAGACAATCTTCTGCTAAACATCAATTTTTTATTTCTCTGGCCTATATGTTTTGATCATTTTATGTATTTGTATACTACTTTGGGAAGCCTTTTTTCCTTAAATAAAACCATTGCACCCTTAAAAGAATAGGTGTTATATACATCTCTTCTTTCCTTACAACAGCCACCTCAACAGCCACTTTCCCACATGGGGCTTCTTTCTTCTGTTCCCAAGGTGTAATGTTTGTACATATTGGTGTAAGGTCTTGTTTGAATTTAGTTTGAATTTTTTCCTTACCTGTTGCCGTTCTAGATGTTCAATAGGAGTCTCAGGTCCAGAACAAAGAGCATATAGAAGCTGGGGAAGAACAGCCTCTGTGAAAAAAAACAAAAAATAAATAAAACATGCAAAAATTTGAAATACCAAGTTTTTAACTAGTATTTAAAAATGTAAATTGGCAATCACAATTTTGAAAGACATTTCAACCACTTTATACCATCAATTTTGAATTGGTAATTGTTGAATCATGTAGGGATTGTCACATAATAGAGTGCAGCAAGCAGAAGCTTTCCCTAATTAGGGATTTCATGGTGAAAACAACAGACATATTCCAAATTTCAAATAACTGAGGGGTTATGCTTGATCAGGTGAGGCAAATGTTACCTACAATATATCTTGGTCATGGTTATGGTCACTGGAAGTAGTTATTATTATCAAAAGTCAAGGCTTATGGTTGACCTCATCTTGTCTGAGGCTCTCTACAACTTATAAACCTCTCTTTAACTACACTGACAAGGCAGAAAATTAAAAAGGAGCCAAATTATATATTACAAATAACTTCCCACTATTTCAGTGCTAGGCTTGAGTCTTAAATGCATCTTCACCTCACATGACATTCTCTTACCAAGCTCTAAGGCAAATTCATAAAACGTCTTAAGTTTTCCAACAAGTGGCACCACTGCTTTCCATGCAACCTCTTGGAGCTCTTCATTGAGAGCATTGGAAATTGCCTGAAGAAAGAAAAATTTCAGGCAGGGATTAAATAACTTCTAGAGAGTATCAGTGCTCTATAATCTCCAACAAAATATCTGTGATGAAACAAGTAGCATTTGCTGATTTAACTAAATAGTATTATAAAATAATTCAAATAGTACGCACTAGTTATTTTATAAAAGAAATGTAATATGGTTTCCGTGTTTACATAGCCTGATATAAACACTTGGGAGGTTGGGAGAACACTCGATAAGCTGGAAACCACTCCGCTTTGTGTCGTGGTTTCCAATGCTTATCTCGTGTTCTCCCAACATCAGGCTATGTAAACACGGAAACTATTTTACATTTCTTTGGCAGAAACTCACAATTATGGCACTTACTTGTCTTATTTCTTCCCCAGCCCCTTGGTAACCTTGTAACTCCTGCAGAATTTGAGGCGCAACATCTAACACACTGTGAACCACATCAAACACTTCTTTTTCTGATTCTGTTGGGGTAGCATCTAAAAACAATACAAATTTAAACAAGATAACTTTGAACCTTAATAATTAACATAACTGGCCATTTTGAGCTCCTCAGGCACACAAATAATTGAAATAGCATGCTGAAGGATAAAATTTGGTTTTGTGTAGATTGAAAGATCACATTACCAGTTGAAAAGACATTTCCCAAAAATGAGAGACTGGTCATTATTGATTGCTTGGGGTGAGGGAGGTGTTTGGAGGATTTTGGATGTGTTACAACAAAATTTACCTGATCCCCCTCCCCATGACTCTCTCATTAGTTTTGAATTCTCTATAGTTCCTCACTTTATACTATGTTGGCAATGACTGATCTCCCCTGTGTTCCCCCTGTTAATCATCTGATCTCCCAAAAATCCACCACCCACCCCCAAATTCCCAGACAATTAACAATTGGTTCATACATCAGCGTGCGTTCATAGAGATATGAAGCACGCAGGAAGTTTGAAGAGCACGAAAGATGCGCAAGAGTTGCTTGAGGCATAGCCGAGAGGAACTCTAGCTTCTTGAGTGCTCTCCAAACTTCCCAAGTGCTTCATATCTCGATGAACGCACAGCTGACATATGAATCAATTGTTTTATAACATTTTGAACCCCATGGAAAATTGTTTTTTCTCGAGGGATTTGTTTGCTGACATCATGAGCGTGCACAATAGGAATATGAAGCACGCTCACGCAATTGAATTTGATTACACAAATTTACTAGCTATGTTATAACAGATGATGACTGGTACTCAAAGCACATCTGTGCTTATTGTTATTGAGAGAATAATCCTTGTTCTAACAGAAAACAGGAAAACTAGTGTTAAATGAAAAAGTACAGTGTGGATACCAATCAAAAGGAGAGAAATGCTCATGAGAACTTGAATAATGGCACATATCTTTGTAGCCTTAACCCTGTTGATCCTAGGATCTCATGAGTAGTTCTCCCTACTGTCTGCCAGAGAAGTCTTCTAATGTTGATTCACAGAATTTGTTACTGAACCAACTAATAACACTCCAATTGATCACTTTCTTTTACTCTCAATAATATTGTACTCTTTTACTCTCCTGATATTGTAAGGAGAAATCCTGTCTTGATCATTCATGGGAATTAAAGGGTAAAAGTGTGGGAGTAGGTAAGAAACCAAGTCTTCCTTGATTTAAGCTATTGCATCTAGTGGTAAACTCAGAGAAATCTTGGATTACCTAACAAAAGACTACTCTACAATCTGTGCCCGAATTTCTTCACGTTTCTGATTCTGTAATTTCCTGAATTTTAGTTCAGCAGTGATTTAACTCATGTATTATATCCACAATGTTATCACAAGCCCTGGATTTCTATGGGCTTCCTTCCCCATTATAAGAATAACATACTTCTCAATTTTGCTACACCACAAGTAAACACAGAGCTCATGGTTTAACTCAGAATAGAAACCACTGATGTTAATTGACAATCATTCCAATGACCAAACCTACTTTCAAAATCCAAGAAAATGTCAATTTTGCTACCACAGCCATCATTTTCTTCTTTTGTTAGGAGCTTCAGGAGATTCCCCATAACAGGATGCTCGTCATCAACTGCAGCTGTGAACAGGAATAACAATAGATATCAGCACATGATTTAAAATCATGTTCTTGCTATTTATTGAGACATTGTGTTGGGGCCTTAGGCTATGTTTTTCATTTTGACTTGAACAGAATAATAAGAAACAAAAGGAAAATTGGGTAATAGTTTAAAGGGTGAAAAAAAGTTGAGTAGAGTGCAACAAAATTGCTTTCCACTCTTGATATCCATAGAAAAATGCACAAGAAAGCTTTGAATTTGGTTCTATTGTTTCAAATTAACTGAACACCCTGTCAGTCTACCCAAGGAATGCTTCCCTTTCTTAGTGTGTGTTAAAAAAAAAAGTAAATAACTTGAACTTTGTTTTGAATGCATAATGTATTAAATGTTCATTTTACAAATGTTTTCAGTTTAAAATATTTCTGAAAAAGATTTCAGTAGAGGCTGAGGGTTACTTTTAAGTGTTCTTACTATGGTGACCTTGGCAACATTGAGAACAATAGCTAAGGGAAAAAGAGGTTATCTTAAGAATATTGTAGTTATTCATATCTAATTAATGTATTTAATTGGCTTTTTTCAACAGAATGTGAAAGGAAAGTACCTAATTCCACAAAGAATTACAACAAATTGGTCTCAATGTGCCCCCAACCCCTCTCCTCCCAGACTGAAAGAGTGAGAGATTGTCACTTAAGAAAGGTGTTAGCACAGGGATGCTAAACCATTTTTCAAAAGGGGAAATATTTTTCACAACTATCTTTTATGTACTCAGTTATCTATAATGGATCACATCTGCCTAAATCCTAATTTATAGACATCATCCCTCTACTCACACCAAAAAGGTTTAACAGGAAAAGTAGACAAATACAAAACTCCAAGCCCTGTCACAAGTCTGACCCACACATTAGGATAAAACTGATAAGATTTCATGTCACAGGTGTGTAGTAAATATGTTTATTTTTCCTTTATTATTGTAAATGAAGTCAGGCATTTCCTTTAAGACATATTCCATTAACAAATAAATGAAACGATTTTATCTTAGTGTAAATATAAGATTAAAATGCCACATCAAATAATGCTTACGTTTATGTACAGTGAATGCAATATAGCAAGTTTTAGTGGTATTATTAAGTGATCTTTGTTCCTTAACTGTAAGAGGTTCGAAGTGGATGATATTCCAGGAAATGACAACACAAACTATGCACTAAACGCAATAATTGAATATACTTATTCAAATTGACAATTTTACATGCACATGCAGATAACTCTTAAGTGAAAATGAAACAAAAGCCAACGATTCCACGTTAATTTCAAAGTGGAGTTATGAACAAAAATCATTAATCCTTGTCAGTCTGGAAATTTGGTTAGTTTTCGAAATGAAAAAAAATGTACAAAGTGTAGACTCGTTCTTGATTTTAAAATTATACGCAAGCCTAACAAACGTCAAGTAATTAAACGTACTCTGAGCTGTTCGATCAAATCATGTTTATTTCGATTCATGTCAATAACCCTATACGTGCATCGAGGCCTCCAACGCCCGATAAAATGAATTAGACAGGTTGAAGACTTTAAATGTAACGAGGAAGTAAATGAAGGCGTGAACAAAAAGACCCCAACGAATATTAATTCACTCGAATAAGAAAGCATATTAGCAGTTACGAGACCGATGACAATGTATTGTAAGAGTGAACACAGTCATGTTTCGAGACTGGAAAGGTTAGAGAGGACGTAAACATTTTGAACAAAGATTATTCGCGTCGCTTATGAAGAAAGCTTGGGCAAATTTTCACTTAATATGGACATTTCTCTACTGTTCTTCGGTCAATAAACAAGAAAGTCGAGTAACACGGGTATGTGGCGTGAACAGAAATCTACACGAAATCGAACAACCTCAAAATCGTAACCAGTTACGCTTTCCACTGCAACCTTGAAATCTAGAGTAAAATCAGGAAAAGAAAACTACGAGCACTTAAGGAGAAAAGGAGCCCGATCCAATGGGAGTAAAGTTCGTGTTTTCAATGTACAGGAAAACGGTTCGAAATCATGAAGCAACAGTTTAACGACACTTACCTCACCCCAACCGGAAAGGGAAACGGACAACCACAACTTGCCAGGGAACAGAGGGTCCCTAACTCGTCAAAATACGATTCGACCCTCTCTTTCGCCGCCGAAGTTAAAGAAACGTTCACAAAAGTAACAAAAAACGCACTTTCTTTTCTTAGAAGTCAGCGGAAAGAGCTGCTGGCTTGAACTCTTCCTTGTTGCTCTGTGGTGCCTCAAGGGTAGGGAATTGGCACATTTCCACGCCCTCCTAGCCCATAATACTAAAGGACTGTTTTAAAATTAGGCCCCATATTTAGTTCGACCATTGTGTACGGGTCCATTACTTTTCATCACCAAATATGGTAAAATATTGGCGGTAAAACAAGGGAAGGCATCTTAGAAGATGCGCGATACTAAGACCCAGGAAAGATCGTAGTTATAAGGCATGACCCGAAATATTAAAGTACTGACGTTAGACGACGTTTCCAAAGAGTTTTCGGAAAATGCCGAAAGTTGCCGTAGTCGATTTCCTCTTTCTTGTTTTCTTGTAATATTTTTTATATTACTGGGTTCAATGAACGAATAGTTTTGTAATGTGTAAGCTTTAGAATCTCTTTCGATTGTATAGAGCGTTTGATGCATATCTGGGTCGCTGTCGATGTGAAGGATCCCTCTAACTCATCCCTTGGTCCCTTCAGGGCATCTCGTGGATGACAAGATTCAGAAGTGAAATTAAAAATTTCACGGCTTCGTTTCCGGTAGGTTAAGAACCGCGGTGTAACGACCCAATGGTTTTTGCTTTAAAAAAAAAGCGGGAAAATTAGAGCTGGAATATTAAACATCTCGTGTGCGAGGTTTTTATCGTCTTGACTGGAATGGATTCGCTAGTCGGGAAATTAAAGAATTTTGTGCCCATAGACAAAAGGTTTGGCTACGCTGACGACGTGGATATGGCATACCATGAACCAAGTTTTACGTGAATTTGAAACAATAACAACGACAAGATTTTGTTCGTTCTATTCCAAAGATTTTGGTAAACATCACGATCGAGGTATTGGAAAAGATCAAGTTGAAATCCACAACTACGCCTAGATAAGTATCGCTCAGTAATGAACCTCACCTCGAGCTCTCACGCATTGAGCGTGACTCACGCAAACAAATTCAATCTTACGCTCTCACGCTGAAACTAGCTTTCTAATTTAAACTGTTGATTTTGGGATAGAAAACTGCTGCTTAAGTTAGGAACAGGAAGGTAATGCCTTAGGCATCAGAAGCGACGGCTATGCGTTCAAAAATGTGACCTTTTAGCAGAAAACCAACTTGAGGAATTGTCACACAACGTGCGTGACTTAAATATGCCCTTGATATGTTCTAATTTTTAATAAACAGGAAGTGAGAAGTCTAAAAAACACAAAGTTTACTCCGAAGGTCCTGCGGCTGGAAATACCAGGATACAATTTGACGGATGTCCATTAATCATCGTTGGGAGAAAAGTATGTGACTGCCAGCATGGCGTGGAACGTGACTGTCACGCCAAGGAAAAGAAAAGGAACTAGCAGAATGAAGTGAGAAAACAACCTTGAAGAAAAAAAACAAACAAAAAAAACAACCTGCAACTGGAAAGGCGAGAGGGCAAAGGCGAGTCTACATTGAATTTCCAAGAGAGTGCGACCACACAAATCATTTTTCAGGGCAGGTAAGTTATGTTTGTATCAGAGCCAAAAACGTGGTTGGGAATAAGCCACCAGTGCATTTTCCCAGAGGACTGAATCCCGTATTTATTAAAATTATCTTTCCTTTCACAGGTGGCTGAACTATCGCAAAGAATTGATCCACGAATAGTCGAAAAAATACATGCTTTAGCTGGCGATAGTTTTCGAGATGTCAACGAGATGAGACGTCACACCCATGTGTATGTCCAGAATAGCCGTTTTCTAGGGAGCGTACCACCTCTCAAATCCAATAAACACTTCTGCCCAAGCAAGACTACATTAAAAACCACATGGACATCGCGGTAATCAAACAGCGACCGAGCAAATCTCGCCGAAAAAATAAAGGTTTGGCGCGCTGATCGAATATGTGTTTTTGTCACATTTTTTTTAATTGCGAACAAAAAGCAACGAATTGAACAGCAGTAGACAGCTGAAGACAGCTGTGTGATTGACGATAAAACTTTTTCTCTTTGTATTAGAATGTCTGGTCTACATCTGTGATTTTCACAGAGAGAAAGCGTGGGAGCATTGGAACAAGTCCCTTTTGAAAGGAAACGCTTTAGCTGCTATGAGGAAGATTGCCCGTGCCAGGACTGTCCAGGAGTACTCATTTATTTCATAGCTTAGGTCATTAAGCGGAAACGAAGGGCACTGAGAAGTACTCACTATGGTTGCAGATCAAAATTTAATTACCCGTACTCTTACTCTTGACAGATATCTCGCACCTGCTGCATTAAAAAATGCACTTTAGTCAGGAAGTGCCAGTACCTTTAAGGAGATTCAAAAGCTAAAAGAAGACAGCCTTTCTCCGGTCGCCATGGTGAAAGGGTTGAAATGATGGAAAGTAAGTACAAAGTTAATCATAACAAAGTTAATCATGACAAAGTTAATCATAACAGCAGGGCAACACATTCCTAAACGTGCCAGAAGCAGTCTGACTAACTGTGATATTGAGTTTGAAATTGTCCCAATGGATTTAGATAACGCAAGTGTTGATGACATGGCATGACCAACTTTGATGACATGGTGCTGGAAAATCCATTCATTCCTATAACCCTGCACCTGCTGCAACTAGCTCCATTGACAAAGAGGTCCAGGAAACTGAATCTACTACCCCTTCTAAATCTGATGTTGAGTCTCAAAGTCCAAACTTCTCTTAAAACACAGGGTGAACCCTGCAACACCAACTTTGATGCCAAATTCATTGTTGTAGATGAAACATCCCGTGATCCTGTCTTCTGGGTCTATATAAATAACAGTAGCGGCATGCGATCTCTTAATCCTGGAAACAAGGAAAACATCTTGAAACCAGAAAGTCGGAGTGAACAGCAAATTTTCAGCTGCTTTAACTTCATCTCCTCAAATTTACAGGCCTCATATCCTTAAAGGAAAAGCAGATGGAATGCATCTGAAGAATTACTTGCTCAGAAGAAGACGTTTTAGTCGTTTTTCCGACGGAATTTGACAAGAGACATGATTCTGAAAGTGATAAAATTGTATCGCCCCACTGAGTTGTTGTTGTGAGTCCCCTGGAGTATACACGGAAGCAAAGAGTCGAAAATCTTAAGAACACACACTGGAGAATTGAATCAGTTCTTAGTCTTACGTGATTTTTTTTAAAGAAAGTACCTGATGACTAACGAGGAAGAATTGTTTTTTCTTTTTTTTGTCACCAGGAAGCACAGCAGGCAGAAAATTTAGTCCCACACTTTTGATCACTTCTGACAAAATAGAGGACCTTGACTTTTGCCGATTCTCTGTTTCTCGATAGCTTTGACAGGGGAACCGCACCAACGGTTAAGCATGGTGCGCAAAAGCAGAAGTGCTTAAAAAATCTGCAAGAATTTTCGCTGTCACTAGCAGGAGATAACGACTAATCCATATTTACAGTATTTTCAGTAAATACAGTGCTCGAGTTAGAAAGATAATAGCTACAGGAGCTGTTTCGAACCTTAGCGCTGCGAACAAATGACGTCACAGATTTTCACTCAGACGTGCCACGTGCGAACGACTCGCAGCCGGTTGTCTGTTTGGTGTCTGTAAACTCGTGAACGTGACTTTTTTTTAAACCACTTTTTCGCGAGCAGATGAAATATCCAGCTCAATTTCAAACAGAAAACCTGAGAATTATTTGTTAAATCGACAAATGCTTGGGTGAAAATGCAAAGAATTGGAAAATAATGGTGATTTTGTCGTCTATGGGCCGTGTTTACAAATGTCTTAGTGCAGAAAGGTTTGTTTGAATGACAAAAAAAAGGTTCTCTTTTCATTTCTCCAGTGAAAGAATAAAATTACAGACGTTTGCTTTTACTATCAATAAAAATCCCCGAAAACTACACTGGAATCAAGAATAGACAGTTTCTTATCTAACTTGCGATCAAGCGTTCTTAAGGGTAACGTGAAAGTCGGCAAACGGGGAAGGGCTAAAAAACAACGCCTGCCTGTCAACAGAGAGAGATCTTGACTGAGTCACGTAGACGAGCAACCAGTCATGCCTATTAATTTATTGAATTTATTTGATTCATTTTAAACTGATCCTTTATCCGGTGATCCGGTAATCCAGTGATCCTTGATCCAGTTTTTCCAGGAAACCTCTGACGTCAGTGTTGTGAATATCTAATAAGGTGTTGTTTTGACCACGAGTTGGTGGTCTGCGGTCTTATAAGGAAATGTGATATGGCAACCTCTTTGGCTCGGCCTTTTGTACGAACCTTTTTCTTTCCTAAAACTCCTAATTTTAAATTTATATCAAAGAAAACACACCGCTCCATGAGCATCGCCTCTTCTAAACTCCATGTGAACGGGGTCAACATTCATTACGAAGTTGCTGGTCAAGGCAGCCATGTTGTTTTATGTATGCCTGGTGCTCTGGGATCAACGCAAAGTGATTTTGGTCCGCAGCTGAAGGGACTTAAGGACGAGTTTACAGTTATAGCGTTTGATCCTCGAGGATATGGAAAATCGACTCCTCCTAAACGGGATTTTCCAATTGACTTTTTTGAAAGAGATGCAAATGATGCTGCGTCTCTTATGAAGGTACTTGGTGAGTTAATCTGTTGATTTTACCCACTTTAAAATTTGATTGAAGGTGGCTTTCGAATCTGTAATGAGGTCTTTGATAGGAAAATTCGTGTTAATTCCTGTGCTTAAGGTTTAAAAATCGTATACCTAAAGCCTTAGAATAAGATTTAGGGTTAAAAAGTTTGTTGGAATGGAAATAAATAGCTGCACATCCGGACCTCGATTAACCGGATTTCTCGATGATCCGGACCTTTTCTCTGGTCCCAATTTTGTCATGAATATTTATTAGTCATGATCGATATCCGAAACCATAATCTCTTTAAAACTACAGCGTTGAAAAGTGTAGTAAAGGCTAGTTTGTTTTGCTTTGAAAAGGCAAAAGCATCACTCGCTGTTCACTCGAATGCTCCCTCGAATGAGGTCTGATTGGCTTATACTCATCTTCTGGATTATCTGGACCCTCGATCATCCGGACTGTTTCGTCTAGTTCCAACGAGTCTGGATAATCGAGGCTCGACTGTAGTTGAGAAACCATCTTATGACTGATATGAGTAAAGAAAGTCTGAAAACTTCCTCATTTCAGGCCACTCTAAATATTCACTTCTGGGATGGAGTGATGGGGGAATAACTGCCATGATACTGGCCGCCGCACATCCTAAAAGCATCCATCACCTGGTAGTTTGGGGAGCTAATGCCACTGTAACAGCTAAAGATATTGAGCTGTATGAAGTCATCAGAGACACATCAAAATGGAGCCTCAAGATGAGAGAGCCTCTAGAGGGTGAGACATCTCTAATGAATACCATGTGGATTTTCTTAAAACATGCCTTAGAAAGATTCGTTAGTGAACAGTTTTATTTTTCTGAATTGCTGAAGGTTTTTTGCCTTTTTTCACGTTTTGTTCGCACTTTGATCATTAAAATATCCTCATCCGAAGAGCCTACAAACTCCATGAGTATCCGCAGATTTAGGAACGGTGGTAAACTGAGCATACTCTTTCATCCCTCTTCAAAAATTATTACCGAAATGTGGTGAACCAGCAGAAGCGCGCTGAAATCACCAGAATGGCACCAGTTGCAATGGCACCAATGGCACCACCACCACCAAAACACAGACAAATTACCTCTCTGCTTACAATGACAACTCATATCTTTATTAGTCTCAGACATTTTCTCTCAGATGTCATCAGTCATTAAAAAAGGTTAAGTCTGGTTTCAAGCAAAGTAGCTCATCTAGCAGGAGCTTATTCTGGTTTGCGTAGTGTGAAGTGATAAGGTGTATTGCTGCTGCCCCTTGATGGCATGTCAGTCAATCATAGGGTATGTCCTTATGATCACAGGTTACCCCCCCCCCCTTTAGAATTTCTTCAGGCTTCCCTCACAGGTGGCCGATACCCATTCATACTCATGAGTAGAGGGGGGGGGGGGCTGCAAGAGCTAAGGGTCCTTCCTAATATGTATTTATTTTGTGTTAATGTTAAAAAGTATTTGTACAACATTTTTACTAGCACCAAAATGGCTTTACTCCATTCAGCAATATCATGTTTTGGAGCTTTTATGTATTCTAAGCTCTTTGTGATTTCATTTTAGCCTTGTATGGAAAAGAAGGACTCCAAGAGATGAACAGTGGCTGGATAGATGGCATAAGTCGATTTTATACTGACAGAGGTGGTGACATTTGTACCAGTGCTGTGAAGAAGATTAATTGCCCCACCCTGGTAGTACATGGGCAGAAGGACCCCCTGGTGCCTCAATTTCACCCTGAGTATCTACATGCCAACATTAAGGGTGCTAAGCTGCATGTCATGCCTGAAGGAAGACACAACCTTCACCTTAGATATGCTGACGAATTTAACACACTCGTCAAGGCGTTTTTGAAAGGGAAATCAAAAATTTAAACCCATGTTCTATTAAGAATCATTGTTTTTATAAAAGATTATTTTTTTCCTGTAGAAAGGTTCGGGGTATTTAGTTAGTTCAACTCTGGCCAATATGTCAAGAGATTGGATAACAGCAGCATGTCAAATTAACAGCATAAAAGTGCTGATGAACTAAAAAGAAACAGAATAAACCTTGAAACACATGGATGAGGAAAGGTTGTAGATTATTAAACAGATTTCATTCGAATGAACACGCAAATCTTGAAAGTGATAATTGAGCTCAATCATTTTTTATGAAAGTTCTAATTATAACGAGTGAAGATAAGCTTTAAAAGTTAAATCTTCTGTAATGTGTAAAGAAAAGGAAACTACTTCAGCTTCCAGAATTATTTCTACAGTTTTATACCATAGTTAGTAGAGGGGACAATGATATACACCGAACACACTTTACACTGAAGGAGATGATGTTTCAGGTAGTGATTTCTTTAAATGATATGTCAGTTTTACAGGTGACGTTGTCTGCTGTAGGTTAATTTTTTTGCAGTCCAGTACAGGTTTTAGGAGACAAAAACAGATGTTTCGGTTATTTAAAGAGAATAGTCTGGAAAATTTAACTTAGTAGGAAGGTAAATGGAAGAAAAGAAAGAGGACTAGTAAGAAGGCAATGCTGGGAAAGATCCAAACACACTAGATGCATTTAACAAACCAAAACAAAAGCTGGAAGACAAGAGTTAGATAGACATCGGTAGCGAAGTGTGGCTCAAACTGCGACGTGTAGTGGGATAAGCAATTAAAGAGACATGGTTCTGTCCAGGAAGCTCCCTAGCTGTGAAACCATCGAAGTTAAGTAAGTATTGCCTTAAGTCATTCTGTGAATTTTTTTTTTTGGATGTCAAAACACCTCCAAATCAAATAATCCCAAGCAGCTTCTTATTCATAGAGTAATTTTGGATTGGTTGCCGTAAGTTTTCAGGGATTCCTTTTGTCTTCTGTGATTGGTTCATCCCTTTTGTTGCGCTGTGATTGGTTCAGAAAACTCAGGCCATCCTCTTAACCTTCAGGTCTACGTTGTAAAACTAACGCCGGTCGCGAATTGGTAATCCGCGTTTTCACGCGCGCAGGGCAGTTCACATGTGTCTACTTTGAGTTCTAATTGGTTACTTTAGAAATATTTCTTAGTTCTTATTGGCTGAAAGTGGACGGTCTCAGGTTCGATTCTTAAGGGGACTCAGAATTTTAATTTGTGCCAAGCTTTGCGTAAGATTTGTTTTATGGACGCACAGTTGAATAGCGCTCTAAAGTCAGCCCACTCTCAAGAATGGCACACACAAAGGCGATAAAACACCACACATCAGTCGAGTGACATTTCCTGAATTTTACTAAGACGTGCGCTTCGGAATGCTTTACAATGTGTGGTATTCATTGCTCTTTTTCACACTGTCAGAAATTTCTGCGTGGAGTTCTTTACTTTGGCTTTCAATTTATTTTGACGAACATTAACCACCAACACTAAGATAGTAAATCTGTGACATTTACCAAGCCTTACAATGGACTACTAACATTGAATTCGTCAAATTCTCCGTTTCCTGTTGTTTTTCTCAGCACTGTTGACTTTCGAAAAGCTTCAGGGAACAGGAAATTCCTGCACTTTCGACTCGCCGTTTCGGTTCTTTGTCCGACTTCCTAATATGGAAATGATATGTTTCAAAGCAGCCTTGTAACCTGCTCGGTATCGCTGGCTCACCAGTATACACGTGACTGGATGCACAAACGGGTCAATTGTGGACAACGCAAACGCCAATAGATCAAAATACGTGCTGCGCCAATTTACATGATAAATGAGCACCACTCGAATCTGAAAATGATAATAAAAAAAAGTGATTTGGACAATGAGTAAAGGGGGTAAGTTTCTGAAGAAACTGAGGTGCTGCGTCGATGGGAGAGTATAGCAGGTAATCTAGTGTTAACAACTGAGTTGAAAACGTAAATTGGCCACCGTTAAGAGTAAAAAAGCTGACATTTCGAGCGTTAGCCCTTCGTCAAAGCGATAGACGAAGGGCTAACGCTCGAAACGTCAGCTTTTTTACTCTTTACGGTGGCCAATTTACGTTTTCAACTCAGTTGTTAATACTAAATTATCTGATGTGAACACTCAGAACATCAGATACAGATTATCGGAAGTTATTCATAACCATTACAATTTCCTCAAATGTGATTAGTGCATTAGCTGATTTATTTTTCACTTATCATTCTGTACAGTTGTGTAATTGGACAGTTGGCTGTAATCGGACACCTGTAATCGGACAGTTGAAGTAGCCAACATAATAAGTCCACTCAGCTAGATCCACCAATCACAGAACTGATCACAATAACCATAGCAACAACCACTCATCCTGGAAAAAACTGGGAATTTCCAAAATAGAGGAATATTTTTACTATAGACATTCTCTCTACCAAAGATGTTTGTCCTAAATGTTATTTTTTTTCGGAAGTTGCAACGGTTATGATAAATTTGTGGGAGGTCCTCGTGTCGTCCAATTCTGTCTATAATCACAATCTTGGTTGACAAAGCAGACTCCCGCTTCGCGGTCACTTGTATGATTACAGACCGAATTGGACTCCACTCGTTCCTATCACCATTATAACCATGGCCCGTTTATCTTGAAAGATTTAGCTGCATTCCTTGTGATTGTTTTTCTTCATGTCCTTTTTCGTTTTGTTCATCTCGTCAGTTTTGTGTGTCTTTATCAGGCTTCATTTTAATTTCTTTCACGCTGGGGGATATATTTTAAACTCAAAATATCTAGACGGATACTTTGATGGCAAATGCAGGATACTGACCTCGTCGACTTTCAATTCTTTTTGGTTAAATATGGCTTTGGAAGCGAGATTGTTCAACGACTTACAAGTAATTATAAGAGTGGCCAATCGAGGTTTTCGTCGAGAAACCAAAGATTAGCCGAAGATTAGCCGAAGATTGGCCGAGACGGTAGGGAAAGAGTCTTTGATAGGTCGTAGTGTTCGTGCGCTCGTTCGTTCGCGAGCTATCGCAAGGCATGTTACATTATTCTTATGATGTGTCACATGGTGCCGGTAGTTAAAAAACATGATCATCATTCGGTTTTTTAACACTCTTGTGAAAATTGTTTAAACCACTTACCACAATGGGCAGCCAACAGAGAGAATAAAAAAGAGCCATGAGACCTGTCAGATTGGACAGGATGATGGATTCCTTCTCTGCGCCAAACTGAGCCCTGATCTCCACTCCAACTGACCGGTCCATTTTCTTCAAAGCTCTCAACACTGACAGGTTCATGATGAGCATCAGAAGAATACAGAGTGAAAAATTGCAGACAAACGCATGTACTACGACTTCTTCTCGTAAACTTTGTGAATAAAGCGAGTACAAACAAATGGGTACTGGTTGCTTTGTGAGTTCGACTGTTTTTAATATAACAGGGAGACTCGCTAGTGCGCCTGCGTGTAGGAAGATGTACACAGTTGCTGATACAATTTTGCGAAATTCTATGAGTTGCTCGTAGTAGAAAGGAAAACACATGGCGATAAATCTTTCCGCAGACATAACCAATGTTATCATAACTGTCATTGTCCCGAAGAACAGCAAACATAACGTGCTCACTGAACAACCGACTTTCCCCGCAGGCCATTCACCTGTCAGATAAGCAACCGCTGTCCAAGTGTACCCGGTAAGCGCCAAAAGAATTCCCATGAGTGCCTGAAGGCCCATTAGTAAATCATTATACTTCTTTCTGCTGAATGACACTTTTTTAAATACAAGCAAATAATAGGCGGCTATGGAGTTTATCAATACAGTCACAAATGCATAGACGATCGTGCAAACGCCTAGAATGAAATTTTGTTTGATTTCGTAATCTCTGCTGTGGTTTTCTGATTTGGTTTCCATATCTCAGAAATCAAGCAAGCCTCTGTGCTGTTCCTGAAAATTAAAAAAATGACAACTGATATAATTTTCTGAATTTGTTAAAAAATGCAATATTGGTATGGATAGCTTAGATTTATACTCTACACATTAAATTTCAAAAACACAAAAATTCAAAATGAAGGCCATGTTTTCGTGAATTCGAAGATCGTTTGACATAAAGAGCTGAATAGTAAACAACGTCGGTTGTTTGGTCCTCTGAGCCGGAGAATGAGTGAACACCACGATCTCGCACAATTTCATTTTCGATTCAAGTAGGGCTATAGGGTATAGTAGGGCTTCACGTTTTGAAACGTACGAGATTTCACGTTTTCTTTGTCCTTTTAAAATATCTGGCCTTTTATATCTACATAATCTAGATTCTCCAGTAGTAACTGTCAAATGAGTGTTTCACGCTGTAAGGGTTGATGGTGAATTTATCAAATGGCACAACTGACCTTTTTGGTTACAGGGCCATGAGTGTCGATGAAAACCAAAAGGTTTAGAAACGATTTGCGGAGGAGCTGCTTTCACGGAGTCCGTCTACGTTAAAAGCACTCTAAGTGAGCTGCATCATGTTGCCACCTGTAAATCAACGTATTTCTGCCTTTATTCAAAAGTACACAAAAGTGCACAAAAGACACTAGCTATCTGGCCGCAAAAACTATATCATGAATGAATGAAGTAAAATCTTAAATTAAGTTTAGGAGATTAACAAAAAACGATTAGAGAGAATACGTCACACTGTCGATAATTTCGAACGGCTTCTAAATGTAAAGAAACGAAAGCACTACTGGATTAAACCTGCAATTATGGACTCGGGTAGATTGAAAAAAGACTTTTCTTTTCTTTCATCTCTTAAAAACATCAACGTGATAAAAATATTGAATATTGACTAAGGTACATGACAAAAATTGTGGGTTTAGTACAAGGTAAAGGTGAATTTTGGATAAACAAAGATAGAACCCTGCTCTAAAATAGATTGAAATTACTATCGCGAGATGCTACGAGGGAATTAAGATATCAAAATTACGACTTTCATTTCGTGTTGTACAGAAGTCTTTCTTTCCACCCGAATTACCCGTCAATAGATCGTTTATTAACAATGAATGTTTCCTCTCAACAACATATTACCAAAGAAGTTCATAATCAGAATGGATTTCCTAACTGCTTCGTAGTTTTACACCTTTGAATATTTCAGAAATCCTAAACGTAAACAAAAGTTATTTTTAGTTGTCATTCAAATTGGACAATTTCTTTTAGTATGAGCCTTTCTCTTGCTTACATTACTGCATTTTCGCAGATGCTTTTAAAGCGTGATCGGCTCTCTTTTAGTCTATGTAGATTTTGAAAATTGTGATTGAAAACCGAAAGATCTCTCTCGAGGCAGGATAAGAAACGACTAAAACGTAAATGATTATTTTTTTCATAATTCGATGGGAAATACATAACAGATGATACAATCCAGAGCTGAACAAGTTTTCGAAGTTATAACTAAAAAAACCAGATAAACATACAAACCCTTCATATTAGAAGCATTCAGAAGCTGGAAAACCTGTCTGAATTATCTACAAAAACCGAAATAAAATTAGCTGCCGGAAAACCGTAAAGCCGTCCACAGCATGGCGCATCAGACAAGCTAATAACAAAAAACTGAAAATCACTTTTTCATTCTTAGCACCGAAGACTTTGAGGTAAAAAGGGAAAAGCTAAAAAAAAAAGAAACAATGGATATTTAGACGAAAAAGTGATCATTTTGAGTCCAAAGATCGACAAACCTTACCTCAAAAATCAAATTACCGAAAAAAGAACTCTCTTTCATAACAGCTTTTAAAGCTACCTCCTGAAAAGTAAAATAATTTGTTTACCTTTATTTTTATTAAGTTGTTACTCTACTGGTAGAAATGAAATTACTGTTATGATCGGCGATTGGATTTACGTCACAAGTTTTGTGCTCCGATAAAATTCACCAACAAACAATATGCTTTCAGTGCTCGCTTCCCAACTTTAACATCTAAAATGTTATGTTACAGTATCGCTTAAAATGCGACATGTCGCCATCGAATTAATTACTTAGACGAGAAATAGTAGAGAGCATAAATTGGAATAAATCTTCCCTAAAGAAGAAACTAACAGAGGCTCTTGACTGGACAGATTTATTGTTATTTTTTTCCTTTCGTTATGTGAAAATGCCATCAACTGGCTTTGTTCACATCAGCATATCGAACTTTTAAGGAAAGCATCATTACATGACCTATTGCCTCCAATGTCGAAAGCTGTTAACGAAAATTGCACAAATTTGCCGGATAATTTAACTAAGTTCCGGTATATTTTCATTGACATTAAAAGATGACCAAATGCGAAGTTTGCAATAAATTTATGCTTTTCTACGACACAACAAAATTTAAGGATCAGACCACTAATCCCTAGCCATCATTTGTACAACTGGATTGTCTTAAACTCTCATACAGAACGAATCGACAAAAGAAGAGAATTTATCCGCAGGGACACAAAAATGATGTCAAGAGATAATACTTTGTACTTGAATGGCAGTCTGGCTCATGAAGAAAAACTCCGTTATAGAACTAGCAACTAATCGTACTTACATAGGCTTGGTCGCCTTTTTGCAAAGAGACAGAAGGAGAGAAGCGAAGATGGACGTCAAGTGAGAAGTTATTTACCTATGACGAACTCAACCTTCATTTGCAAGTTTAAGTACCATTTAACTCTTCTTAAGAGAACTTGGCTAAATTCGCTCAATTATTGAAAACGCCACTTGAAATATTTTCCCAATAGAAATAATTTGCTGCTGGCGTCATTCCCGCTTTTTTCAATTGTCATGTCAGTACAATGACTGGTATATTACTTTTACTGAATTTGTATGTGTGTGCACTCTGATTGGTTTAAAAGTGTTTGCGTGGTAATTTTGTATTGTTTGTATGTCAGACGTGAACTCATACGAACTCCGTGTCTTTACAACGCTTGAGACAGCCAAAGAGAAATTAAAATTGATCTCTCTCTTGTGGTGGGTGTTTAAAAAAAGGTGAAGCTTCAGCAAGGATTGATGCGTTTTCTTCTTCCCGCGCTCGTGAAAAATTAATTAAACATCATTTTCCATGTTACACTAACAACATCACCTTTATTGTAACCTCAAATTTTAACAAGCTATAGTCATTAATGATTGATTCACCTGGCTAACAATGATCATGATAATTGGAGGGTACCAGGAGCCTGAAATAACTAATCAGCTGAAAATGACAGGTAGCTGGATTAGGTTAATGTTATAGCGTGGGTACAGCATGGTCAACATCCACACAATTTGTACAGACATCATATATGCAAAAACAAAGAATTATGATAACGTATTCAACATTGCACAGTAAATGGTTTTCGATTGACAACAACCATTCACTTGACTCGGGTGATGACCTCCGCTCAGGTTGTCGAAACATCAGTCACCACTACCGACAACAGTCCTTCTAAGGAATGCACTCACCCGGACGATCAAACTACGCTATTACATATTTAAAATTCTTCGAAGATCAAATAGGGGCGAGTTTTTCATTCTCGACAAATAGAGTATCTTTTATTGTAATGAAAAACAACGCATACACAACGAACATAAAAGAAACATGAAGGTGAAAAATATCAGTAGTTTGTCAGACGGTCAAAATGAGCGCCCCCTTGTTACAATCGCTCTGCTGGCTTGAGCCGAGCTATGATGTATACATATCGTTGCTTCACGCGACACATTTGAGATATATACATATATTTAAACACTCGCTCTTGGTTCCTGATTTTCTATTTTCCAGTTTTGTTATGTTTTTAGTATGGTATGGTACAGATGCCATCAAATTATCCCAGCCAAACCCAATGTTAGCTTCACAGTTACGAGCAACAAAGGTTATCGTCTATCACGTTCTTTCCTCTTGTTCACAGCTTACGTGGAGTGATATGCTTTAAGCCGTTTCGTGTTCATCTATGAATTAATAAAACCAAGATAAAACTATCCTTGTTGACAGCTCTGAGCAAATGATTGTTGAACTATTCTGAATATTACACAGTAAATAGTTTGAACCACGAGACCACAAGACCACGAGACTCATCATCTTCTCAGAAGTAACAGTTGCTCATATCTGAATCTGCCTATTACCCGTGCCTCTCTCAGGTAAGACGATAATGGCCCAGTTAATGGCCCATGTTCTCTCGCGATTCTCGCTCGTCGCCAATCCCCCGCGTTTCCTTGACCGCTAAGTGCCTGTGAAGGAGAAAGAGATACCCTCTCAAGTGAACCAGCTTTCCCGAATTTTTCCTATCACTCGAGTGTTTAGATGAGTTTATCCTGCGGAAAATGCGCACTAAATCCTTTATTGCTCATAAAACTAACACCAAAGTTTCTGTTTCCTTAAACGATTCTAGATGAACTTGAATGCATGATTAAAAGCAAAGTTACCAAAGCTTTTCTGATGCTTCTAAAAGCCGATTAAATGGAAAAGTGGAACATTAGTCAGAAGATAGGACTGTTTAAAAGTGTGCAACAATATGCTGATGTATTTAAAAGTGTCCTTTAGTTAAGTTACCAGCAAGATTATCTCTGTCACTGAAACGGCAAAGTTTGACATCATTAATTCTTGACCAACAAGTGTACGTTCAAATTTGAGTTTCAGATCATTCGTATATCACTGAGACCCGTTTAGCAGTGTCGTAGAAAAACTGTATTTATAGTACAACGGGATAATTTTATATTATTAACTGACTTGATAACGTAAATTGGCCACCGTCAAGAGTTTAAAAGCTAACGTTTCGAGCGTTAGCCCTTCGTCAATCGCTCTAACGCTCGAAACTTCAGCTGCTTAACTCTTTGCGGTGGCCAATTTACGTTATCAACTCAGTTGATAATACTAGATTACCCTGTTATACTTTCCCATCGACGCAGCACCACAGCTTCTTTAGAAACTTACCCCTTTACGTATTTAGTACAATTTTGTGCTGAAATTATACAAACGTCACTTTTTGGCTGAAGAAGATTTAAAGTCAACAGGCCTTTTGCCCTCTAAGTGGGTGTAAAAATTAGTCTGATCGTAAATCAGATCGTAAACACTTCATAGCGGGCCACAATATAATTCAAGCATCCGTAATGGAACATGTACGCTTTAAGACACATCTATTTAACACAATCTCAACAGCCTTTTGAAAGACTAATATCTTCTTCATTGTCATTTTTTCCTTTACACCAACGGGAATTATATAAAACGCACGAGTGCTACTGGCTTGATCTTGACTGATGTGTACACTGTCTTCCTATAACTTTAACAGTTAAATCTTTTTTAGTATTTTGTGCGGGTAATTCTGATCGAATATGCGGATTTTTATGGTGGCAAGGAAACAAAAAATCAACCTTTAATTCAGCAGCGCTGGCGAATGATTTCCATTCTTTGGGTGTCAGTGTTCAGTTTGTTTGTTTGGGAATGCTTTTCATTATGAAAAAAACAACTGTTTGTAAAGTGTTAAAGACCGGAAATTTTGAAAACGTGAATTGTGTTGATACACTCCTCTACAGTGCATGTTTAATATTCTTACGTATACTTAGGTTAGGAAAGCCAATTCCACCCTCAAGCTTGGCTTCGAAAGTGTTGACTGAATTTTTAAGAAGAAAGTATTTCTATCCATTAACTTAAAAGTAAAACAACATTAAAATCACAACAGGGTGGCAAATGCACGAGAAAAATGTGGCGTAAATGAGGCTTGAGATTGAAATTTCAGCAAATATCTTACCTGAGCGAGGTTATTGTTTTATTGTGAACTGGGTCTTTCTCAGGCGTTAAATGTTTCTCACAGTATTGTATGAAAGGTGTTAATCTTATGAAACTGTGCAGAATTTTTCTTCTATTTACTTAGTTTACTCCTGTTGTTGGTCTCAGTTGAAGGAAGCTCTGCCGGGAGATGCCTGAAGCAAGCCAAGCTCGGATAAAAATTCGTTTGAAGGTTTGCTTTCATATCAGTACATCGTAAGCACTCAGTAACTGAATACAATCTAATCCAGTATATTGTTTTGTTTAGGATAGTCTTATTTTGTAGACAAGGCTGAAACTAAAGCGAATTTTTAGATTTGTTTTTTTGTTTTGAGCATGGGATGTTCTTGGGAGCGCTCAAGTATCGAATGTTCCTCAATAGCATGCTATTAACATTTGGGCAATTTCAGCTTCAAAGTTCCAATGAAAAAAGGTTCTTTTTGAAAAAAAGGTATCGCCAAGATCCTTTAATTTCCTACGGCAAGCTATGATGAAAACCGAAATATCATATCACTTATTCTCTAACACAAATGTTTCTTCAGTAGGACGTACGAAGATACAATTTACTCTTTCGATGCCGGTCCCATTCGTAGGCTGTAAGAAGTGGGAAAATGTCTGTGAATTTGACAAGTCAGTCGTACTTGTCGTCTAAAAATTTACAGTTATCTAGGGCTTCTAAGGACTGCCCCGTGCTCTCCCCACCAATCTGGTCTGAAAGGGACTGGAATTGAAACAGAAGGGCGGGGTTTGGGGTTACCATGCTACCGCAGCTGTGTTAAGTTTTATTTCATTCAGTTCAGATTTTCATTACATCTTCGTTATCTACTTTGAACAAAGTGTTACTACTGCTGCTTTGGTGAAAACTTGGTCTTTTTTCATATTTCAGCTACTTAAGTACCCTTGCCAGATGAACATGGTTACTTTTGTGATTGGACTGATCTTTGTTCCCTGTCTGTCCATGTCCATGTTCATATCTCCGCCCATCACGTCCCCCGTCCCCCATCCCGTCCCCCGTCCCGTCCCCCGTCCCGTCATCAGTCCCGTCCCCCATCACCGACCCTGCATGGTAACCGCTGGTCTTGTTTGCCATGATTTAAATCAATACCGCTCCCAGAATGGTGAATGTAATAATCTTAAGAATCCACGCTGGGGCGCAGCCATGACCGCCTTCAAAAGACTATTACCAAACAGCTACCAGAATAAAATATCCTTGCCGAGGTACTTGAAGGTAATTACTTTTCAGAACTATATATTCCGCTTGACTAACAAATAAGTTTATAGGAACCAAATACCATGAACAGATCAGATAAATTGGGAACGTAATTGACTCTTTGTGACTTCAAATAACTTGGCTCTGGTCTAGTTAACTCGATGGGCAAATGTTAACAAGGGGGATTAGTCGTTATCCACCGGCGGATAAGTGCCAGCGAAACAAATTAACGGATTGCGGAGTTACCACCGGATATCCATCGGGTATACACCCGATATTCGCTAAGTAACCACCAAATAGGGAAACATATTCCAATTCCCCTCATAGAACACTAGAAATACTTATTATTAAATAAACAAATATTATCTGTTCTGTTTACCTACGCGTTAAAATTTCTAGACAGCAATCTACTTGAAAGATAAATTATTTAATTGTATGCATAATTGCATAATTGTTCTTACTTTTGGAAATTAATAAGACTGTTTTCAGCTTGTGCTATGGTTTTAGAGGGGTTTGGCGTCAATTTTTGAACTGCATTTCTCTCTTACAGACAGATTCAAGTCCTTCCACCTTGTTTCCAACCATAGCGCCGGTCAGTCCTCTGCCAAACGCAAGGACCGTCAGTCGAATGTTTTTTCCTCAAAGTCAGAACCCAGAGTCACCATGGCAACAGTCACCCCAATCCCCACAACGCACAAACATGGCGTCTGTGTTTGGTCAATTCCTTACGCACGATATAATTTTGACATTGCATGACGGAAATGAAGTCTGTGACGACCGGTGTAGTGATCTTACCACAGAATGCTTCGGGATCACCATTGCAAACATATCAAACGACCCTGTTTTCACTGAATGCATTCCAATGACGCGCGCCTCAAGGTGTCAGTTTAAGGGTGTACAAGAGCAAATTAACAGTGCCACTGCCTTCATAGACGCCTCACAAGTCTACGGAAACAACGAGGAGGAAGTGGAAAGAGTACGCGATATGAACTCACTGAATGGTCTTCTTCGCACAACCTGTCATAATGAGGCCGTTAAGCCACTCTTACCTCAGCTACAAGCTGATGATCCTAAAGTATTTTGCCGCTCATACAGCAATAAGACTCCCTGCTTTTACACAGGAGACTATAAAAGGAATAATGTTAGTCCAGGTTAGTCAAGTGACATGGCTGTTTCACAGCTTTTCTTAACCTGCATCATTAGGATGTAGTCTCTGCTCCTGTCACTAAGAGCAGCTTTCGTTTGATTGTTGAAATTATTCCTTGATTGCGCTGTGATTGGCCTACAAAACTCTCACCACCTTCTTTACTAAACAAAACAAAACGAAAGCCCTAATCCATACTACGTCGCTCAGATAATTTAAAAAACAGCTATTTTGGTCTGGAAACCTAAAGAAAGTTTTCCGTTCATACTGGAAAACGGAAAGAAAGGAATGTTCTCCGTCCACGATAACCGGGGAGGAAAAGCAGGACTGCACCCTAGCTAGAGTAGGGAAGTAAAAGTGCAGTAAAATGGGGTATCAGATTCGATAATGACTCGCAGCAGTGTATCCTAAAGTTAATCCCAATTTCCCTTATCATCCTGAGCAGCATATGGCAGTTTGCGGCCTTTCCCTACATTTAGCAGTTCGGAAAGCCGCAAAACTCTAGAACAAAAATTTATCTTTCAAATCGGTACCCTTAATCCCCACGTTATCAAAGGGCGCTTTCCATTCAAATAAGTTATTTTTGTTTTTTTCGTCACCATATTCCTACCAATAGCGTAGCTCCATTTTTTGCATATAAACACACGCACACAACCCACAATTTCTCCATTCGATCTGACGAAAGGCTAACGCTCGAAACGTCAGCTTTAAAGCTCTTTACGGTAACCAGCTCTGTTGATAACACTAAATTACCCTGTTGTATTCTCCCACCGACGCAGCACCATGGTTTCTTGTAGAAACTTACCCTCTTTACTCATTTATTTAACAGTTGTGTGTGCAACACGTTTTAAAAACATGTACTTTGCAAGCACGTAAATGTACTCTGATTCGGAGCGCGGAATCCGAAGATGTGAGGTTCGATTCCTAATGGGGACTCGGAATATTTTGCTTTGTTCCACGCTCGTGACGAGACGGAAAACATCTTCCTTTAATCATGTACTTTCTTCTCTTTTGTCTCCTAAAGCTTTAGCTGCCATGCACACTATTTGGGTGAGAGAACACAACAGGATTGCCTTAGAACTGCGTGAGATAAACCCCCACTGGGATAAAGAACGGCTTTTTCAAGAAACAAGGAAAATCATAGGAGCTATGATGCAGCATATATCATATAGCGAGTACCTCCCAACTATACTCAGTAAACAAATGGTAAGGTCTTTGTTGAAACTGTAACAATACCACGAATTTTTTTTTGTTTAAATCCATCTGTTTATTTGACGGGGTATGTGTCATGTCTTAATTTTTAGTGAACTTTTCAATTGATCGTCGTGAACCCAAACTCGCAGTGATCACCTACGCTAAGAAGCAAGAACGAAGAGCTAATGAGAAACGAAATTAAGAACAGAAAAAACGCCTGATTGGTTGAAAAGGATGCGTGCGTTTCATGGACCAATCACAAGCGCAATGACGATTATTTTGACATTCACCTGAAAACTGCCGAAATAATGACGTCACTTACGTGACTCTTTCCGTTTACTCCCTTTACGTTATCATCAGGACGCAAAAGTGTTCTGAATTTTGCTGAGGTTTTCGAAATAATTCTGATATTGCTCTTTTTGATTAGTTTACTTTGCTGCGTGATTAGCTCAGAAAACTCGTGCCACTTTGTTAATCACTAGGATTCAAAACTTTTAAGTTTTGGAAGTTTCAATTGCTTTAAAAATCAATTCCAACATGCTCTTCAGGCAGTTTCAATTCTCATTGGTTACTTCTGATATTTTCCTCTCTTCTGATTCGCTGTTGTGATTACTTTGGTTTTACGTCACTCAGTCGATATAAGCTCTTTTTCTATGACAAGTCTCAAAACGAACTCGTATGATTGCAACAAAAAATTCCAACAATTGTAAATAGAATAATCGGTACTGTTTTTAACAGCTTCAAGATTACGAACTGAATCCAAACCAGCCATGGAAATACGACCAATTCGCTGACGCCTCCATTGCGAACAGCTTTGGAGCCGCAGCGCTAAGGTTTGGTCACAGTACTGTTGGCAATATGTACACAAGGCCTGATTTCTTTGATATGCCCATAGACGATATGCACAACCCGACTCCTCTGTACAATTTACAGCAGGGAGGTGTGGATAGTATCTTGAATGGAATGCTGGAACAATCTGCCAGGAAAATTGATAGGTAACATTGAATGTATTGTAACTGAAACAAGACCACAAGTTACCTCAGCCTTGGTTGGGCTCATTTTGTTGTGTTCTTGAGCGACACACTTCTTTCTCCCTCTCCACTTAAGAGTATGAAAGGGTACCGGTCTTGATATGGATCTGACGAAATGCAGGGGGGAAGGGGAAGGGCAATGTGGGCTACTTGGCCCCAGTGCAAAACTTCTATGGCATTGAAATTTGTAGCGGGTATAGTTTGGAAAACCTGTTCCTCGGCTTGGCCTGTGATATATTTCTCAGCCTTTTTCGGCCTTCAAAAGAGTGTTGTGTTTGTTCAAAAGGGTGCTGTGTTTGTTCAAAAGGTTCTTTTCATGGGCGTTAACAATGAAATTAAAGCCTGGACCGGGAGTCACCGCTGATCTTGTAGCAATAAATATCCAGCGAGGCAGAGACCATGGCCTTCCACCATATGTCAAGTTCAGGGACCACTTTCACGTGAGTAAAAGAAGCATTCCAAACGAGCTCAAGTCTGAGCTGATAAATCTGTATGGTGATCTTGACGATGTGGATTTGTATGTTGGTGGACTCCTGGAAACCCCTGTTGCAGACGGGGCAATGGGGCCGACCTTCTCTCACATTTTAGCCGAAGGATTCAAGTAAGTGCCTAAATGTACAAAAATTTTTCATTGTTTATGTGGTGTAAAAAAAAATTGATACAAGTGCGACGGTGTGGCGTGAGGCGCATACTTTTCCAGATGAAATAACAACTGGACGTGATCAAGGTTGGGCAATGCTTTAATACCTTCTTTATTATTTTAGGTTTATTAGCTAAAGGTGTTTGCTCTGAATTAATAGCAACCCTAACGATTGTTGACTATCGTATGGTTGTGCAAAACAACGGTAGTCTCATTAAGTAACTGTTCAGGTGGACGTAAATGTTTAGCTGGGGTGATTTTGGCTTCGCTTGACTTCGCTCAGCGACTTATGTTTCCCTCGCTTCGGGCAGTTTGCTCGTGTTTACTCTGAGTTCTCGTTCGCTCTCTGTGGTACCTGCCCTTGCGCTTTGCTCTGACTTGCCGTTGTGGTTGCCTAGGTTAGGATTTACTACACTCAACCGAATATCGATAGCCTAGAGGAAGGTAGAGCATTTACAATTTTCGAGGTAATTTTTCTCTTTTTAAGAAATCTGCGAAAAGGGGATCGTTTTTGGTACCAAAACTTGGACTCGCCAACCGGATTTAATTCTGATCAACTGAAGGAGATAAAGAAAGCTTCTCTTGCTAAAATCATCTGCGACAACAGCGATGCGATATATAGAATTCAGCGCATGGCCATGTTAAAAGAAGGTTCGGGAAACGAGAGAATGCCCTGTGCTCAACTTCCTTATGCAGATCTCAGCAAATGGAGAGACGAGGTAAGGATTCGGTTCGGTCTTGTATAGGTTTTCCAATAATATATAACTCTTGAAGTCCAGCCATTCCTGACTGCTCCTCTCCCGCTTTCCCGTCATTCCTTTCTCCCCCACTTCAGTGCCATGCACCTTTAGGTATGTACGAGTCAACAGTCATCCCCCATCTCGCTGTAGGATGTGCCATGAGCCAAGCTACAGAGAAATCGTTGGTGAGTTAGGGACCCAAGCTCCTTCAAGTTCATGCCCGTGCCCAAATTATCAGAAGACCATTTCGTAAAATAGTGGTACAAAGATAATATCTTCTAATTCAATTATGAAATCCGCACGCATAGGGAAACAGCTTGAACACTGAGGCTGAAGGGGAAAGTGGCATGGAACAAAAAAAGAGGAGGGAAAGTGAGACAGGTCAATTAGTGAGAGAGGGAAGTGGACAGGAGGAACACGATGCTGTGAAGGATGCAACCTTGAAGGACGTAAGGAGACGATTTTCTTCTTTAGGCTGGGTGGGGTGGGGACATCCATGTAAGTTTACCAACATTACTTTCGGAAAGTCTTAAACCAAAGCTGCCCGTGAAACAAAGCATTGGATGTCTATATCTAAAATAAAACGGTTTGTTTAAAGATAAATTCAACATGCAATGTGAGGTCTCTTCCTATTCTCCCTTGTTTTCGATTAGATTGGCCTATAACCAGGCGGGAGGGAGGGGAGGGATGGGGGGAGGGGGGAGGGATGAGAGGGAAGGGATGAGAGAGAAGGGATGAGAGAGAAGGGATGAGAGGTCCTTCAACTGGGATTTTTTACAAAGGCACCGAGCAACGAGAAATATTCAGTTTCGATTAGTCTCGAAACATGGAGAATTTACCTCAATGAACGATAATTTATTTCCAGGTTAAAATGGAAAGCCAATTCTTTTTGGAACAGATCATTGTAAGTGGTACCTTTGCACAGAATAGCAGAGGTCAGAATGTTACTGATTATAGCCCTGAGTTTGAATATTTCTTTAACATTTGATTGTAGTCGTTAAATACTGATGCGGCGTAGGTTCTTTATTTTCTTCATGGGTTCGAGAATGATTCGTGCAATTTAACGGCTAATAAAGAAGAATATACGAAATAAACCAGAAAATTTCAACTATATTACAAGGGATTGTAGCAGAGCTCGGTAAGAAGACTTGGCAACTGTCACTCTATAGCCTAAAATACGTCACTTTTGAGACAAAAATTAAAACTTCCAGAAATGTCGGAAAAGGGGAAGGGAAATCATTATCAAATGACTATGCATCACAGGCCATTACCACATTCGGGTCAACCAATGATGATTATAAATGAAGAGCACCAATTCATTTATATTCAACATCGATCTAGTCGTCTTTCTTCTAATAAAGTCTTTATTCCACAGTTGAAATAATTGAGGTATTTCTTTTATATTTCGTGTTTTACATGCAAGAATAAGACATCTACACCCTTTTAATTGTAAGTGACATTTTTTTTCTCAAAATCCTAAGAACAGAGACATTTAACTGGTAATACTGGATCATGATTTAGCGGTTTAACAAATTCTGAGGATTACACTTTTTTCTCTCGAAGATGGGGAAAAGCAGACCATAGAGAAAACAGCTGAAAACGGGCGAGTTGCAGAGTTCAGTGGGACGGCAAATGATCAAGGAAACTAGCTACATTCTGATAAAAGTCATCATTTTTGCACGGCACTGTTTGAAACGTATATTCATTAAACATTTGACAGATTTCACTGTTGTCTTTTTTACTATTAAGTGCCTTTTCACAAATTTAATCAACTGGGGTCTGAGAGATAAGTTACCAGAGGAGCCCTTCGTATATACTGCCCCGCCCTGGCCCTCCTCCTCCTCTCGAGGCAGGTGAGGTGACGATCCAAACTTCCTGACCGTAAACTCGGACATTGTTGGAATTCCTGATCGCAAAATAAATTCTTTAAGAACGTTGCCGCGGTATTTATTTTTACGCCTAGATACTCTGTTTGTTTCTCTCCGGTCCTCCGAGATAAATGGTATAAGTTTGACTCAAGACGGTATCACGCCATCACCACACAGTAAAATATTCAGACAGTAACTGCCTAAGTTAAAGAACGCGATACCTTTCTCAGCGACCTTAGACTTTAACAGTTGACCTTGAATCACTCTCAAAGGATAATTTACGCATGTTCCATTAACGTACCAGCAGCGATGTCGATTGACGGATACGATTATGCTCAATGCAAATAAAGTCAACGCCTTGTACTTTCCATGGAAATAAGACCAAAGCACCTCACTTCTTTTTCGTTCGCAAACTCTTAAGTTTCTCTTTCCAATTATATATAACTCTTGATGTCCAACCATTCCTGACTGCTCCTCTTCCTCTTTCCCGTCATCCCTTTCTCCCCCACTAAAAGTTCCTCGCTGCCATCTATGCCAGATAACTGTGTTAAGGGGTTTCTCAACATTCCTTGATTATGACACGTTCTACAAAAGGATCTTGTACTTTTCTGCTCTTGGAACTCTGTTTATGACCAAACGTCCATCATATGACAGTGATGCAAACACCCAAGGGTCAGCGGTTGACCACTCCACAGCATACACGCTATCCTCGTGTTCATCAAATGTTGCTATGACTCCATCTTTTACCGGCTCTCTGGATCTGGGAAAAAGAGCAAAACTAACGTCATTTTTTCCTTGCGAGCAAGCAACTGTTTGGGATAACACACGCTGCCAACTTGGGTAGCCAAGTTGCATTATATATGTTTCTTGCTAACAGAGTCAGCCACATTGCATGCTCTGACAAGCCACACCTGCAATAAAGACTTACCCCTTGTCTTGTAAACCTTCGTCTTCATCTTCCTCATCCAGATGACCAAATGGCTCCGATGACAAAGACACAATGTTGTTTAGGATAACCCTGCTGTCACTGCTTGATGTCAGTAAAAGTTGATCATGGAAATGATTAAACCGCACACTCCACACCCTGAAAAGAGCAGCAAACACTTAGTCAATCAGTTTCAGTTTACAAGAGCTATTCTATCAGTCAGTCAGTCAGTCAGTCAGTCAGTCAGTCAGTCAGTCAACCAGTCAACCAGTGAGCCAGTAAGTCTGCCTATCTGTATGTCTGTCTACCTGTCTGCCTGTCAGTAAGTGTCCTAAACAGTCACAATTGCTCAGTTAGTGAGTATCAGTAAGTCTGAGTGTTAGGCAGTCAATCAGTCAGTGAGCCAATCTGTCTGTCTGTCTGTCTGTTAGTAAGTGTCCTAAACAGTCACAATTGCTCAGTCAGTGAGTATCAGTAAGTCTGAGTGTTGGGCAGTCAAACAGTCGGTGAGCCGGTCTGTCTGTCTGTCTGTCTGTCTATCTGTCTGTCAGTAAGTGTCCTTGACAGTCAATTGCTCAGTCAGTGAGTATCAGCAAGTCAGAGTTTTAGGCAATCAGTTAGTCATTCCAGTGCATGATGTGACCCCGGACCATTCACCCTTCTCCTCACCAGTGTGAATGATCTTGTAATACCATCAGAGGGTCAGTAGTGTTCCTTGTGTCCCAGAACCGCATTTTGCAATCATCACCACAACTGACAAGTATGTATTGTTTGTTTGGATTAAAGTCCAAGTCACGCACTAACTGGTTATGTGCACTCTCAATTGTGTAAACAGGCCTGGAATGAAAATAACAACAACATTTTTAATTGGCAGAGCATAATATTGGGTGAGGTTCTTAACAGTTGAGTTTTGTGGTGACACTTGTACAATAAGAATGGTTACCAAGTGGAGAAATATTAAGATGCTTGTTGGATGTATTTGTGTCATTTTGTTATGTCCCTGTGTTGGATTCAGGTTGGCCCACACAAGAGGGTAGGTAGGTCATTCAAACATGATAACTTCATATGGTTCAATTACTGGAAATTGCCCATGCTCCCACTAATGGTCTTACTTGTGATTAGAGTCAATTTATGGTAAAAGAAAAGGAACAGAGTGTGAAAAAAATATTGCCAAGTTAAGAAAAGCAAACTTACCTCATTGTCCTCACATCCCAACCTTTAATAGTTGTATCATTTGCAGTGGCAATCTGAGAACCACTGTGGTGAGGGTTCCATCGCCCTGTTGTGAACTTGGGTTGACCTTTACCCTCCAACAGAGCAGAGTCAATTGACTATGGAATTAAACAAAGGTGGCCAATAAGTCCCTCATTTGTCTCCAGTGCCACTGCTCACCTTTACACCTTTTAAATTTGAATTGGCAAATGACTTGAAAGGCAAGGATGGTGCAGAAGGCTTCAGCCTGGGTCCAATTTCAGTTAAGCCTGTTGTTGATTCTTTTCCTTGCTCAACAGGGTTTTCTTTGTATTCCTCCTTCCACAAAAGCCAACTCTTAAATCTCAGTTTAACTTGAAATAAGTGGAAAAGAATCACTTCCTGAATGAGCCTTTGCTGAGTGCATTATTTTAATTCATTTTTTGTTCTTTTCAGGAGATGGGGGAAGGGGGAATGATTGTGTGATCTGCTCACATTCTGACCTTTATAGCTACCACTTCATTCCTATTACTGCTTGGTTCATTAGTTCTTTTTTGTTGTTTTATTTATCACTGAAATACCTCTGCAGTTGATGCACTTCTGTCCAGATCCCACAGGTCTAGATGTTGTTCACAAACAGTTACAACTTGGCTTCCATCACCAGATGGATTCCACAACACACTAGAGGAAAAATAAATATAAAAGTAAATTCTTCTCAGAAAAGTAAGAAAACAAACAACATGGAACCATTTGGGTGAAAATAAACTTCAAGTACATGTGTTCAATTGTATGGCAATCTTGCCTTAATTTTGTTGACAAAAATTTCTCCTCATTCTGCCCTAACCTAGGATCAAACTCTAAGATAGAAATAAGCCCAAGGAAATGAATAGAGCAGTTACATTGTGTGAACCAACCTTCTCATATTCTCATGTTTGTTGTCAAAATTGCAGATAAGTTGTAATGATCGAGAATACCCACTGCCAGGGGAGATTCCAGGTGAGTCTAAACCAGGGGGCTCTGTGTCATCTACTGGGGGAATCCTCCATAGAGCACCATGTATTTCAGCTTTTGACTCAGACACTGGATCATTAGAAATATAATAATTACTTGTTTTGAAAAATGTGCCATAACTTAATAGAGAAGTATGTTTATGAGCCATTGAACAGTTATTAAACCTCTGTGCTGCTAATGCTCTCAATATACATGTAGATGAAATGTTCTGTATACTCAATGGGAAGCTTATTAGTCGCAAGTGTATGTTAGTCCTGGAACACCAAATCACAATGATAGACATGTACTGTACATGAACTCTACTACTGTTATAATGAAGATAGCTGCAATGATTAAGTAAAAAAGATCTTACCTTCATTGTAACAAGTTGCCAAGAGAGTCTTATCTGTTGGACTAGTGTTCATTGACCTGAAATGTCAGAAATGGGAAAGGACCTTTAACCCTTTAACTCCCATGAGTGACCAAGACAGAATTTCTCCTTACAGTATCAATACAATGTCAAGCAGACAAGTGATGAGAATGAAGAAAAATATCAATTGGGGGATTATAAGTTGATACAATCCCAAATTCTCCAAACTAACATCACAAGAACTGTATGGCAGACAGTAAGGAGAATTACTAATGAGATCTTGTGTTAAATGGTTAATTACTGTCTAAACTATCTCCTAAGAATTTCTGTATAGAACAGTAATAAGGAAGAGAACAATGATATCATATCAAGCTAAAGACTGGGAAATAAAAAATGCAAACTGCATTGATGCACTGAACTCACCATATTTCTCCAACAGAATGCATAAACACATTTTTATTGATAACATTGCTTTCATCATCAAAGTCTATCAGATGGATCTGGAATTATAAAATTCTAGCCTTTATTTCTTGGAGCAAATTTAACTTTAGTTTTTAGCTTGTGTAAATAACCAGACCAACAGAGAAAATAAAATAGCATAAAGATTCACCTGATTTTCATATTTAAGTGACTGAGTTCCAACAATGAACCTTATAATGTCTGTTTCCGCATGCTGGGGGACCAGAGCCCGAGCCTATAATCAAAAAAAGTAACCAGAAGTTAGAGTAATTAAGGAAAGCCTCTTTTCTCCCTCTCGTTAGGCATCGAATCCCTATTACCATTTTTTCATCATATTCACAATTACTACCAGAATAATTTCCCTCTTAGTATATATAAAATAGGAGAATTATATTATTGGATCTTTAAGGTAAATCGAGGAATTTCAAATTTTCATTGACGTGTGGGAAGTGACGAATATTATAGCATATTACCCTATTAAAAAAGAGATCGCCTAGTTTTATCCGGGAATTAGAAGTAATCACACGAATAATTAAATGCATAATTCTCCTTAATTTGAGTCATCAAGAAGCTACTTACGTTCAACTCTAGTCCATAAATAACAGGGGAATCGTCCTCCATTTTGAATTTAGACAGAAGCCGCTGAAGGAAACCTCGTAGACTCAAGTTATTTCAGTTCCAGTTCGTTCCGCGTGGCTTAGAAAGCCTGTCACAACACATAACGTCACGCACAGCGATAAGTTATTTTCCGAGAAGCTTCCCAACTGTAATAGTTTCCTATTAATCATGTCGTCGTTTGCACCACCCAGCAAAAAGGCCAAACGATCACACAGTAATGGAGCAGCAGCTAAAAGTGATGGCGATTTTTTTCCAGGTAAAGTTAGATGTGCATTAATTTCAAGCTTAATAAATTTTTCACCCAGCGGTTTTCGGTAGGGAAGGTCCCAGTAAGTTACAAGTCTTGAAAAATTTAGTTAAATAAGCGGTACAATTTCTTTTTTCTTGCACGAATCAGTCGTATATGTAAGATTATCTTCTATTGTGCGTTTTGTATTTGAATAACAACAACAACAAAAACAGTATTGCGAAGTTGGATAAACTCGAGCAGTAGGGCGTGTGACTTATCTGTTTTTGTGCCAAATTATCTGAATTTGGAACCTTTCATTGTTTTGTTACAGGAATAAACAAAATTGAATACAAGCCCGATGGAGGTCCAGAAGATAATCTGTGCTTCAAACACTACAATGCTCAAGAGGTAGTGTCAAACGTTTCGATGGAGAATCCTACAGCCAGCCCAATCGCAGAAGTTTAAATGCTTAAGTTAGACCCTCGATCAGTAGAAACTATCGTCACAAATTCCTTCACAATTGAAACTGAACTTTTTCAGTTCTAATTTCCCTTAGCTATTATAAAGAAATGGCTCGAATAAGTTTTAATGTGTACATCAGAATGAGTGTGAAATGTGTGCTGATAAAAGAAAAAACAATCCTTTAAGTTTGCGTGACATGACTAAATGTCACAATTTGTCAAATATTTTTTTGATTTTTTAAAATTTTATTCCCTTTTTTCTATTTTTGACTTTATATTAGACGACTGGTGATATAATGAGGTATTGACATGAATTGACTCTAATCAACAGGTGGTAATGGGAAAAACAATGGAAGACTGGTGCAGATTTTCAGTCTGTTTCTGGCATACATTTAGAGGCACAGGTAGGATTTTGAAATATATAGCCCACTGTTAATCTGGTTCCAAAAGAAATGTTTAGTTTTTTGTACCCAAACTTTTTCAGTGTTCTTGAAGACTCTGCCAATGTCTTAATGTTCAGATTGTTGGCTGACACTTTAAATAGGCAATTCATCAGTTTACCATCCTTTGACTCCTGGCCTTTTAATGTCAAGCTATCAGCTGACATATAAATTGATCATATATCTACTGATGTATTGCATGATGATAACTGTGATATATTTGTAAATTTTGTTGTTCTTGCTGCTCAAGAGACAAATATGATCATTGCCTGTGCTCAGTTATTGGACAAAGTGCAAAGCTTTTAACCACCCACCCTAGATAGGACCATTCAATACCCCTTGAGTGTTTCATATACACTTACATGGCAGTTTTAGTGCACCTGAGGGAGCAGCTACATGGTGGTCCTAGGACATTTGTAACTCCTCTTTTTATTGAAAAAAATTGCTAATTCATAATAAAAAGATAACCTTTCATTCCCCCCCCCCCCAATGCCAGTAAGATGCTAGTCTACTGTAACCTTACAAGAGAACCCCTTTCTTTTTCTGATTGACCCTTTAACTCCCACAATCTTATTGTTGATACTTTCCTCTTTTCCGCTACTTATTTCCTTGTAAATTAGTGACGAGAATTTGGTGGTCATGTAAGATAACAACTTCTGCCCAACAAGTTTGAGTATTCTCATTACCTGCTTGCCTGATGATGTATGGATATTATAGGAAGAAGTTACATGTTAATCACTTCTGGGAGTTAAATGGATAAGAGGAATTCATTCCTATTTCCCTCTGGTATATTTAATAGCCACATTATGAAGCACGTACTTCAGTATAATTTAAAAAATTATTATTTGACCAGGTGCTGACCCATTTGGTTTCCCAACAATTTCAAGACACTGGGATGATGGAAGTAACAGCCTGGAAAATGCAAAGAGAAGATTGAGAGCAGCATTTGAATTTTTTGAGAAACTTGGTGTGAAATATTACACGTTCCATGACAGGTAACTTGGTAACTCCTCGAAATTTTAATTACCAGCAAGTTAGCTTTCTAATGATTTAACTTCAGGAATGAATCAGGGACAGCTTGAGTGGTATCTTTCATGTTCTTCCTAGATTTGTAGAGTGGTGGATAGTCTGCATTTTAATTTTTTTTAATGTGTAGGGACATTGCCCCTGAAGGAGACGACTTGAAAGAGACAAATGCCAACCTAGACCAGCTCACTGATCTTGCCCTTGAGTTACAACAGAAGACTGGAGTTAAACTGCTCTGGGCAACATGCAACCTCTTTTCCAACCCAAGGTATTTGAAACTTTTTTTTGTCATACTTTTTACACCTTGGCGTAGGTGTTCTTGGGCACAGTTTTCTACCCTTACAGCTCCTCCATTAACCCTGTCCAGAAAATGTGGAAAATTTCTGGAGGGAGTGGTGACCTGCAATGGACTAGTGATAGCAATACAGATCCTATTGGTCAAAGAAGCCAAGATAAGCCCCAGCAGTGATGCAGTACAAGGTTTACTAAGTCTAAGAATGAAAATTAATGAGTTGTGGCGACTACTTTTAATAAGAAAATTGTGTTGTTATTAACAGGTATATGAATGGAGCAGCCACCAACCCTGATGCTCATGCATTTGCCCATGCTGCTGCACAAGTCAAGAAGGGACTGGAGATTGCTAAGAAACTCGGAGCAGAAAATTTTGGTAGGAGCTCAAATATGTTGAGGGTAAAACAACATGAATGCTGATATTTGTATGGGATTTGGAATTTTTAAAAGAATGGAAACTTAATAAGTTTTCAAGACCTCCAGTTGGAAAAAAGTGAAGTCTAGAGTCATTTACTTGGTGGAAGATAGACAAGATTCTTAGAAATGATTATATCATGTCAATTATCATGACTTTGTTTTCAGTGTTCTGGGGTGGACGTGAGGGATATCACACATTGCTTAACACTGATGTCAGACGAGAGCTTGATCACATGGGTTCCTTCTTCCAGATGGTTGTTGGTAAATATGATAGTAGATGATACTTTGAAATATTGGAAAATAAAATTGATAATATTCCATTATCCAAAGTAGCAACCCAAACTAGAAATTTATTCTGTGGAAAGGGATCTTCATGTTGAGAAAGAATATGATACAAGTATTACTAATGCAGGAAGTCCATATGTTGTGATGGAAGGCTGAATATTTTCCTGTCCGGATGGGCGTAATTCAGTCAATAAACATTTCATCAAATGGCTGCCACTCCTTTTTTTTTTCCTTCCTTTTTGCACTAATTTATGATCATTGATAATTACTGTTTTTGACATTTGCTCTGATGTTTTTCAGACTACAAGAAGAAGATAGAATTTGAAGGCCAGTTACTAATTGAACCCAAGCCTAAAGAGCCAACTAAACATCAGTATGATTATGGTAAGGAAATACCTGACATTCGACATGCATTAGTTAGTAACTACTGGAAAAAAGGATGGGTTGTATTAACACTTTTGTCAGCTGTTATTGACTTATCTCTATCCTCACTGTTTTGCTGGGCTGCTCCCTTGGTTTTCCCCCATTTCAAAGCTCTCCTGTTTGTGTGTTTGTATCCTCATGGGCATCCATGCTTCTGGCACATCTATGTCATCCTCCTTCTAAGAGTTGTGAGAGTGAACTGGGATGTGCATGGCCTCTTTGATCCAGTGTGTGCGGCAAAAAGATCAGAATCAACAATTTAACAGAAGAGATTTGTGTCTGTCACAGCTGTCAAAATCATCCAATCACAGTGGGTCATTATGCATTATAGGGTACTGTGCAAATACTTGACCTTTCTTCCAGATAAAGACTAGCAGAATACAGACAAAATGTTGCGATGTATTTCCAGAATTACCACAATGGCTTCATTACCAGCCATGCAAAGTTTTTTTTCTATTTGTAGACTGAAAGCAAGAACATTGTAAAGTTTTATTGATCCTTTTTCAGATGCTCAGACAGTGATTGCATTTCTCAAGACTTATGGACTGGAGAATGATTTCAAGGTCAGTTTTTATCAAGGCATGCAACATCTCTCAATTAACTTCTTTTCTTCCATTTGTATCTGTATGTTATTCTCTTGGAGAGAAGATCAAAAGGTAACTCAGTGTTGTTTACATAGATAATGTTGTTTAGATGAGTACTTGGTGCATCAGTAGAAAACCTTAGAGGATCTCATATTTGTAGGAAAAATATTGCTGAATTTCTCAGCTAGTTATTTCATACCAAATAATAGGATTAAAAATGTTCTTGATTTTCTCTTTTTAATTAGTCACTTAATCCAGGACAGCTGAGTAGAATCATTTGATTACAGGTTATCTCCTAAATATATCACAGAGAAGTTTTCAGTTTTGCTGATTTGTGTGCGATGTAGAGTTATGGTAATAACCAAAATCTGGGCGTGTCTATTTCCACTTTTTCCTACTTGTGTTGATGAGTTATGGCGTAGCTGTTACGTCTGTTCGATATAGAAGAACAATTAGTGACAGCTGTTTCAAGTCTACAGTAACAAATACCCCTACTGAGAACAGATTTTTATTGGTTGTCTGACCGACTGAAGTATCAACGTGTATTCTGCAGCTGAACATTGAACCTAACCACACCACTTTGGCTGGTCACAGCTATGAACATGATGTTGTAGTGGCCTCCAAGTAAGTTTTAGCTGTCTCTAGATACTTTGAGGAGGAATCGTAAGGGTGTACCTCGAGTTTTTTTAAAGGTGCTCTTGCTTGTCGTGCTTACTTTTTTCTTTGTTTAGATTTGGTTTTCTTGGATCCATTGATTCTAACACTGGGTCACCAGATCTTGGTTGGGACACCGATCAGTTCCCTATGGACATAAAAAACTGTACTCTTGTGATGAAGGTTCGTTCTATTTCTTTTTGATGCGAGGCAGTGTAGACCCATCAATTTTTTTGACAATCTTCGACAGAGACGTGGGCGAATGTACATCGACAATGAGGAAACCCTTTCCAAGTTTTAGAGCTATTTAACCCGTTACACTTTAACACCAAAATGCATATTCTCCAAACTGTTCTCTACACATTTCCTATGGTACTTACAAGACGAATTGAACTAGCAATTAAGGGGTGATACTGTAAGGCGACATTAGATGTCTATCACTCGCAGTGCGGGTTAAAGGTTAGTTAAAGTGAAAAGTATTGAAGACGGACGCCACTGTGCCGGGGGGGGGGGGGGGGGGGGTGAGGGAGGGGAGAAATTAAACATTAGGGATTTTTGTTTTGATTGGTGACTTCGTCTGTTCCAAACAAGTAAACGTGGCAGCTTAATTGACCTCGGGTTTTCTGTCCAATGGTCGTGATGAACATTCTTCATTTCACATGTTGAAAAGAGCGGAAGATTTAAATCGCGGGTGGGTCTTTTCCATGTTAAGTTTAACCAGACGGTGATCGAGCCCACACAAAATCGTTTTCCCACAATGATTTGACCACAAAATTTAAATAGTAAGTTGATGTCTTGAGGTTAAGTTCTACCATTAAAGGCCCTAATACGACTTGCAGATATGCACCACTTCATAATTTAAGACCTCTCTTTTTTGAGACCAAAAGTATTTTGCTCTCATTTCCCTCAATACGTTCGTTAAGTTCTGATTACCAATCTTTTGTAGGCTATAATTGAACAAGGTGGTCTGGCACCTGGCGGACTGAACTTTGATTGTAAAATACGCCGAGAATCCACTGACCTTGAAGATATGTTCATAGCTCATATCGGTACGTGTGCGGTTTGTGGGAAGTGAAAGTCGAGAATGGAAATGATTGAACGTCGTAAAACTGACACCTGAGTTTTCACTAAGGGGTGTCAGGACAAATAAAAATATCTCTGCCAGCCAAATTAGCAACAAGCAACAGAATGGGAGGGGAGGGTTATGGACTAGACCGCGATTGGTTTTTGTGTTGCTTCTGCATTATTGACTCAGATGATGGTGTGAGTTTCCCCAAAACAAACTCAGAGGGTAGAAACGCGAAACAAAATTGATCCCGAATTACTTGCAAACCTCAATTGATTGTTACTCGAATCCAAAATAATGATTATGACACGTCCCTAACTTCTTTATAAAGAACCTTCTGTATAAAGGTACAACTGTATTAAAACAATTTCGATGATTCACGGTGGATGTCTTCGGGCTTTGATTTCTGCCATGTAACTCGGAAGCCAATGGATTTCTATTCGTTGAATATGTGGTCAGTTTGCTAAGTTAAAGGCGGGTTGTTGTGTTATAGAGCCGGCATACCTTGACTCAGAAGAGATTGCAGTAAGACAATATTGATATTCTCTTGATTGCAGCCTGTGTTAACTTAAGAACAAAACAGTTACACGTATTCTAGAGTTAGGTTTAGCATTTTTTGGTGTTCAAATTTAACTTTTTATGATCTTCTTCACCCAAGAGTATCTTTCTCTTTCTTTTATTCATGATATTGAAATCTATAACTCTCACGTTCTGGGTTTTCAAATTCTATTTCTTCATTTTTCGGTATGCACAGAATACTCCCCACGATCCCATATCCATCTCCCCTATCCAATTGTTTACAGTCTTTCGCTCGCCATCTCTTCCACAAATCAAATTCTTACTTCATATTAGGTGCCATGGATTCATTTGCTCGTGGTCTTAAGAATGCTGTCAAACTCATAGAAGACGGAACATTGGATGCATTAGTTAGGGTCAGTTGACGGAGTATTCGTTAGTTAATGCCTTGATGATCTTATTTTTTTTGTCGCATGTTTTTGATGTCTTATTCCTTTCTGTTTCTTTTTTCTAAAGCTGATTAAAGAAGGAGGAGGAAGTTCTTCCCAATAATGCATTCTCTCTAATTTGGTTTCCTTTGTTTGTTCAATTATTTTTTTGTTTGTATTTTATTCAATGAAGAACGGTGTTCCCTTTTACCTCTCCTGGCGTCAAAAAGCAACCAGCTGAGAAAACCTGTCCCCTCCCTAGTGGTTCGCCGTTCCTTCCCGGTTGAATTTTAGAATTTTTATACTTGTTGATCTTAGCTTATGGTTTTGTATCCAAATTTGAAACGTTTAACTTTGCCTTGGCCTCGTTATCCGTGGCCTTTCTTGTTTTTTTGTTTGTTTGTTTGTTTTAGGAGCGTTACAGTAGCTTTGATAAAGGAATTGGAGCAAAGATTGAGAAGGGATCAGCTTCCTTGGAAGAGCTTGAGGTACACACAAAGTAAAAATTTCTAAGTTCAAGACCTTAACTTCCTACAGTAGAAATTCCAAGCAATTTTAGCCCATGCAAACCGTTTACCTGAGGTGTCATATGGCAAATTTGTTTATATCCTTTCATTATCTCAATAACTTGTTCCTTGGTTTCTCTTCATTTTTAGGATTACATTTTGGAGCACGGGGAACCAAAAATGATATCAGGAAAACAGGAGAAATATGAAGCGATTGTCAATTTTTTTGTATAGATGGATAAGCTAGGAAAGCTCCACACCTTGAATACTCGAGAAGCAGTGAGAATTGAGTCCGTGAATCGGTTTGATAAACACGTAAAAGCATCAATAATTATTTAAGGAGACGCAACATGAATTGTTGAATCTGTGCGTGGTGAATAGTAACTGGGTCGAATCATGTTTTAAAGGCAATCTAGTTTTTTGCTTCAAATAAATTAAGTCAGTATTTCTCAAGTGAACAATTTTGTTGTGTTCATACCTTTATCTGCCAGTTCAGATGAACACAACGGTCAAATGTCAGGCGTGCGCAAGTGGTTCAATGGGTGATGCGTCTATTTCCCGCGCAGAATTTCAAACGAAAGCAGAAGGAACGACCACTGTTGCGCAGAATATGCGCAAAAAATTGAATTAATCAGAGAAATTTGTAAATAGAAATAAGAATTAGGACAGGAAAAAACTCTAGACTTTTCAACGCGAAGCTTATTATTAAACAAGGGGTATCTTGAGGATTTCACATTTTGTTTTGAGTTTTACAACAAAGTGGTGCGGTTTTAAAATACCGTGACTTAAAGGACCTATGAGGTTGGTTGAACTCTTTGGCGAAAAATTCGTTATGACTGCTTGAAAGCACTTGCCTTCCGCTCGTGCGCCTGCGTTTGACCGCTGTGTTGCTCCGATTTATGGCTATGTTACACCACATGAATTTGTCGACCGCTGACTAATACTTTTTGCACAAATTCAGCGAAATGGGAAACAAAATGGCGCCCGGATTAAAAAAGAGTGCCGTCTTTTCCAAATTATATCAACGAAGCATCGCATATTCGTTTGAATGGATCACAGAAAAAGTATTCACAAGGAAGACAGACGTACGATTACATTTTGAGAGGTGATACGTGTTTATTTACTTCCTAAATAAGCTCATCAGTACTCTAAAATTGCACAGCTTAATTGATAGCATGAAAATCAACCATTTGGAGTTCGCTTTCATGTACACATATAATTAGAGGTATCGTTTTTATTTATTATGATTATCATTATTATTATTATCACTATAATTTGTGATTTTTTTATGGAAAATTTTCACAAACATCACCAAATCTTGCCGCACTACAATATTTCAGCTGTTATCGATCAAGAAATAACAAAACACTGAATTGTTCGAATTTATATCGAAAGCATGCAACTTTGCCGCATTACACATGACAGCTAAGGAAGCAAAGGAATGATACATTTTAGTCTACCAAGCCCTCCGTCCTTTATCAAGAACCTCCAGTCTAACGAGAAACTACTACCTCTAGGGAGGAGAATGAACTGAAAAAGGTGGAAAACTGTAGTTAGCTTACTCATCAGGTTGGAGTAGTATTGCTCACAGCTAAACGATCTCTATTTCAAAGCCATGTGTCATGATCAAATTCAAGTTACACAAAGTTTACTGCACAACTCAGCGCTTATCACAGTTGTAGTTTTGCGTCAATTCTGTAATGTAATGATCACTTTACCGTCACCTTTGTTGACACCCGCCATGTTCTGTTGATTTTTGCCGCTATTATACGAACCCCCTCCCCCTGCCACCCTAATGTTGGGGCTACTTAAAACTCCCCCACCGGAGTACCCGCCCCCTCCACCACCAGCCTTTAAAGCATAACCTCCCCCACCGAATCCCCCTTGGGAAACCGGGCATTTCCCTCCAGTTCCACCGTGGATGAAACGTACTGAAAAGCCCCGTTTTCCTCCTCCGTTCCCTAACAGTCCTGCTCCTCCTCCCCCAAGGATCTGGAGATCAACCATTCCTGTGTCAGCATTACAGAGATTTCCACCATACCCTCCTGCCCCTCCACACCTGCCACCATTCTCTGTTGACTGACCCGGATCACCGTTTTTAAATTGTTCCCTCGGTATTCCCCCACCCCCTCCTCCACCAGCAATTATCAGTGGAGTGTCGTCAGGGAAAGTCACAAAACTGCCCCCGCCCCCACCCCCTGGCCTTTCACGAAGGTGAGGGTCCGTAGTACGATTACCCTCCTGCCCTACTAGTATTTTAAGCTGAGTTCCTTTCTGAAGCTGAAAGGTTCCTGTCATTCTGGCTCCTAAACCACCGGTCCTCCATGAACTTTTATCCTCGACATATGTGCCATTAGCACCAGAAGCACCAAATACTTCGATGACGTAGCTTCCGGTCTCGGGGACACTCCAAATTTGGATGCCATAGCTTACAGTAACATGGCCTTCTAACGGTGTTCCTACATACCCCAATGTGCTAGTCGGCCCAGTTTCTCCTCTGGCTCCCAGTGTTGAGAAAACAAAGGTTTTGCCTGAGAAATGTGTGAATTAAAGGCTAGCTAATGTTTATGGAACTCTAATGCGCAAAAATCATCTCAGGCAGGTACATTTCTTAAAAATTGTCAGAACTTTACTGATCTCTAGAACAATGTGTTCTCTATCAGTGGGAATAATTTGTTTGCCAGATGTCTTTGAATCAAATTTAATCTTTCAAGGCTTCCTGATTGAACTGCTTAGTAATCTTAGTGGTGGCATGTTACCTGAGTTTGCTGACTCCCCGGAAGATTCATTCATTTTTTGACCCTAAAAAGAGAGAAATTCGAGCTTAAAATCATTCTATTTTGTTAACTATGCCTTGTTTTAAGGCATAAAAAAGCTGGAGAAGCTATCTGTGGCTGCTAACTAGGTGACTTGTGTATTTTCGGTCGAAGGCAAAATTCCGAGGAAGAGTTTGCTTTAACTGAAGGTTTTACTGACCGTAAGATCAAGCATCTGACCAAAGACATATCCAGGCATTGGTACAAGGGACGGCGCGTTAGCCTTAGCACTGTCTGTTCCGTCATCGTTCAATTCACAGATCATGTTTCCTTCTATTTCCCTGTAATTTACTGAGCGGCAGAGTGGACGGCTTCTCAAGCAGAGATGAGCGCAGGATAAAGCACTGGACGCCTTCTGACGATCTATGACATGACCGGTTAGGTAATAATCTTCCTCAGTTTGAATGAAAGTTGAGTGGCCCTTTTTAGCTGGTGGTGAACTCAGTACTGCAGTCGTGAAGGTCAATAGTACAACGAGGACGTTCATGTTTGCACCTGTTAAAAGCTGAAGTAAGAGAAGTCGTCTATACAAATTGAACCCAGATTGAAAATCGGGTCCCCCCCTTGGCATCATTTGGTTCTCTTTGACGAAGTCTTCCTGCCAACTTCGCAAGAATGAAGTCTCGTGAAACGTGCCTCCCTTTTCGGAAAAATTTATGAACGAAAAACTGAGTAGAAACAGTAAGGTAATGGTTATTAATAACTGCATACAACTGGAAAAGTGTTGTCGCTATGTATGTATCAATCAACTCATCTATTTGGCTTTTTTTAAAACCCCTGGCGCCTGTTGCTTTTAGGGCGCACTGTTCAAATTTTCTCTAGGCTGTGCGATTTTTTTAACAAACCAATAAATTTTGCTAAATACAAACTAGAAAAATGGATTAGATTTTCCTTATTAGGGAACCTTTTCTTCTGTTTTCTGCAAAATCTGAAAAGTCGCTGAAAAGTTTTAAATTTGATGCCCTCCGCTGTTTTCGTTTAATTGCAAAGATATACTTAAATGAAATTGGAAGATCCTCGCAGCTAAGAACACTACTGAAACTAGTAGTTGTAAGTAGGACCTGAAAAAAAAAATTTCAGGCCCGTAAACCCATGACCTCTGCGATACCGGTGCAGCGCTCTACCAATGGAGCTAACAAGCCAACTGGGAGCTGGTACAAATAAACATCCGAGTGAATGAAGATTTAGATATATGAAAATTCACATATTTGCACTGCGGTGGAAAGATGAAATTGGAAGATCCTCGCAGCTAAGAACACTACTGAAACTAGTAGTTGTAAGTAGGACCTGCGGGATTTGAACCCATGACCTCTGCGATACCGGTGCAGCGGTACCAACTGAGTTAACAAGCCAACTGGGAGCTGGTAGCTACCAGAGAGCTACCAGCTCCCAGTTGGCTTGTTAGCTCAATTTAGAGCGCTGCACCGGTATCGCAGAGGTCATGGGTTCAAATCCCGTACGGGCCTGAAATTTTTTTTTCAGGTCCTACTTACAAACTAGTTTCAGTAGTGTTCTTAGCTGCGAGGATCTTAGCTTGCAAATATGTGAAGATATCTAAATCTTCATTCACTCGGATGTTTATTTGTACCCAATTCATTGACCAGCTCCCAGTTGGCTTGTTAGCTCAATTGGTAGAGCGCTGCACCGGTATCGCAGAGGTCATGGGTTCAAATCCCGTACGGGCCTGAAATTTTTTTCAGGTCCTACTTACAACTGCTTTGGATCTTCCAATTTCATCTTTCCACCGCAGTGCAAATATGTGAATTTTCATATATCTAAATCTTCATTCACTCGGATGTTTATTTGTACCCAATTCATTGACCAGCTCCCAGTTGGCTTGTTAGCTCAATTGGTAGAGCGCTGCACCGGTATCGCAGAGGTCATGGGTTCAAATCCCGTACGGGCCTGAAATTTTTTTTTCAGGTCCTACTTACAACTACTAGTTTCAGTAGTGTTCTTAGCTGCGAGGATCTTCCAATTTCATCTTTCCACCGCAGTGCAAATATGTGAATTTTCATATATCTAAATCTTCATATACTTAAATGTTTGGACGAGTTTTTTTTTACAAGGAACTTATTAATATAGATCAAACTACTATTTCGTCAGATGTGAAACAAGTTGTCTTTTGATTTAGCATTGAAATCCCTCATGTAATCGAGAAAAAAACGTCGATCTTTAGCTTGCAACTTAAGAGAGTACCTGAACACCATTGCTTCTACTAAAAGAATAGCCAGAGATAAGACTGAAAAGTTTTTTTACAAACGCTTACCTTGCCTTCAGTTTTGTGGCCCAAATTACCTTCCACCCTTCGAGGTAGCGATAGCAAACCAACCGATGCTTGTATTTTGCACCTTTCACTTGAAACAAGGGAACAGCCCCTCTTAGCGTGTTTTTATTTTTTTTAATTTGGCATACGTGATGACAGGTACATGAGTTACACCTTTTTAAATAAACATTATTGAATTACATTACTCTGCACGTTCTACCTTAAAAGTCACAGGAAGGGTAACCCACCCGCTTGACCACATTGTCACTATTTCGCATCTAAATATTTTTCTCTTGTCTCGTAAATGGTCAGTCCAGGCCGATACAATATTTCGCTTATTGCTCAGTTTAGTTAAGTTTGAGGTCGTTCTTGATTCTATTTTATTGGCTAATTGAATAACTGGCTATCTGTCATATTTATGCGGTAATAATCTTCTCTAATCAGTACTGATGAATGATAGTTTTTATTCATGCTGCTCTAAGGCTCTTTTTTTTCTTTTTGAAAAGTAGCTGAGTGTTTAACGTCAGGCCAAAATAGTAAAATGTGATTTCTTGAACGTGTTACGTCTTCCTTACAGAAAACCTTTGAGCGAAATCTCTCATCTCGTCAAACTACAAAACTCGTCACACTTTTAGATGGTAATCGGTAACAAAGATAAATAGCAGAAGGAAAAGTGTACTCATGGACGAAGGGGGGGAGGCTAGCCTCTTTATAAGGCACTAGTTCTACGGAAAAAAACATTTTTAAGCTAATTAGAAAAAATACGACTGGTTTGTTTACTTTTAAGTGGTTTGATGTTCGGATGGAAAAGGCTTTTATTTGCATAAAAGCAGCGAACAGTACCTGTTATTAGCAGTTTAATCTTCATATAAGCGGGACAGCTGTCATAATTTGCAAATGTCCCAAAGCTGCATGGCTAAAATTTAATTAGGGTTTTGACAGGATCGTTGATCCATCTACTGACAGGTATTTTTTAATTACTAAGTGAAATTTTGGTGTTTGTTTAGAGTTACAAGAGGACCACTTTCAGCCCTCTGTTAAAAGTAAATTAACACAACTAAAATTGAAAAATTTACGCTAAGAAAGTTTCCTATTTGATAAATGCAACTGAGGGAAGAAAGTTTGGAGCGAAACCAGTGGACTTGACCCGGTCGTAGAGTTCTTGGATTACCGCGACTTCAAACATTGCTAACCTGGATGGTCCTGGATTTATCTTAAAAAAAAAGCTATCACCGATTCCAGTTTTGATCTCCATACTCAACTGATCACTCGGTTTACAGCAGGGATACCTTAGCGAAGGTAGTCCGCCATCTCATCAATAACTCAGCTGTTCTCCATCAAAATACTTTCAAAGAACATTTTATTGTGCAGTAAACAATTTTTTACAATGATAATTTCATGTCAAACTGAGCCACATACAATTACATTCCTGACACGATATTTATGCCGTATTAATCATTACAAGGACTTTTTCCTGGGTGTTCTAATACATACCATAGAAACCGTTATTAGTGAGGAGAAAAAACAATCCAAGTTATAACAAATGAAGTACGAAAGCTAACCAGTCAAGACGCTTCTGGTCACACAAATATGACGAGCACGAGCAGTATCGAATCTACATCAATTTTCTAAAGTGATGATAACTTTTCCATCCCCCTTGTTACCACCTGTTAGGTTCTGTTTATTCGCACCGATATTATACGATCCCCCTCCCCCCGCAACACCCCCTGTGGTATTCCCCACAAACCCCCCGCCGGAATACCCGCCCCCACCTCCACCACTCGTAAATCCACAACCTCCCCCACCGAATCCCCCAATGGATGTTGGACAGCTTCCCCCAGTTCCACCGTTAATGAAACTCAAAGACGGTGTCATGGGGCCTTCCCCGCCCCCATTGCCGTTAAGCCCAGCTCCCCTTCCTGATAAGACACGAAAATTCACCTTTCCAGTTGTGGCATCACACGGCTGCCCACCATTCCCTCCTGTCCCACCACACCTTGTACCTTTCTCCGCCGCTTGGCCAGGCTCGCCGTCTTTGTATTGCCCAGTTGGTGTTCCCCCACCCCCTCCCCCGCCGGCAATAATCAGAGGAGTGTTATTTAAAAGAGTCACAAAACTTCCCCCACCTCCACCCCCTGGCCTTTGTGGGAAGTCTGTGGTACGATCACCCTCCTGACCCACAAGGATTTTAAGCTGATTTCCTTTGTGAAGCTTAAAAGATCCTTTCAATCTGGCCCCTAAACCACCGATCCTCCATGAACTCTCGTTGTCATCTGTTCCATTAGCACCGGAGGCACCTGACACTTCAATGACGTAGTTTCCAGTCACGGGAACACTCCATATTTGGATGCCATCACTCAAATTGACTTTGCCTTCCAGGATTGTTCCTAAATACCCGGATGTACTTTTCGGTCCAGTTGTTCCTTTGCTATTCAGGGTCGTGAAAACGTACTGGTGCTCTGGACCGATAAAGGAAATACGTGAGTGGTGTGCATCGGGGAATAATTTGTTTCCTGGTAAATATGTAGCCTTACCTCTTGATATTTCTAAATCTGGAGAGACTGCAGCCTATAAAACAGAAAAGAACAAGTACTTTTCTAGTACAAGCAAAAAGATTAAAATTCGCTCATGCACAAAAAAATAAAGGCCTAGAAACTATGGTGAAAAACTTTCTTACATGTTATTTTAAAAAAGATTATGTGTTCATATGTTGTTAGTCTAAAATTGTGAACATGCTGGGTGCAAATTACATATAGTTCAGATTTTCTTTCAAACTAAAAACGCGTGCAATACTCACACTAATATTCAACAGCTGATGAAACGAATATCCTCTCTTGCGAAACAAAGTGGTTTTGTCTGTGATCCTGCCAACATGAGCTGTTTTTTTGTTCAATTCACACATTCCATTTTTTCTGTTCTCGAAATTGAACGACATACAGTTTGAACGCACTAAGCACAGCTGTGCGCATGTCAAAATGTCATGCGTCCGCTGAAAATGAAAAACATTTCCTATAAGCACGTAGCCATCTGTAGAACTGAGTATTGATGAGCGACTCACAGCAGTTCTTATGATTACCATGCTGACAGGGGTGGGGTGAATCATTAAAATGACCAGGATACTGATAAACAGTGTCGTGTAAGATGTCATGACGTTTGATATCGTCTAACTGGGAAAGAAAAAGTCAACGGTACTCATTACAATACCGACTAGAATAAGTTGAAAAGCGGCTAAGTGCAGGGAGTAATTTTAAATGTTATTTTTTACGGCTATGAAGTATAATACAGGTATTTTGCGAGACGCGTTTGGTTTGAAATCTTAAAACAATTTCAATTAATTTATCTAATCAACGTGCAAACTTTTTGAATCGGGTACGTTCCACTGCTGGTCACCGAATCTAAATAACTTGTCGCATTTCCTAAAAAGTAATGATCATTCGGGCGAAAACATTTAAATCTGATAATATTAATTACCTCAGGCTGATTCTTGTGCTATACTAAGTTAATTTCAACTCCATTAAACAAAATTATTGTCACTGCCTTCCGCAATTGTAAGTTGAAGATGATATAAATTATGATGTTCGGATTTCCATCTCTTACCAAAGTTGCTGCGAGTACAATATGATCGCTCTTACCTTCTTGCTCAATTTTTAGTTCAAAGGCTCCACTTCTCGACTTTGACGCAGAAATCTAAATTATTACTCGCAACAGGAATATCCGACGATGGGTTTACTTTCTGTCATCCCATATTTTAACCCGCAGTGTATGCAACTGTTTTAAAAGTAAGAAGAACCGAACACCTTGTCTGTAACTTAGAAACACTGACTTCCCCGAAAACATTTTGCCTGCCGACATTGTTTATCGTGCTACATTATTATATTCATTAGATGGCAGATATTTGTCATTTTTATTGTTCCAGAACCTGAATGTGATCGTTTTTCAGATTAATTGTCAAATCAAAAAAATTGAGGAGGTAATTTCCATATATAATGCACGTTACGGGGATGTATTCGATGTGCTTCGATTTTGGTTGGTTAACCATCTGCTGATGATTGACTGAAACAGTGCCTGCCCAGAGGGCTGTGCAAGAAAGGCTAGGATTTTACCAAACGCGAATAGAAGGGGCATTTGAAATTGGAAGATGCATTTGTGGAGAACCATCTATTTTTCAAATCTAGAACATAGTTTGTACGAGTCAATTTAATTTTTAAGTTGGTCAGTGAAATCTGCTCAGTCCATTTTTAAAAATCAACATGGAAATGGCTTGTTCTGCTGTTTTTAGCCTGTTGTGAAGGTGGACGAGACTATCTGCGATTTAGACCACAATTTTATTCGATAACAAAAAAAAAACAAAAGCAACAGTTGAAGAAACTGCTACTGAATACATCTTAAAGCAATAACAGAAATGGGGAGAGTAACTCTTAAGCTTGGAGACTAATGAGAATGATGATACATTGGTGTCTTCCGCCATTCAATTACCATGAGTGCCATCACTATTATTGTTATCATCGTTTTTATTGTGGCTTTCACCTCGAGGCATTTCATAGATGCCTTCAATCAATCATGAACATGGTGGAAAGACAACGTATGTCAATTACTAGGCAACAGCTTTAGATCTTTGTTAAGAAAAAGGCAGGCGCATTTCAACTTCGTTTGGCGAGTGACTCACAATTAACTGTGTAACTTATTAGGCGAGTCAAGGGTTACTTCTTTCCAACAAATTATCTACACATGTACCAAGTTACTTAGAAATCCATACAGCGCGTGGAAACTTGCTTCAGTTCATTAATGTGATAATCACCTTGCCGTCACCTTTGTTAACACCCGCCTTGTTCTGTTGATTTGTACCAATATTATACGAACCCCCTCCCCCTGCCACACCACTTGAGGAACCCCTCAAAACTCCCCCACCGGAATACCCTCCCCCTCCCCCACCAGCCACAAAGCCACAGCTTCCACCACCGAATCCCCCTTTGGATGTGGGACATGTTCCCCCAGTTCCGCCGTTAATGAAACTCAACGAACCGGTCATCACACTCCCACCTTTCCCTCCCCCGTTGCCTTTGAGCCCAGCTCCCCCTCCTGCTAAGATACCAGGGTCCACATTCCCTGTATCAGCATTGCAAGGTTGGCCACCATTCCCTCCCGTCCCACCACACCTGGTGCCATTCTCTGTTGCCTGACCGGGGTCACCGTCTTCATATTGCTTTTTCGGCGTCCCTCCACCCCCACCCCCACCAGCAATAATTAGCGGGGTATTATCTAAGAGAGTCACAAAAGTGCCACCACCCCCACCCCCAGGCTTATCAGAGAAGTCCGCACCACCGTGACCCTCTTGACCAATAAGTATCTTGAGTTTGGCGCCTTTTGCAAGAGTGAAAGTTCCTTCCATCTTGGCTCCCAAGCCGCCGATCCTCCATTCGGACTGATTGAAATCTGTACCATTAGCACCTGAGGCACCAAATGCTTCGATGATGTACCTTCCCGTCACGGGAACACTCCAAATTTGGATGCCATTACTTAAAGTGACTTTGCCGTCTAATGATGTTCCCGCATACCCGGATGTACTAGTCGGTCCAGTTTCTTCTTTGCCATCCAAGGTCGAAAAGAAGTATTTGTGCACTGGAACAAGAAAGAGGAAATATAGACGTCATGAATTTAAATTTCCCAGAGAGATTCACAATATCATACTATAGAACTTGTATCTTACCTTTTGATTTTCCACTGGATGGATCGGCAATTGAATCCTGCATAGAATGAAAGATTAGCTTTGTAATTATATTTGCTTTTTTGAAGTGTAAGTAGACGAGTCATCTGGTGATCGCGGTGGAGCAAGAGACATTCTGTGTCCGTCTGAAGACTCCTTTGAACGGTTTTGGTGTTAGTTGACAATCTATATGCGAGTCATAAAATAGCATAACCTCTTCCAGGCTCTTACAGAGGGGAGACGAGCGACAGAGCGCGACCAAACGACAAACGGCGGTTAAGGTTGTCGGGGAAATGTGCATGATTAACGGCCTGATCCAGCCCGTGTTTCGCGCGCCCCGCTTTTTCGGTAGTGCTTTTTCGCTCGTACACGCTGACCGAGAGAGCCCGGCGCAGGAGGCTGACACATGGGTTTCACCGTTGATTATACAATTGAATACCTCAATTTAAGTGAATGTTTTCTTCCCCTGTTTCTAAAAATTAATTCCATCATGTAATTCACCCTTTTGAAGCAGTGATGTTAAGGTGTTCCCCACTCCCATTACAATGTCCGGCGAGTTTCATCCCTGAAACCGTGTGCTAGATTTCAACGTCATTAATTTTCGGGGGTAGAGGGAGGGGCTCAAAGGGTGAATGGAATCAAAGGACCATCACATGAAAAATTGATTTGTTAAACACCTCAAGTATTTTCGCCTCTAATTATAGGAATTATACTCACGCTGATGTTCACCAGCTGATAAAACGAATATCCTTTCTTTGAAAATAGCATATTTTTGTCCATGATCGTATAACCATTCGATGTTTCTCTGTTCAACTCGCACACTCCATTTTTGGTATTCTCAAAATTGAAGGACAGGCAATTCGGACGCGCCAAGCACAGTTGTGCGCATGACAAAACATCACGAGTACGCTGTATATGAATGACGAATCCCACGAGCACGTGACCCTCAGTAGAGCTGATTAACGATGAGCGGCTCTCAGCAGTTCTGGCGAGTATCATTCTGATAGGGAGGGGGTAAGTTATTGAAATGACCAGAATGAGGATAATTCGCGTTTTTTCAGTTGCCATCTGAGAATTCTGCCAGTTGAGGAGAAAATAGAAAGCTATTACGAGTTTAACGAAAGTGATGAATATACCACCTACAACATAAATTTAAAATTATAAAACAGTTGTAGTAACGAGGACGTATCTCCTAGGGAGAGCTCAGTCGATTTAAATTTCATTTCGAGGCGAACCCTAATGTAGATCCTCAAACAGCTATGCTGTTAAATTCGGTTTAAAAGATACCTTAAGCCGAAGAATTGTGCATTTCAGTGTTCCTAGAGAAGTAAGCGTCCCATATCTCCACAAATGATACTCATTCCTTAAGAAAGTTATGAAACATTTTAAGGGGGTTAGGCCACACATTTCAAGAGTTCTTGTCTTCAGTCCGCAGTATCTAATCGAAAAGAAGCTTGAAAGCTACAATTACGTTAAATTAGCCCCCACTGTTTCCGCCTTAGTTACAATTGTATTATTCGTAATAAGAATCAAACACAGGCTCGCACATCAATCAGACAGGAAAGTGAAGCTAACAATCACCGTTTGGCCGTTGTTAAGAGCTTTAAGGCTTAAAGCCGAACAAGCTTTCCTAGCGCGAACGTGCATGAACCTGGTGCCCAAACAGGAGGACCAAAAGCGCAGACTAACAGGATGAAATTATCCACAAAAAACTACCTTTCTTTCACTTTTACGGCCCATATTTCTTCTACCCGTTGAAGTTAACTACTCGTAGACTAAAGGATGCCTGAATTAAGATAAGGAAATGTTTTCATAGGAGATTCAAGGGCTGCTAGTTTCCTAGGAAGCAAAAGCTGTAATAAAATATCAAGTGGTCAAGGCTTTTAAGTGGAGCGATTCTAAACATCTGTCAAGAGGCTATTCTCGACGAATGCATTTTAAGAAGGAGCTCACATTTTCCTCTACCTTCCCAGAGCAAGCATTCAAATAAAAAAATAGAAAAGTCTTTTGGGAGGAGGTAATGTTTCACTTTGGCTGACGACTGGTTACTTCTGCTGCGAAAGGCAACCGAACAGGAACTGATAGATATTTTGACTTCGCTTTCACAGACCTTTGAACCTGCTTTTATAATTATAGTTACATGTATTTAAAAGCGTTAGCAGTCTAAGAAGCGAAAATTACCCGATGTTTGGTTATGTAATCCTGGTTTTGTATTCGTCTTATTCCAGAGGTGTGATGTAAACCACTGAGTAAGACAACCTTTAGTTGTCCCTTAGCAAGCTTCAATATAAGGTTTTGACAGAATCATCGATCTGTCTGCAGGTTGTCTGCTGACAGGCGTCGTTCAAAAGTAGTATGTAATTAGTTAAACCTAT